ATCAACTTTCCTGCGGCCCACGGCCATCAAATTCCCACAAACGCAGATTCGTTCACAGGTGCCTGAACGTTTCTGTCTAAACCACCCTAAACCACCCCCGGTATGGCAAACTTATTAGCATTAAATTACGTGAGGTCCTAACGTTACCGGTCTTATTAAGCTGAATCGTACGAAAGCGGTTTAGCTTGATGGTTTGGAGAAGAATATGTTCATACCGTTAGTTCCAAGTGTACAAAACTTCGACTTGCTGGGCTGATTCAGTTGCAATGGCATCGGTCGTAGTGACCTTCAAGCACGGTAACCTACTCCGAGTCGCAGGTACCACCGTGGCGCATTATATAGGATGTACTCACACGCACTTGGTTGCATCATTAACCTTATTCTTACACTATAAAGTAAGTGGTAGTCTCAGGCTTCCGCAGAACTGATATCCTTATCTTCCACCAGTGATCAGATTACCCTACCGTGACGCACACAGCTGAAGCAGTGATGTCTGTCCCAACTAGTTTTCGTGAATATCGCACCCAGGTACGCGTGATTTGTATACGACAGCGGTCGACATCATTGACTCACACACACGGTGAGGTAGGGTGATGGCCACCAGAACTTGAAGCTTCAATCAGTCTCTCTCTCTAAGCCGAAGGCTACCGAGGTGACCATCAAAATACATGCCGTCTCCCTGCAGGTCTGTCCTCATTTAAATATTCGACTGCCCGAGATTCAACGTACTCTCAGTTTCGTGACCTGGCGGTCTCGAAAGGAATCTACCCACAGTTAGTATTGTTGTTTAAGTTGGAATTCGCGCTCAACACGGATCTAATAGACAGAAACGAGGCATCGTTCCTTGCTCTGATGGCGCAGGCGAGATTGTTGCACTTGGGCAAGACGTCAAGGGGTGGAAAGTTGGAGATCGTGTCTGCCCAAACTTTGCACTGGACCATATCCATGGTGATGTCACTGAAGACATCAAATTTACTGGACTTGGTGGCCACATCGATGGTGTGCTCCGGGAGTACATCAACGTCCCCGTTCACGTATGTGTTCTTTTGATTTTAGCATCGTATTGCTTTGCCAATGTCTATTTAAGTCGTTGGTCCGCATCCCAGAACATCTTTCATACGAAGAAGGGTCGACTCTTCCGTAGGTTTATTATCTGTCCTTATCTTGTCATGCTCAGACTTTCGCTAGATGCGCGGCGTTGACAGCTTACAACGCTTGTCTTGGACCCGTCCCTCTCAAAGGCGGAGACTACGTACTCGTTCTTGGTACCGGCGGCGTTTCAATGTACGTGACGGTTTCGCTGGCAATATTAACTTGTGTCAAAGCGGATCTGTTAGCTTCGGCGCCCAATTAGCCCTTGCTTCTGGTGCGACCGTCATCGTCACATCATCTTCTGATGAAAAATTACAAGTCGTAAAGAAATTGGGTGTGCAACACATCATCAACTACAAGAAGAACGTCAAATGGGACGAAGAAGTTTTGAATATTGTATGTTTGTTTTGAGGCCTTCACTAGCACGCCTAATATATTTAGACCGGCGGCCGTGGCGTTGACCACGTCATCGAAGTCAGTCCCTAAAAATGCACGATTGTGGCGAACTTAATCAAGTGCGATGCAGGTGGGAGGGCCCAATACTATACTGAAATGTATCAATGCCGTACGCTATGCTGGATGGATTCATATCATCGGCTACGTGTCCGGGGTAAGCTTCATCTGTATCTTTATCTATACCATTAACGCCACTTATTTATGCAGGGCGATAACGGTATTCCCGTAGGTTTTGCGATCGCAAAAGCAATCACCTTCCGCGGAATTTTGATTGGCTCTGTCAAACAGTACGATTGAATTTCCATATCTCTATTGTACTGATCGGCGACTCATAGGTTTGAGGACATGAATCGACTCCTTACAGCGCGCAAAATCTGTCCAGTCATAGACAAAGTGTTTCCCTTCGAGGAGGCTACTGATGCTTATGCGTACCTCGAGAGCCAGAAGCATGTCGGAAAGGTAGTAATCAAATTGGTGTAAGGTGCAACCGTGCAAGGGTCAAATGTAGGAATCGAGCAATCCCGTGTTGTACCATATAAGTATGTGTAAGACGTGTAACAGTTAAATATTCAGTACGTAGCCGTATCCAAACTCATCTATGTGAGAAATGACAAAAATCCCGGCAGCTGAATGCTCATGAACGTTCTTTATTGCCACATAGCTTGCAAGAAAAAATGCTGGGGCTCACTGTCTACTGCAGAGAGAGCAAGCAGCATCATATGACGGATCTCATTCAGTGGTATGTATAATGGTAATATTCCTCCCGACTCGGATGTTGCGGACGAATAAACGAGGTCGGACTCTACTAGTCTTTTCAGGCGGGCGCTTGCACCAACGTTGCGGTAGTACAACTAAACTGGCCTGACGTGATATAACTACCACTCTCTTAGCTTCGAAATAAGAAGCCGCCCCGACAGTTATAATTCCTCTATTAGAGCCCATCTGGACAACGAATAACAAAATTTCAAATTTCAACTGAGTCATGTCACATGGTCTGGGAGATCCCGGATCACACACCTCGGTTAGACTTCGTATTAACAATGATAACGCTTCGCATACATGGACTATGATATTGACCTTGAAGCGCAACAACAATTCGACCAACGTCGACGTCGCTGGACCGTGATTCTCATAGCTATGGTAGTGCAAATTATGAATACCTACCAGCTTCTGTTCTTATCCTCAACTGTCCGCATCCCATATCATACATCCATCCTCACTGGTGAAGCATGGGTGTACGAGCTCATTTATGGACATCCTGACAGGATCCGGCACAACTTTGGTATTGATGGCAATGTTTTCAATGCACTGCTGCAGGTTCTTCACCACAATAGATTTGTCCTATCCCGCAATGGCGTATCAGTGGAGGAGCAGCTTGGCATTTTTATATATACATGTGTCACTGGATTATCATCCCGCCTTGTTGGGGAGAGATTCCAGCGCTCCCCTGACACGGTCACAAGGTATAGTGGTCTCGATATTATTTTTCAAGCGACTTAATCTATTTTCCAAGATATTTCAAACGCATGCTTTTCTTCTTCTCGTCGAATCCATTTTACAGCTCCCAGATCACATTTCCGACTCACACAACCCCAATTTCCCATAAAATTCTCGATGATCCTCGATATCGGTTCTTTGATCAGTGTATCGGTGCCGTAGACAGCACGCATATCCAGGCTTTTGTACCGCCAGAGGAACACTTTCACATGCGTAACCGCAAAGGTTTTTTATCGCAAAATTGTCTGTTCATCTGCGATTTTGACCTCCATTTCTTGTATTCACTCTGTGGGTGGGACGGATCTATGTCTGATGCTGCTCTGTGGACGGACGCCCATTCAAACGACCTACGCATCCCTGAAGGTCGATACTTTCTTGCAGATGCTGGTTTTGGTACCTCCGATGTCCTCCTTGTTCCATACCGGAGTGTCCGTTATCATTTGAAAGAGTGGCGACAGGCCAATATCAAGTAGTACTAATCCTTTATTATTTTAAGTTAGCGTCTGACTGGGATTCTACACAGGCCACAGAATGCCAAGGAACTATTCAACCTTCGTCATGCTGGACTTCGCAATGTGATTGAACGCATTTTTGGTGTTATGAAGCGTCAATGGGGCATCTTGCGACATGTCCCTGAATATAACATGGATATTCAGGCTCGGATCCCTGTAGCGCTGTGCGCACTGCACAACTTCAATCAAAGGTATCATCCTGACGACTTTGACGTCGAATCTGACGGAATGAACCTTGATGTTGCGTTGGGTGAACTCGGCGATGGACCAGCTGACACAGCAGAACAGAGCAGAGCGGATCAGCGGCGGGAGAGAATTGCAGAGGAAATGTGGGCTGACTATCTCAATGAGCATAGGGAACGAGGACTTCCATTGCCAGGTACAGCTTGAATACAAATAAGTAGTAGTTTGTATTGTCGTACTACATCAGCAAACTACCGGTTTTGGATACAAGATTCCCACAGCGACACAACTAGCACAGCCCCACAGTGGTACAGCGCACAGAGCGCACAGAGTGACAGTGCGGCACAGTCTCGCACAGTGCACAGGGTCAGGCGATAAAATGTGATGTAAATTATAGATTAATATCAATATCTTGCTGGTCTTCATCAAAACACGAGATCTCGGAGAATGCATTTCACAGCATGACAACTTATATTCATTTAATAAAGTACTTCAACAGATAGCTAAAATATAAAATGTGCAATGCGTATATGTATTGACAATCATGTACACAGTACAAGGCTATGGTCACAATGCAACATCCAACAGACAGATATTCTAATCAGCTGTACTCATCAGCGACTGCATACCGATTTTAAGAACGAATTTGCTTACATGACTTGATGGTGGATTTTGGACGAGGAGACCAAAGTGACTGCTCTGAGCAGACAAACCCGCACCTCACCACGAGAGCGCGTGTGCGCCCTACATTAGCTTCCGCATCTCCAAAATTTCTCTTTGCCCTCTTCGCTCGAAGTCGTAGGTGGTGTTTGCGCATGCGAAAATGATGAAGAAGCCGCTCAGCAAGGTCCTTCTCGAGACGTCGAACTTCGAGATCAGCTCGTGCCATCTCGAGCAGGTAAGATGCTTCCTCTGAAGTCTCCGGCATTGAGTCCATGTAAGCGTCAAATGGTTCATTTGGGTAGCGGCGTATGTACTGTAGATAAAACTGATTCAAGGCAAGTGTTAGAATCCAGCCCATAACTCACCATATTATACACTTCCGAGGAGTCAGATGTATCATCTGAGATGTCGGAAGGAGTTACAGAATCTGAGATTTGTTGGCCTCGACATAGTGAATACGGGGATTGAGATGATTGAGATGGTGAGGCATAGCTTGAACAACACTTCGACATTGTAGTTACAGTTTGCGTCGTCCCGGAAATTGCCGGGACAATATTGAATCCAAATGAGTTCAATGACTTACTTCGCACCTTCGATATGCGCTGCCCCTCCTGCAGCAAGCGTTTCAAGAATGAGGGACGCTTTCTGCAACACCTGAATCAGCCTTCTTCTCACTGTTACAAGTGGGATGGTAACCTAGTTCGCATCTTAAGACCAGCACAAGCTCCAAGTCCTCAATTTCCTCTCCACAACGACACGGACCCGACCTTTGACCCGGAGTATATGGACCATGGAGTTGATGCAGACACTGGAGCGGAGTATGGGTCTTCAGGCTCGCAGGCAGATTACGGTGAAGAAGTGGAGTTTTATGACGGTGCAGGCAAGACGTGGGGTGTTGGGAAGACTTTCATGGACCAATTCAACGAGGATGAATATGCTGCAGAGAGGGAGCAAAACCAATACTTTCCTTTCGCTAGCAAACCGGACTGGGAGATGGCATCGTATATTCTTCGGTCCGATCTTAGCATGGCCGAAATCGACGAGTACCTCAATCTTGAATTTGTGAGTTCATCTATCCTCTAAATTTCTTCGTCTAAACTTATGTTCAGACCAAAACACTCCCGTTGTCATTTCGCTCTTCGCGAGAACTCCGAGGACGTGTTGAATTGCTCCCAGCTCCCCCTCAATGGAAGTATCAAAAAATCACTACCGAGTTTCCAACGACAAAAACCCTTCAAATATTTTATCGGGACGCAATCGAGTGCTTGCAGTCACTTCTCAGTCACCCACTGTTGGCCGCCAGCTTTGATTTCATCCCATGCAAGGTTTACGAGTCTGCCGAACGTGCGGTTCGAGTTTATCATGGTTTCATGACAGGCGATCATGCTTGGAACCTTCAGGTAAGGTCTCGTGTCTTGATTCCTCGTTCTGTATAACTAACAAGACCACAGAAAGACCTACCTGAAGGTGCATCCCTCCTTGGTGTAGTCCTCTCCTCGGACAAGACCAAGGTCAGCAACATCGCTGGCAACCGTTACGCGCATCCACTTCTTGTTAGTCTCGCCAATATTGATCCTGGAGTGCGTGCCAAAGGCTCCTTACATGCATATATCCCACTTGCTTTGCTTCCTGTTGCAAAGTTCTTGCACAGGAACAAGCGCATGCATGGGGTTCTCGCAGACCGTTTACTTCACCAATGTATCGACCTCGTTGTTGAGCCATTGAAGCAGGCTGCCCGTCTTGGCGTTATGATGAGTGATCCACGGGGTTTTAGCAGGTATTGCTTCACCCCCCTCGTTGCTTATGTCGCAGATACTCCGGAGGAACTTGTAATTGCATGCGCCACTATGAACTCATCGCCTGTCACTATGGCTACCCGTGAAGACTTTGGGGACCCAATCCGACACCCTCCTCGTGATGGATCATCAACCCTTGCCAACATTGCAGCGATTATAACATCTATCTCACCTTCCGATCTCATCCCGTTCTTCGAGGCATGCAAACGCTACAATCTAAACGGTGTTGACTTGCCATTCTGGAGGAATTGGCTTACCGCAAATCCTTCCTCCTTCCTCACTCCAGAACTACTTCACCATCTCCATAAAATGTTCTGGGACCATGATCGTCTCTGGTGCACAACAGTGGTTGGCTCGCAGGAAATTGATTTTCGTTTTGCGCTCCTCCAGGTGTGCACTGGTTACCGTGCATTCAAGGAGGGAATCTCCGCTTTGAAGCAAGCCACCGGGCGAGACCATCGCAACGTTCAACGGTATATCGTTGGCGTGATTGCTGGTGCTGCCCCTGCCGACTTCATATCTGCTATTTCGGGCCCTCATGGAGTTTAGATACCTCGCTCAAGCCCCGCATTTCACCGACAAGCAAGTGGTAGATTTAGACCGCTGTCTTAAAGTCTTTCATCGGTTCAAACAGTCTATCGTTGACGCTGGTGCTCGGCGGGGGAAAGGGGGTGGGGATAAGCCATGGGCGATTCCAAAGCTCGAGCTGCTGCAGGGGGTAGTGCCCAGTATTTGTTCACACGGCGCTGTCATGCAGTGGTCTGCAGACCCCACTGAACATGCGCACATCAAGGTTGTGAAGGAGCCAGCGAGGGCAGGGAACAATCACGACTACGACGCGCAAGTGTGTCGCCACCCTCGATCGTCGTGATAAGGTGGAGCGTTTTGACCTCGCACTCCAGATGCGTGCACAGGAGGACCACGAAAGGGACGAAGACAACGAGGGTGGTCTTGTCCAGCATTTTGTCAAGGACTACTTTGCTTGCGCGCGCGACCTCATTAATGGTGTTCATCCTCAAGCTCCCCGTCCCTATCGAACATTCTCCACCTCAATTAACGCTTACCATCTCAGCTATGACCCCACGCACACGAAAATGACAGTGGATAAGGCTGCTGAAAACTTCTCTCTTCCTGACCTCCGTCCCGCAGTCTCCGATTATCTTGACCAGGTTGATGCGCATGTTGATCACTTCGCTGTTGGTGGGAGGCGCCATGCCCACCCTGGCTGCCCCCTCCCCTTTGAACGCATTCAAGTATGGTGCAAGATACGGACACAATCAAAATCTTTTCACGACCCTGCACAGCTTGAGCCCGCGCAAACGCTACATGCTCAACCACCCTCCAGTGCCTGGCCATACGGCCGATATGACTCTGTCATCGTTAGTTCAGGCAACACGCACAAGTGGCCAAAAAGTGGACTGGATGGTATGTTTTTATGTCTATACCGTCACGCTACTGATGTTGACAAACGCAGGACACTTTGTTGCTCACCTTCGCTTGATTTTTCGTCCCATCACGACACTCTCATATTCCGAATCATATCTTGCATATGTTGAACGTTTGGATGTTGTGACTCTCGACGATTCTACGGGTATGTATATTCTCAGGCGTGCTCGACGAGCGAATAATGACCGGATTGGCGATGTCATCCCAATAACTCAGATTGTGGCACCCGTCCATCTCATCCCGCATTTTGGTCCAAAAGCCGATCCGCGACTGACGATGCAAAGCAGCATTAACCATGCCACAGAGTTTTACCTGAATAAATTCTGGAATAAGGAGCTTTTCTTTGCGCTTCATGTGACTAGTAGATAAGCTCTTAGCATTAGACAGATAGGGGTATTCACTAGAATGGTGGTTTTTTTCATTGGCCCTTGTTTTTAGCCCATCGTGAGAGTCGCTGTGGCATAGCACCCAAATCCATGTAGGCTGACACGTCAGTTACAGTTTCTTTGTTCCTTGAAGTCTTTTAATGGCTGCGGTCTTTGGAGACTTTGGAGGAGATGCATACTACTATACAGCTCGTAACTCCAGAGGCAAAAAACCCGGATCCGATACGAAAAACGAACCAACGACTCCAGGGATGCCAGTGTTATCCACGACATCTTCATGGATCTCCAACAGATCAAAACGACGTGGCCCTAAGACAGAGACCCCGCGTTCTGCAGATGTGACTTGTATGCTGACGGATCGCTTAATCTCAGCATAGATTGCTTACTTTACATATTTATAGGTAAATCATCAAACACCCCAGCAGTGGTGCCAGAGACTGAAACTGTAGCAACCGCCAAGTCCGAAGCCGACACTGCAGTCGTGCATGATCAGGTTTTGGGTATCACACATGTTATCACTGCAAACCCAGGTAAGGGTGCTGGTCAACTAAATATTATTGTTTCTCATAGTTCGCTACTAGATGGGTGCCACGAGCAACTCGTAGATGCTCTTCGGCAGGTATGGGTGGAACCTGTATGCTTTATCAATGTCTCTGCCGAAAATCATGCCCGTGTTTTGGAGCACATGGACGCTCTCACATTTTCTAACTATCACACAAAGTACGTCATATATAAATTCAGTCAAACATTTTTCTTATGTCGATGTTGTTGTAGGATGTCATATTTTCCTCACAGGATGATTCTCATCATATACTCTCCGCTCCCTGTCCATGAAGAAACAACATCTGAGATGTCGTTCACGATCTCACATGCTCTTCACAGCATTCAGTACAACCGAACCCTCTTGAAGACCTCCGTCTTAACCAATAGTCGGATGTACTCCGAACACCTCTTCACTATACCCGACATGCAGGTGACCATGAAACCCACAACCACGACAGCCGCTGAGACGCAACTTCTCTGGATGGCCGAATCTGGATTCACTCAGTCTCGGGTTGCCATCATGACGAAAATGGAGGATACTCTTCTATCGCACGAAGAGCTCCTCCTCATTCTTATGATCTTGGTCAAAGAAAGGAAGAAATATGCCTCCCCCGCAGCAAACTCCGTTACTTGGAATCAGACACGTGAAGAGGGATCGGTGCGGACTTACAGTGAGTTCGCACCTGAACGCACTTCCGACAAGTTATTTGGGCCAGTAATAGCAATGGGGCATGAGTGGATTGATATTGAGTCTGTCGATTATTTTGTGTGGGTGAAGTCTGGGGATCAGCGGATTGACTTGGCTGCTCCTCCCACGGCGCACGGCGTGAGTCTAATGTTGCAATGATAAGAATATTTATGCTGACAAGTAGTATCTTTGCAGACACTTTTTCCGAATATTGACATGGACAATGTGACTGACGCATTGAACCATGGCTTGGATCTCGTGAAAGCCACGATGAGCAGCACCCTTGACTTAATCGAACCCAGCGTAAATCATAGGCATCTCCTCACTCCCAGCGCACTTACATTCAATTGGGAGCTTGACAGTTCCTCCATGTCAGTTGCCGTTTATGAAACTGCCCACGCCCGCTACTGCGATTGGTACCGTCGCCAATTCTCTGGTACGAAACGTCGTCGTGTGGACAATCCTACCACAGATGAGAATACCAGGCCCTCGATCAGGAGGGCATTATCCTCTGGACATGTCCAGGCGGACAACCAAGAGAACGCCAAATCTTCAATCAGCTCTGCATACGTCTCCGACACAAGCGACGAGACTGTTTCCTCCTCGGAACTAGCAACACCTGGAACCGAGTCTTCCTCTGGACTGAGTAGTGATGATTCAAATGTCTAGGTCTTGGTGAGGGGGATGGAACTTGGCTCCCTGTAGACGTATATCTTTCACTGCTCACTACACTTTCATCATGACCATTTTGTTCTATTTTCTTGTTGTACCTAGTACCCCCAGCGCCATTTTCCGCACTACCGCGCGGAGTTTCAAATAAGTAGTACTTACTAGTACATGGAATGTTATACTTCTTGTCTTCGGGTTCATGTTCAACGTTTGATGGCAGGCAAACGCAAGACCATAGTACCTGATCTTGGTGAGTACACTGATTTCTATATAACAAAACTGATATGTAGCACTGCAGATGACCTCCGTCGCTCTAAGCGAAGTAACATGGGTCAAGGTGGACGCCTCACCCAACTTCAAAAGCTCGAGTCCTCACAGATGAATAGACAACGTCCAGTGAAGAAAAACCCCGCTCAGGAGATGATAGACAGCCAACCAGTAAATGTCATGGCGCCGGAGGCACCTATACGCAAACCAAGGGCAAGACCAATCAAGGCGACTAAGACATCAAGCAATGAGAAGACTGAACGACATCTTTCAAGCTCCAACTTACCACAGCGTGTTACTGAGGACAAGCCCACTTCGCATCCTCGTAGTCCCGACTCAAGGTTTGGCTTTGTCCCACCTCCACCTGCGACCTCCGAACGCCATTTCATCCGTGCTCTCTCTAGGTTCAACAGTACACCATCAGGATCCTCCCAGCCTAACACGCCCAAACGCACCCTCACTGGCGCCCATTCGCGGAAACACGACAATCTGCGTCATCATTCCAAGTCAGATACTAGCCGTGCCCTACCAGCATCCAAACCTGTCCCTCTTGAACACACCCCCGCTGGTGCTCATTCACAGAAACGCAACGATCCACGTCCTCACTGTAATGCTAGTCGTAAACCACCGGTGTCCAAACACATCCCTCGACACACCTGTCACCAGTGACAGCAATCCGCCCACTGACCTGGAATCCGATTACACTCGTCCATCACGGATGAATATTTCAGATGCCGAGGCTCCTCTACATGGCGATGAGGGCTACGACTCGGGACGAGATCACGATGTGGATGCTAACAATTCTGATCTGGACAACTCGGATGCTAGAACTAATGACGTGCAGGTGGACCATGGCAATGATGGTGATAGTGGGGAGGCGGACCAGGATGTTGATGTTGATAATCTGGGTGTAGACCAGGATGATGGTGACAGTTTTGTTGACGACCCCCACCAGGATCATGACACCTCGAAAGATAGCAACGATGGTAAGATATCCCATGCATGTGTCCATCATGCTACTGAACTTGCCCACTTGCCTTATGCAGATGAATTCACTCGTGCACGCTCACGAGTCGCCGACAGCTCACACAATGCCCGAGATGTCCTCCAAGACCATCGCGCAAAGAACTGTCGCCCTCGCATGCCTGACCTGGATGAGCTCGAGACTTTGCGTCGTCGCGCTACTACTCAAGATTCAGCTCAATCTTCTTCTGAAGAGGAGGTTGTAGTACCACGCAAGAGAACGCGGATGATCAAAGCAACTGCGCAGAACATTCGCTTCTATCCTCCTTCTTGGAAGGATTTACTAGAGGCCGCAAAGAAGAAATCACGCCTAGGCTTGCTCACTAGCACAGCGTCAAAGCGCAGTGATTTTCTCAAAACCAAGGGTATTGAATATCTCTTAGAAACACTCGAAGACTTTGGATCCCAGGGTGTTGGTGTTGACGACGGATACTGGGATGAATATAAATCTGATATGGCAGTCCTGGTATTTGTGTTCTTACTCTGTCGGATCACGCTAACAATTATTTTAGCTATGGGACGATCGCGCTACTATGCGTTCCGAAATGAAAAAGGCTGCGCGTCCGATTGTTCTGGCACATTACGAAATTCTTCCACCCGATGTTGACGACGAGAACGACTATGAGCGGGAGGTGCGTGACAACGTCAAAACATTGTTGCAGAATGGTGCTTTCCTACGGGATGGAGTAGATGCACAGGCAGGTTAATGAGAAATAGCCCCGCACTTACTGACTCACGCGGTGTGTATTAGGGCAGGACCAATAATCTTGCAAACGAGGCCCTGGGCAGCTTTTGTATGTCCTATTTTTACAAGGGTGAGAACGCGCTCGCGAAGTCATTTCCAGACTTGTTCGCCGATGCTGTCCCCGAAGGTGCCGTTGCACTTGCAGCGACTGCGGTATGTGATCTCAGGCTCGGATAATCGTCTTCGCTCATTCATCTCTAACTAGCTTGCTGCCGCTATCGACGAGTACAAGACCGGTACTTACAAGCAAATGAAATTCGTCGCCGATTTATATCAACCCATCTACGACAGCGTCATTCAGCTCTACCATGATGTGCAGAAGGACCACTATCATGCAAAGAAATGCCGGGCCGCCAGAAAGAAATGGGCTCGTACTGCAGGGTATTGTGAAGCTTTTTTTATCATTTGTATCATTTTCTGACGGCTATGCAGAATCCTGACTCGCGATGATCCAAACAGGCGCCATGACTGGGGCTTGAAACTCCAACTGGACTGATCGTGTTTTTAGCATTTTTGTAGGATACCTGATTGTAGTATGACGCAATGACATCATGATTTGTTTGGTTTCAATTACTGTGCACTTTCTGTAGTGATGCTGTGAGCATTCTGCAGTATTCCTGTCTGGCCTACCCAATGCTCTGTATTGTTTTGCTCAGTGTAGCTAACACTCTGTACCGCTCTGTGCAGCTCTGTACAGTATCATACATTACACTGTACGACTCTGTACAGAGCTGCACAGAGAGAACCCTCTCTGTGGGCTCTGTGGCTCTGTCCAGCACTGTCCAGGGTTGTACAGAGGACCCTGGGTTTGCTGATGTACACTCCGCGGAACCGCCGCTTCAAGCTCTATACCATTACTACATCGTCGTCTTGGTTGGACTTGAGTTTGCGGAGAGTTTTCTCCAACCAGGCAGCTCGAGTTGTCTCTGGAAAATTAGAAAAAATTACAGCCTGTGTCTTGTCCCTAGCGAAGTAGTCTGCGATCTCGAGCTGATCATCAGCTGTAAGAGTCGTATGTTCTGATAACAAGACAACAGCACGAGCGAGGGGGTCAGATGAAGTAACCTGGGGGGGAGTTTGGAGGTAGTCTTTGATGTAAGTAGTGAGCTCCTTCATCGTCTCAGACCCATCCTTTTGTGCCTGGGCAGTTACAGATAGTGGCCGGCGTGTACGTTTTCGAGCGCTTGCTTCTGATTCAATAATTGAGGGTGTGGAACTGATTCTGCGCTTTGCACTGCGGCTAACACTTGTCAACACAGACGAGGGGGCTGAGCCACCACCGGAAGAGGTAAGGAAACAAGATGGAGTAGAGGGCGATGTTGATGAGGGATCACTGAAAGTGGCCGATGGCCCAGGAGTGCGGAGAAGCCCACTGCCACCCACTTGCATGACTTCTTCGGTTGCAGAGGTAAGCTGGCTGAGATTAAAGGAGGGAGGAGTAGCCTGAGGGATGTCATTGCCGGTGGGCACTGGAGGTGGTCGATAGACATGCGATCCTTTTGCAATCTTTGGCGTCATCTGCTCCATAGCAGAGGTATGTTTGAAGCCCTTATTTTTGAAGGCCTTCGCTGCAGGGCGTCGCTGAGAGTGATTGCGTTATTAGTAGTGCCGGCTGCAGCAGTGGCAACAATACATACCTTGACGTACCGATCCCAGACATCATTATTCTTCATCACTATTCCAGCTCCATACTCATCACTCCATGTAAATCCCGATGTGTTCTTGATATCTGCGACAGCACCATATGATGTTTTGAGCTGCAAGACATACATTCTTTGAGTTTTCCCTGATCACCGGCAACACGATCATCGGACTGATAACATACAGATTGCCACTTGTTCTTACAAACACCAGCTGTCTTCTCAGCACCAGATGCATTTGGGAATCTCTCCTTCAGTAGATTTGCAGCGCTGGTGAGTGTTGTACCCTTGGGATTTCCATCGCCACTTGCAGAGAACTGAGATAACAGGAAGTCAACGAAAACAGTTTCTTCTTCTAGCGTCCAGGAGGCAGCAGGCTTTCTTTTGCTTTGGTTCTTCTTCAATTCTACTGGATCAACAGTACCACGAGAACGAAGGGAGCGATTAGATCCATCACTGTGGCTTGATACATTAGATGACATGGCGGTTATGGCAGGGAAGCAAGGTGCCCTGTGTGAAAGAATCTGTGTGATCCGGGATCTCCCAGACCATGTGACATGACTCAGTTGAAATTTGAAATTTTGTTATTCATTGTCCAGATGTGCTCTTAGCTTTCCAGAGTTGCCGGACCTAAATCCGCTCTCGCTCACTTGGTGGATACGACGCGTTGCCTTTCTCTGCGAGTTGCTGATGAAGCTCCGCTCCTAGCTTCGAAATGGTGAATACGTGCTTCCAATTTGCTAGTTGTCAATTTTCTATTCTCTAGGCTCATCATCAGCTTCTACTATACCTTTCGTTGAATTTTAGGTATCTTTCTGATCCCAAACTTGCGTAGGAAATTCAGGAACTCTCCTTTTCCACTGTAAGGTCAAACAAGACCATATGTATGCAATGATCGGTATCAGACTTACGCTGATGTAGGCCATTATGCGCTATATATTGTTATTATATGTCGTTCTGATTGGTCCACTGATTCACTGACGCACGGGACGAGGAACGGGAGCAAACAATGAAACATGTTAAAATGCTAGACGACGCGAGATAGACTTAACTAGGCACTAGTCTTCATTACTGAGACCCTACTACTCCGACACCTCCCAGGGCCTAGTGAATATCTCCTCGATTCCGTGGAAGAAAGTAAAGATCAGACACTCCAGTGGGATGCACTTGCGTAAAGGCACTCTGATCTCACGTCCGCCGTCTTATCCGGGGCTTTGGGAACTCTAGAGGTGTCTTTAGAATGGCCCTTTTGACATCTACTGCAGAATCAGGTAGACCCAAACGCTTCAAGTCGGACTGTGTTAGCTTGTTGATTTTGCAGCCTGGTACGGCGAACGCAATCAGTGAGGGATAAGGACGATTGAAATCAGGCTGCACGTACCTAGGGACTTGAACAACATATTGACTCTGCAAAGGCATGAACTTAGTGCATGACTATTGCCACTGAAAAACTTACTTCGCCGGTTCCATGCTCAAATCAGCGGCGAGAACGCTTGTGTCGGTTGCAAAATCGTCGACGTGAAGGCATAATGTCAAACATGTGCGTCAGAAGCATAGTCCCTTTTTCAGATGTCTTTCTTGCCCTGCGAAATTTTGAGGGCCACTACCCAGAGGAAGGTATAGAGGACGTACTCCACGGATCCACGTGCAGTCTCTGAGAACCGTGATAAAAGTCCGTCAATCACGACGCTAGGAACCATCGGCAATTTCTCTTGAATGACGTCCTTGTTGATATTTTTAAAGGTGGCCTTGTGGAAGGCAATCATTGTTGAGATGTATATAAGCATTTTTCTGGAAATATCATTGTCAGTGGATTCTAGTGATGGACAACACATCTACACACATAGTGGTCTTGTCTGGTGAGGGAGAAGCAAACGCAAGCGCTAAATGATCATTGACCCAGTGGGAACGCTTGAAGGGGAGAAGAGCGACCCGCTTGGCATCACCGTCTGCACTCATGTAATTAGAAATGGACAGTGCCTTCCATTCAGGCTTTGGAATCATGTTGTGCAAGGGATATATGTCGTTTGGATTGAGAGCATCAATGTCGTACTGCGGGACTAAACGAGTACTGTCCGCATTCGCTTTTGCTTCCTCTAGGGACACCGTTCAGTATGAAAACGGAAGGGACGAAAACAAACAAACCTTTCGATGGTAGTGTAGATGTGTTCTTTAGAATACTCTCTTGGAGGTGATCTGCAACACCTTCCATTGCGGAAACGTCGACCTTGTTGCGCTCTTGCGCGCGGATCGCTAGTTTCGCCTTCTTGGTTCCGAACGTTTCGCCAAGTGCCGCGCGGGCCTCAAGCCGCTGAAGAGTAGAGACAGCAGCAGGTTGGAGACCCTTGAGGGCTTTAACTTCATGTGTGAGTATATGCAACGGAGCAGCTCGAAGGGTTGTAATGCCAGTGCGTTTATTATGCACTCCGACAAGGTATCTACGAATAAATGATGAAAAGATAGATATGATTATTCGATATTCAGTAATGAACGCAGAGTGTATGCACGCACCTGCTGCCCAGTGAACCCCGTCGTGTTTCTTCAGAGGAGTAAAAATCTACGGCTTCCGTCTCGCCCGCAATCAGCATCGGGATCTCAACGAACGGCATTTCCTCATTGTCCGTCGTCGGCTTTTGTGTTTGTGTCTTGTAGCATTTGAAAGAAGTGGATTTTGTGGGCTTGACGGAGGGGAAATTAGCTGGTGGACGGGACACCACCGGCTTTGCTTGAGTTGAAAAGCTTCAACTGTGACGACCATCTGCACTCACCAAGAACGGGACCCAGCTGCGTTGCAGGCTGATCTGAGAGCGCAAAGGACACCCTTTGAGTGTCGTCTAACTCACGCTTGCGCTTCTTGGAAGTTGTCATCGCAGCCATTAGTGACCGCTTGCTGGCTGGAAAATCGGGCTCACTCCCGCGGCAGCCCGTGGCTTTTTACAACACAACACAAGTTGTCAGGTCAGTTTCAGTTGCTCAAACTTATATGAACTCATTTATATTTTATTTTACAGCATTTTATACTGGTAGTTTCTATACACCTGTATAGGATCTGGAGTTGGAGTTGTTATTGTTAACTTTGGCCTCTTCGTCAGAGGTCTTGTTCCCATTTCTAACCGCGGACTCACGCTTTCGAGCACTTACATCCCTACCACAATGTCTAAATCTCGCTCTAAGAGCAAGAGCCCTCCTCTGGAGATTAAACCAAAGCTAGAGGAGGATATCAAGTTAGAAGAATCTCTTTTCCCTCCAATAGACACTAAGACCTCCAAGCCGGAGTCATCACCGCCCCTCAAACGAGAATCTTCTGAATCCGCAACCAATGTAAAACCCAAACCAACAGGCCCACAGCTCATTGGCGACCTTCCGCGCGCGGAAGCCGCCGCTCACGCAACATTTGTGCAGATACCCGACAACCACTATCAGTATGGGACACTTGGGCGCTCAAGAGAGGAGGGAGAGAGTATGACGTGTGACTGTCAATATGAGCATGGTTGGTCTGATACCTTCTTGGGTAGAGTAGTTGTAGACTCTAAGGTCTTACTACGCAGGTGTCGACGACCCATCGGATGCCTGCGGGCATGAGTCAGATTGTATCAATCGGCTCACACAGGTGGAGTGCCTCCCAGATGACTGTCGGTGTCGAGTCTACTGCCAGAACCAACGGTGAGACTATCGTTTCTTCAGTCTTCTACTGCCATTGCTTAACATGCTGCATCCTCAATTGCACGTATTCAGGTTTCAGCGCAAGGAGTACGCCGATATTGAGATAGTACAGACGGAAAAGAAGGGTTTTGGTCTTCGAACTGGCACGGATCTTTCAAAGTGAGATATCTCGTTCTTTCTGAAGCGTATAAGCCCCTCACATTGGCTAGGGATACATTCATCTACGAGTATGTCGGCGATGTCGTCAGTCACCCTTCCTTCATGAAGCGTATGCGTCAATATGCGGAGGAAGGAGTCAAGCACTTCTACTTCATGATGTTGCAGAAAGATGAAGTACGTTGCCTCACCTTTTCGTGTCTCCACAGACCACTGATGGTTTTCCAGTACATCGATGCTACAAAGCGAGGTGGCATCGGCAGATTCGCAAATCATAGTTGCAACCCAAACTGCTACGTCGCGAAATGGACGGTGGGAAAGCACGTCCGCATGGGCATCTTTGCAAACAGGTACATACGCAAACATGAGGAACTCACCTTCAATTACAATGTGGACCGTTATGGGTAAGCTCAATTATTTATTGTTTTTTTAGGTGAGCTCATACGTCCAAGGCATGAAGCACAACCGTGTTACTGCGGAGAGCCCAACTGTGTTGGCTTCCTGGGTGGCAAGACCCAGACTGATATCGCTGGGATGGATGACCTGTATCTCGACGGTGCGTCTGCCAGCGAATACCTTGTTTTTGATTGCCAATGCTTCTGCTCTTTTAGCATTGGGTATTACCGACGAAGTGGAGAAGCTGGGCCTCAAGGGTAATAAGAAAAAGAGGAGTAGAAAGCTTGACGAGGACTACATGGTATGCCTTACGAATGTTACCTCTCTTCTGTTACTCACCGCCTTTCAGCCAGAGCTCAAACCTCTTCTTGAGAAGGACATCCCAAAATTGGTTCAAGCGATCCGGCAAACGCAGAGTAAGAAAGTCCTCTTCAAACTTCTTACTCGAATCAAGGTATGCCTTCACATCGATCTTGTTGTGAAGTATAATGTATTGTCCTAAGATCACCGAGGACCAAGCGGCACTACGCCAGGTTATGCGGTTGCGAGGCTTCAGTTTGTTGCACAATATTCTCGAAGATCACGCCAAAGACATTGATATTACAATCACCGTGAGTCATTACTCTCAAGTAGGGGTGGTCACATAATAAGGTAACCGTTACAGGCCTTGGAAGCCATGAGCCGCTGGCCGCTTATCCAGAGGAACAAGGTTGACGATTCGAAAATTACCATACCTGTTCGAATGTGTCTCGAATCGGAAAACGAAACCATGAGAGGACTTGCCCAAAAGGTCGTTAATACCATTCCTAAACTCATTATTCTAACGGGATATTCACAGCTCTTGGACCACTGGGACACCCTCGAAATCGCATACCGCATTCCAAAGCGAGTTAAAGCTGTAAGTTAACATTCCGTTTCCAGCCAGTAAGAACACGGTATCATTAAAATATGCAGGATGGCGAGGAAGAGCAGCCTCCGCACCACATTGCCATGATCGAGTCACTAGAAGGGGAACTCCGCCCACTCAAGAAGCCGAAATGGGAAGATCAGTACGAACAGCACCATTTCCGCCCCGCCCCTAAACGCCCGCCCTCTACCTCTACCGTTATTGTTCAGCAGCAGTGGCCACCCGTTTACCTTCCGCCAGTGGTTCATAGGCGATCGAAAGATGAAATTGCTGCTGTGATCGCTGCTGCAAAGGCAACTGCCGAGGCGGAGGCTGCCAAGGCCCCCCCTCCGCCACCTCCTCCAGAAGAGAAAAAGGTGAAGAAAGAAAGACCTCCGAAGAAGATTCAGACAGCAGAGGAAAAGGAGGCGAATAAGGAGAAGAGGCTATTGAAGCTCGTGGGCGCCGTCGTCGTCAAATGCATGTCCAAATATTCAAAACAGCTTGACCATGAGCAGTTCAAGAGATATGCTAAGGAGGTGGGTGTCATTTCATTGCTCTACAAGGGGATTATCCACTGATTTTATTCCCCAGCTTACGCACGTCATTGCCGAGAAGGAGAAAAAATCTTCCAGTTATAAAGATGGAAAACTAGACGTGCTATCTGACGAGAAGACGGCAAAAATCAAGAAGTTTGCGAAGGAATATATCATCAAGGTGCTCCGGAGGCATGAGAAATCTAAGCGAAAAGCCTCATCGTCTACTGCACCAGCGGCCTCACTCGCGATCGAGGAAAATGATCACGAAGAAGGAGGCGATGTACCTATGGTGATGTCTGTCGACGAAGCAATGGATCTTGGTAATGGGTCAGATAGTGAAGCGGATGATGCAGACAGAGGAGGCGATGTGGAGATGCAGGATTTGGAAGACACGCAACATTCTTCAGATGATGTTGATGCATCCCCGAAGGAAGGAGTCGCCGAACACCCTCCACAGTCCCTCACCCCAATAACACCACCGGACGCCATTATTGATCCTAGACTGCGGCATCGGCTTGAAGAGCCAGGGAGCCCTTCAAAATATTGTTGGGACTCAAGTACATAGCACTTACTCAATCATTGTCTCCTATCTATCACGCTAAGTATTCGCCTCCTCACTTGCCTAGTTGTTAGATTGCACCCAGTTTTTCATCGCTGGACAAATTGAACGCATACTCTACCGATCGTGCTTACCCTTGCACTCAGGCTTTTATAACCACTGCAATGTGCTACAATATACGTCAGTTGAGTACCACCCACACTATGCTAGCACACGGAGACGATAATCAAGAATTAGTCCATATATACAAGCTGTTCACCGGTTCTGGTGGAAAAGTTACATTTGAAGATATCATGCCTGCTAAATGCAAGTTACTACTGGAATACAAATTTCATATCATCCCCTCGACCTTTGCTCAATCTCTACCACAGACAAACGAGTTTCAGCTTTCATATCCATATGAAACAATGCTCTGTAAGAACGCGCTCTTCACCAGGCTCGTCTCCGCTCACAAACCTTACCATAGCCCTGCTAAACACTGGCATTTCCGGTTAATCGAGCGTTGTCACTGCTCACAGCAAGAAGATGAGACAAGCCGGTTAGAGGTGAAGGATCAATAAGGGGATGAGGTTGAGGGATGTTAGCACGCGAGCCTCGAGGGATCTTATTTGGTGAGTCGAACGGGACATCAGAGAATTTCTAGGAACAGTTCTTTGTCAGACAGAGTGAACAGCCCTTCGGCTGTGCCCAATGCTAGCAGGAAATTTGTGGAGAGCGCAAGGCTTGGATGAAAAACCGTGGGGAGTTGTAGGATATAATCAGGGTCCGGGGGCTGAAAGCATCTGGACCAGACGAGAAAACGATAGGCCGGACAGAAGGATTTTCCGAGTGGAGGTTGACAACGATTTGACTTCCTGGCATCGCCGCTGCAGAAAGGAATATAAAAATTTCTGGAAGTGCTTCTCAATAAAGCCTTTCTTTTACCATATAATCCCCTCCGAATTGATGTTCTAGCTTGATTGCCGAATGGACGGATACGGATCTGGTTTTGCAAAAACGTTGAGCCTTTTCTTATAGTGCAGGATGAGTGCCTCATAGAGGATCCGAGGAAGCGCGCTGAAGAGAGCCAGGAAGTTTACCATGAGGGACAAGATAAGGTTATGCGTTGTCAGTGGGAGAGTAGTAAGCTTTAGCGATCCAACTCCATGAGTCTCCTGCTTGTGCGTGACGATCGAGTCAGTGATGTCGGGGTATGGCATATATATAAGTAGATCGAAACATCCGGACGTGGGGTGTCAGATGAAGGCAATGAAGGTGCTTTGACAGTAACTGTGTAAAATCCGGTACGGTCGTTGAAGGGAGAAACGAAGAAATTTCGGGGAAAAGTCCATTGATGATCCTACGTAGCTGAATTAATGAAGCGGGTGAGAGAAAGAAGGGCTATTAAAATAAGACCTTACCCTCGTGCTCGATTGTTGTCCTCTCAATCACCTACCTCGAGCACATATAAGTAGCCCTCCCCGAATGTGTTATGAGCCTGAAATAGGCTACGATGTACTTCTAGTTTAATCGCATACCTCTAGAACAACGAACCTCAGAACGTTAGTTGTAGTTAAATAAAGCATAACAATAAGAATAGAACGAACGAGTCAACAGCATAAATATAAGCCATTAATTATGGCGGTTTAAAAGTCGCGAGCCTTGGTGAGAAGTCTGAGAAAGACCTGCGGTCTGACTAGTTCTGCCAACATCGAAGGGTTAAAAAGTAACATCGCTGACAGGAGACGCGGCAATCGCGTGTCACGTGATTGACTTTTGCTTATCACATGACTTCAGTTTCTAAAGTCTGACCAAAGTCTTGACACGCTAAACATCTTCTACTTCTTCATAACTTAGCTCTAGATGCTGCCTGTGACTGTGGAGGAGAGCAAGGCTCAGCGTCTTCAGAGACAGCAGGCACGATTTAGGGATCGTGGAGGGTCAGTACCCCGTACCTACTACCTACATGTATTGAACCCTCTGCAGTGCATTTGTTCCCTCGGAAAAGAATGCCCTTAAAGATATTCTGTTGGCCCGCACCGTCTCTGGAGAGTCCCCTTCAAAAGTGGCCACGAGGTCACCCTATCGCCACCGAAGCCGTAGCGCATCTCCATCAAAGGCCAAACGCAACAAGGCGGCCAGTAAAGCCAAAGGGAGTCCTATCAAGGGCAGGGCTTCACGCTTAAAAACCAACACCGAGGCGCCAGCGGGCTTGTTCAGTGGAAACGCTGCGGCAGGTGTGTATCACTACTTCACGCGCAACGTCATCGGTCAATCATCGTGCAGGTCCCTCTATTGAGTCTGGAGGCAAAATATCGAAGGCGCAGACAAAGAAGAAAGCAGGTACTACTACCCGCAAGGGTAAAGGAAGTGCCAAAGCTACTGACGGTTTGCTTCTCTCTTATTCTGCTGAGATCACCTCCCATACTAGTTGTCAGGTAACGATGTCTCAGAAGCAGAAACAACCAAAGTCAAACCTGCTCCCAAACGCCGAGGACGGCCGCCGAAAACCAAACCTCAAGCTAGTGACCTTGGCAAGTTCATCCTCACCATCTTATTGCATATGTAGACGATCATTCACCCAGATATCGACGCTGATCCTGAACCATCAAACCACAAGACCCGGACGTCAAAGGCAAAGGCACCCGACATATCTAAAGTCAAAGCCAAATTGGCGGAGGAGCCTCGATCAGATGACGAAGGCACTCTAGTAGAAGCTCCCCGACCAAAAACACACTCCAAACGCAAGCCCGTTATCGTCACGATCGAATCCGATGATGAGGATGCGCCCACGCCTGACAACAAACCTGCAACCGCTGAGCCTTCCGCGATTCCGAGGACTGCTCACAAACGGCCCTCCGCCAAAGATGCTCCGCTTAATCGAGCACAGGCCAAACAACGCACAGAGAATCGTAAGGAGCACCCGGATGAAGGTGATGCTTTTATACATGTATGAAGCGCTGCGAATATCATCTCAACACCTTAACAGAGCCGACACATGCTTCCTGGACGCGGAAACGTTCAAAGTGGACAGAAGTCAATGAGAAGCCTCCTAATTCAGTGAAAACAAAAACTTATGGATCTCTGATCGTTGATATCCCCATGAAGCAGTCTGCCACTAACCCCAAACGCAGCGCACCTGATGACGATGTTAGCGGAGATGTGAAACAACCTCTCAAGAAGCCTAAAGTGTCCGAATCTCAAAGCACTAAATCTCTGCTTTTATCTAACTCCATTGCGGTATTGAAACCTGATGCGGAAGACCCTGCTATCAAGAAACCTCATTCAGTTATGAAACAAGACACAAAGAAGAAGGAGCGCCCACCGGAATCGGATGACGAAGACCACATGCCTAAGAAACCTGTTTCAAAGAAGGCAAGATTTGATGAAGAACCGATGCCACGGTACGTCCTATAACAAAAACTGGCTGAGCGCTCCCACAATCTGCGGCTTCAGCGTGCATATTTCCTCCGAGAAACAGAAAGAGAACGCCCTTCCATCGAGAAAGCCGAGGACGGGGAAGGTTGGTTCTATATAGCTAGTACTATGTCCTGATCTTTTCTCACAAGCTGATTTATAGCCCAACTCCAAGCCCAAATCCAGAGGTCCACCCAAGGATGTTCTAGATCGCATCAAGGCAAGCGCCACATTACATCGGATCGACGATAGCGAGCCGGACCCGCTTGACTGCCTGTCATGACCACGTCGAATACTGTTCGGTCGCGAAGAAATTTGCATCATGTATCAATCATTTACGTACACTAACACACCAGCCAACCTATCTTCAGCAGTGTTGTCAATAATATTCGCTTTGTCACATTTGTCACCACTGATACACCGGAAATCTGCTGCTCGGTACACCTTGTAGAATGTTTAGGCGCCGGGCTGCGGTTCACACTTTAGAATCAGGAGGTGGACTGAAATAGTCGAATGTTGTCTGAGGGGCCTGAAAACTTCAGGCAGCAAAATGGCCGTGCAAGTGGCACATCATCCACCCACCACTTACGTATAAATCTACGCAATCAATGCCTCGAAAGGTGATCGCGGCGGTACCAGAAGGAAGCAAAGTGATCATTCTCTTCTATGTTCTATACAACGCCAGATGCAGCGGGAAGAACAGCATCCTCATCACGACCTATCGTGGTACATCGTATGAGCGTGATCGAATATAAGAGAACGGAGTAAAATTCACCCTCATAGAACTTCTGCAGGAATGTTCGGTGTGGCCGTTGGTTATTTTGGAGCAAGATCCCATACATATGGTCCGGTTGCTTCCAGCAGTTCAACGTTTCCTGCAATTCCTGCTGGCCCTTGAGCAATAACACCTCGATGGCGCGCTGGTCTGTTACGTGGCGGTTCTGCTCAAACTTCTGGCGAATTGAATAGCGCAGGTGTGCTGGAGTGACATTCAACGCATAGATTGTACATATCTCGGGAGCCTTGTCAAAAGATCGTTCGGTTAATGTCGGGTAGGAAGCTAGTTCAGTCGGTAGCGCACGTACAGCACGAACCCATGCCCTGTATAGGTCAATAACTCGAAGGCGCGCTTCTCCGCGGCTGCTTGAGATGCGCGTCATCTGCGCGAGTCGGGAGGGTATTGTGGTCATGGTCGGCCTGAACTGGTAACTGCAGTGAGCGTCGTGTTCAACGTGAATAAAGTTGCTGACATAAGCTTTACCTAAGTCGATTTAGCTACTAGCTAGTTTTTATCTTATCTCTTGACTCTTCGCAACATCACACCAAGAAAATAAGATGGTCAGAGGCTCAGGTAAAAGTCAATTCTGACTGGATCGGATATGTATTTTGAATACTTATCGAACAGGTAAGTTTAAGACCAAGCGTGGCGGAGGGAGGAATTTCAGGTGCAATTCGCTCACCGTTGTCATCCCATCGTCCACGCTGAATAGCGTTGTTTAACTTAGCAAACACCTCGAAATTGACGAGAACGGAACTGCTGTTTCACTTGATAAACGATGGTGAGTTTTTCAAGAGATAGTTATGGCATTTGGCTCAATAGTTTGTCCTGATCAGGGCTCCTCGTTGTCGAGAGGGCGAGGCCGATTCTGACGAAGAGAACAAATTGGAGGAAGAAGAGGAAGAGGAGGAGGAAGATGAAGATGAGGAGGAGGAAGAAGAAGGGGCCAGCGGTAGTGCCGCACAGCCTGAGCTAAGTCGCGCTGAGCGAAAGGCGCTCAAGAAGAAACAAGCGGATCAAAAACAACCAGGGGAGGAAGATAGTGACACAGATGCAGATCTAATAAACCCCAACCACGTTGAGAAGAAGATGAATATATCTGATCTTGCCGCGCCTCGAGAGCTAACCCGTAGAGAAAGGTGGGTGTTTACGCCTCAAGAATAATGTCGCTAACTGTCTATCTCTTAGGGAGGCGAAGGAGAAACAAGAAGCCAAGGATCGCTACTGGAAGGTCAGTTTGAGCTGCTGAGGCAACATATCGTTTTTCGTCTTCATTCAGCTCATTCCTTCAATTGTAGCTACATCTTGCTGGAAAGACCGATGAAGCAAAGTCTGATCTCGCTCGCCTTAGAAAGATCAAAGAGGAACGAGAGGCTGCTCAGGCCAAGAGGAAGGCTGAAGCCGAAGGTTTGCTGCAATGTCCACACAAGTCATTCACAACGATACTCACTACCCCCGCAGCAAAGGCCGCAGAGATAGAGGCCAAGCGCAAGGCAGCCGAGAAGAAACGTACTTGATTCTCATATTTCAACAGTCATCAAGACTCTGTAATACATAGTCTCTGTGTTGCTTGCATTGCACTCTGTAACTTTTTAATTCTCCTATAAAGCTAGAAAAATTGGCGTGGTGCGCATTGCGGAAGTCATGTGTGCGACGTTTCCGTCCCATCGATTGCCCATCCAGCCAGCATGGCTGTAAGGCCGCAAGGAATATAGAAGACGCAAGATAAGATTGCGAGGGAAGTGACCAAGGGGCTGCGGGCAGGCATTGGGTGCACATCTGGGAAAGTTAGGGCACCATGATGGTGAGGGGCACCGTGATGGTGAGGGCCTTCCTCCATGGCCGCAAATAATATGTCAAGCATCCTGTGGACATCCTCTAATGACAAGTGTTATGGCATTAGATTCACGTAACGTTCAAGAAAAAGCATAAGTTACCTTCCCGTGGGTCTGAGTCATGATACTGTAGTTTTATGTTCTTCGAGAAATACTCACTTCTGGCAAATTTAAAATCTGCGTGCTCTCGCACACGAGCCCGTATAGTTCCTTCAAAAATGAGCTTGTATGAAGTGCCTACTGTGTGATGCAACATACCGTCTTTAGACAGTGCAAAGAGAGCCGCCGCACCGCCAACAACACGGTAAGACCGATCATGCACCAACAATTTCAGTATGCGCGGCAGTCCTTCCAAGATGACCGGTTGAAACTCATGCATGACAAAAGTTCTTTCAGAAGAATGCCGAATCCCGACAAGAGCGTGAAGTGCCATTGCAGCATTCACTTGTGAGGCCCACTTCTGGTTGTCCAAGGCGGCCACTACGGCGTGGAATATGGCCATCTTAGATTCTTTAATCAACTCTTTCCCATCGGCTTTAATTTTTCTTAGCATAAATCATTATGCATAGAAACGCGTGCTCACAATAGTTGGATATGATGTCCAGGAAATCAAACGCTGCATGATTCAGCGCTGCTTCACCCTTTTTGAACATGGTACAAAGGGCCGCTGTTGTGTGGGCTTTAAGAACAGCTGCCCTCAGGTCATCTATATAAGAGTGTTGAGATCTCGAAAGGGGAAACACAGCAGCGCACAAGCTTACCGTTGCGCATGAGGCGTCCGAGCACCTCTTTGCCGGGTTCATTCTCGACCGTCCCGATAAACGATCCTTGTTTGAAAGCGCTGATGATGTAGTCAGGCGCGGATAGCTCAAACATAGCCTTTCTGATGTTTTCTGAACTGCATTGAGGAAGATTTGATCATAACATCAGGTAAAAAACTGACCGTGGTCCAGGATACGAGAGAGTGCGTAAGCCGCAAACAAACACTTCTTCTTGTGTTTTAAATGATTGACCAACGTCTCAACGACACCTTTCTCAATTGCTGTCAATCGTATAAATGCTGAAACAAGCTTAGCACCAGAAGATATATTATCGTATAAGAAACTCACGATACTGGAGCATCGACAACATCGCTAGAATAGCTCCGCTACTTGTTTCGTCTTTGCGATTTTTCATCAGCGACGCCAGGTTCTCAATGTGTCCTTTGTGAATCAAGTCTTCCTGAACGTCAACTGAAAGTCTGCTAGTCAGGCGCCACATGAGTGTAAGTATGCATATGTCGCACCATGGCTCGCAAGTTGGCCAAGGATTTGGATGGCAGGATCCTCGATATCAGTTAAGCGATGTTCCAACATGTGGACCAAAAGCGCGAGAAAACCACTTTCTGGGTGCAGCAATCGCTTGCGAAATTGATCTGAATCTTGCTATGAGCACATCAGTTAAGCGACAATGACATAAGAAACTTACCGTGTCTTGCATATGCACATATAACATTGCCCACCGGCGGTGATATGTAAAAGTCGTGTTGTTTCAAATGTTTGATAAGCGTAGGAATTAGATCCAGGACCTTAGCCTGGGCTGTTTCTGAAACGGGTTGTCAAGCCTACGCCTGCGTTCAAAGAACAACCGAAAATACCGTCATGGACAAGAGCAGCAAGTATGCGCAAGGCCGCTACCAAAATTTCTTCGTCTGCGATTGGTCATGTCAGCTTGAACGTATAAAAGCACTTTCAGATCGAAAACTCACGTTCGCTGCCGAGAAGTTTGATGATGCCCTTCGCGGCCTTTTCCGTCACAGCCGGTTGATGGACGTCTGAAGATATCCCATAGTCACAAAGTGAATATCGTTCCGGTGGGCTGAATTACGAACCATTGCGAGCAAGCAACGACAAAGTCTGTGATGCATGAATTTGCACCATCAACGACTCGGTTTCGGAGACCCCTCCAAGGTCTAGTACACGCTGGAATGTTGCTTCGCTCAAGATCTCGTTCCCTACCGCGGCATGCTTAACTAGAGCGGGAAGGGCTTTGCAAGCTCGAATCTGATTGATATCGTCCGGGCTCGCCAGCATTTTCAACACGTCAGCGGCTGCCTTTTCCAAGTATTGCGCGTCAAGTTGGGGCACTGCAGAAAGTGAGTGGACATCCGTGTAATAGGTTCACCATAACTTACATAGTTCACTCAGTGCAACGGTAGCACTGACACGCACTCTCGGATCATCGCTGTAACGGACCAACTCCTTTAGCTGGCTGTCCCAGCCGTCCGACTCTCTAATCGCAGCCCTTCCTTGTTCTGTAAAGTGCTCAGAAGACAAATTGCAATAAAGAAATAAAACACTCACCAAATGAAGCCATGAATGCTACTCGATCAACTGCGTCGAAACACTCCACTCCATGTAACTGGATATCTCTTAAAAGTGAGGGCACAGTTGATGCATCAAAGATATCCTTCTCCCACAGCTGACCCAGTTTGGAAAGCCGGTCTTGGCTGGCTGGATCGTTCCAGTACATCAATTCTGGCCATACGTCGAAGTCCTTCCAGAATTTGGCCTTGGCTCGATAGTTGCCTTTGAAAAGGACAGAGGCGTGAATCTTCTGTCCGGGGAGGATCACCCGAGGCGCGCCACGGTGGAGCCTTTAGAAGATTTGAATCAATTTATCGATGTACATCATAAGGTTCACAGCACGTACCCAAATGTGTGATTGTCTTGAGCGCCATAAACAACCCGCTTGATAGGAGCGAATTCGAGGAACCACCATGTTCTTCGAAGTGATTCGAACGTCCTCTTCTGCAAGTCGTCCATCTTCCAGACGACTTCCGTGGGCTTCACCCTCAAGCCTGCCTCGACAGCCTCCTTTCGCATCCATAGCAATGGAATGTCACCTGATTGAAGCTTCTCGTTGAGTCGATTGCCTCCGCCACTGAAAATGTCCGTTACTGAATCAAAGGTACGGGTATTTTAACGCATTTGACGTACACGTCCGAGTGACTACCTGCAAACCAGACCTCCTTGATGCGCTCGGAATGGGACCCCTCCGTATTTGCACCATGGATATACTCGGGAAGGAATTTGACTCGCCGCTCGTCCAAAGCAAGAGCATGTCTGAAATAGCACATATGGTGGTCGCCGTTAGTAGTCGAAGGTAGTGTCTTCCCCCTCACAACGCCAACTGAAGAAACAGTATCCCTTGACATGAATAAATAAACAAATATCAACCATGTTCCAAAGGTAAATGTCTTACCATACGCCGATAAAATGAATGTGGACGTGCGATCTGCAGAATGTGCTCTTGAACGTTTCAGCAAGCTCATTCGCCCAGGCATGTTTGCGCCGAGATTTTTTCTTCTTCGAAGCCTTTTCATCTATTTTCGAGTATAGTTCGAAGGCGCTAAATGTCGCCGAGATGAGAAGAAGCGATGGCACGAGATGGAGCTATGCTTACAATGGTATTTGCTCGTTATTGCCGGGGAGGATTAAGCCGACCTAAAGTCAAAAAAATCAACATCCGTTTTTGGTTAGCATGTCAATTCAGACGACTCACACGGTGTATCATTCCAGCAATTGCTCGGGCCTGGTAAGCGCCCCTGGAAAAGCCTATGACAAGATATTATCTCAGGTATCATTGCGTCTAAGTGCACGAGAACCTACCGAAAAGGTAAATTCTATCACCATCTTTATAGTTTTCTGATATCCATCGATAGGCTGCCAGTATCACTCTTTCAAGATTCCTGAATCATGCTCAATATTACTATATAGAGTTGAACGGTCGAACCGCCACACGTACCAAGCTATGAGCAAGTCCACCTTGTTGCTCAGCCAATAATGGACATATGTGAGAGAGCGCCACGTCGGCCGGGCCTGCGTGCCCACACCGCTGTTGTAATAAGTGAGCTGAGCTTCAGATTTCACAAGTTGGCTGTAGAGTTCGACGACATTAGTGTTCTGCGCAGTCGTTAGCCAAAGAAACTTGATCAAGTATATACGCACCTTCAGTCCAAACCGGTTCGATGATCCATCAATACAGACTACTAAATTCCTGCCCTCCTTGTGTTTGGAGTATGGACACGTGTATTTATATGCAGGGTAGGTTGTAGTCGTAGAACTTCGAGAAGGTACATCAGTGGTGAGCAGCGGCTCTGTTGCAAAGGGAGGCATGGTTGGTTGAGGAAGCTCTAGATTGGATTCCAGAACTTATTATGCATTTGTCGGGCGCTAGAATATCCGTGCAACCAGGCGAGCGCGTGCGGCGTTAGTGTACTTCTTGATGAAAGATTAGCGCCATGACCAATTCGAAACATAAATCTGGCGTCTTTGTGGTGAGCTACACCCATTATGTAAATCACTCATATGCAAAAATATGGACGCACAGATAACGAAACGTTTAATCAGACCATTCTATGGAACATGCTATTTCACGGTGGGACGGATCATGCCAAACTGTTATTAGCTGAACTCAGCTTCTCGAGAAGACCACCTGTATTATGTATAGCAGCCGACGCCTTGGGATTGGTGGGCAATGGGCATTAGCTTCAAGGGCCAGATGAGTCGCATGTCATTGTCAATGGGGCTTCGGTCGGACCGGAAAATTACAGAAGTCGGTTTATCTGACGGATCGTACCTTGAAATTTCGTACATAGGGTTGAAGTTTGAACCTGCAGGTCTTGGTCCTCTTGGAACGTGGGCCCGCCCTCGCTGACTAAGCGCCGTGGCTGCTGTCGTAGTTCGAGATTGTTTGCTTGCCTCTTAAGCTTCATCCTGGGCTCCAATGACTCTAAGAAGTCAGTTTGAAATTAATCGATGGCCAAATCCACAGGGCAAATATTTTATTTTTCCGCCTATAGTGTCGGAAATGTATTTGGGGATGGAAAGTGGATGAGGAAAGTGCAATAAGTTGTGCAAAATGCTGTCTCAAAATGTGGTTGGATTTGGATGTCGTCTACCTTACTACAGACATCTGACGTCCGTCCTGACCAGTCTTAACCAAGTGGTAAGCCTTTTCGCCATCTCTTGTCACATTCTTCCACCATCCGTCTGTTTTTTGGTTTGGTTCCATTAGCCTGTCATCATGTAGATCACGCGGCTACAGTGCATATGTCAAGCAATGTTTCAGCCGATGCAGGAGGCATTTCACGAGTTCAAAACCTGTCGACAAATGTCTCATCATGGACAGTTCTTTGAAGGTTCATCTCAACTTGAGAAGCGCCCTGGCCCAAGTGATTACCACAACCGAATCGAAATCTGTTTCTCTTGGACTGCGCAGGTTCGAAATCTGCCGACGACAAGTTTTTTCTCTCTCTCCCTCTCTCGGAACACACCTTGACATTCACTCATGGATGGTTTCCTCGAGGTTCATCTAACTAGTCTTAGCTAAGTGGTTACCACAACAGAATTGAAATCTGTTTCTCTTGGACTGGGCAGGAGCGAAACCTGACGATTGACAGGTTTTATTTTCCATCGGAACACGCCATGAAGATTCGCTTGTGGATAGTTTCCTCGAAAGTTTACCTCAGCTTCGTCCTGGCCTAAGTGCTTACCACGACAGAATCTAAATCTGTCTCTTGGACTGCGCCAGTGCAGGTTCGAAACCTGCCGAAGGCCAGGTTTTTTTACTACCTTTGAAGATTAATATTCGCTCATGGGTGATTTCCACAACAGAATCAAAATCTGTCAAACCTGCCGATGACCAGGTCCCTATCGGAACACACTTCAACATTCACTCATGAGTCATGGATGCTTTCGTGGGACGTTCAACATAATTGGTCCTAGCCAGGTGGTTACTGCGACAGAATCAAAATCTGTTTCTCTTCGACTGCGCAGGTTCGAAACCTGCCCATTGACAGGCCTTTTTCAATCGGAACACACCTTGACATTGATTCATGGATGGATTTGTTTTTGGAAGCCAAAATCACATCTCACAAAGAATGCGTCTCTCCTTCGTCCTCGCCGTCATTGCTGCTTTCAAGTTGACAGTGTCTATCCCTGTCGCTGACGGTCGCTGTGCCTTCTTCTGCGACAAGGAAAAATGTTGCCCTGGCTATGAATGCATACCATTCAAGGGTGTTGTGAGTATGAGTAGTTTTCATCTAACCCCATGACTCACTGGCATGGTAGGATGGGCTCGGACATGTTTGCCAGGATCCCAACGGCGGTGAGTCGTGTTTCTACGTTCGCGTTTGGGCAGTGTGGTTGACGGCACAACACATAGTAATGAATAGTTTGTTGCTGAGTGCTCGGTTGTCACGGTGAATAAATTTCACCCTGCTAGAGCATTCAAGTTGAAGACCTTAAATTTGAGAAACACCTCGTTAACACTTGACTGCATAAAATATGACTGAAATACATACGGCGCATTGTTGTTTCGACGACACACGTACTTGGCTATCCTCGCATCATGGTTGAACAATTCAAGTTCAATATAGGGTACGAAAGTCAAGATAGTGGAGATAAAAACAACCAAGAGTCATTAGCGACTGACAGGCCATCAGAGAACCGGTGAGCAGATATCATACATCACCATTATCAGTGAACCACACCGATGACGTACCCGTCGGCTTTGACTTCATATATCTCCTGGTCTTGAGCGCGACTCCGTTTGACTGCTGTGACACGAAATGCGATGCAAGGCAGACGCAGTCTGCAGTTCCCGAAACGAGGAGCGTTCAGGTTGTCAAGCAGGGCATAAATTTCAGGACCAAATCTGCAGCCATGACATGTCGGAGCGATGAGATTGACGTCTGCATGTCATCTTCAGACAGAGATGGCAGGGTGTATGGTGGAGCTTTGTATGAAGTAATGTCGGCCGGCAGACAGCTATTGAATTCAGATGATTGCCCCACCCAGTCCAGGGCACTGATGTCACCCTACTGAGCTACGACCTCATGCAGGAGCCTTCCAAGTGCGTTTTGCTTCTTCTCGCCATAAATGGCAGGCAGCTTGACACCGAAGATACCAAACAACAAATATACAATATCTTCTGGCCACGTAGTGACACGAGCCGACACCCATTGCAGTTTCTCCCAGGCGTCTCTCATCCCTGGACGGAAGGCGACGAGGGTCTGTGCATCTATGCCCGTCACATGTCCCATCTCCTGCATGATTGCAACGGAATCCTTGTGGTTGGGAGAGGGATCGTCCAGATATAGGGGCCAATCCTTCTGATAAAAGAGTACAAGTCTGGGGGACAGGAATTCTTGAACTGTCCATCCTCGCGTGTTCCAAGCGCTACATGCGAGTGCGCCAGGCTGCGACGAAGGTGAAACATCCGACAGGTAGATGATGGTAAGCGCTGAGTGACGATACCAGATAAACATGGAGTTGATTGATTGTTGGACCTCGACATTGTTAGTTTGGTCGATGCAGCAGGTATTGATCCATGTCCAGCGATACCCCATATCACGAGCAGTTTGACAGAATGACTGCAACTTCGCGATGCCGCCGCCCAGTAAAGGTATTAAACAGACGATGGGGGCGTCGTCGAGTTGAGCCTTGATGGCCTCTTAAATAGCTCCTTCTGCCTCGGATGGATTGACGTATTGTTCATGCAGCTCTGGAGAAAAAGTCAAGCATGTTTAAGGATGTGGTTATTTGAGGGCGTATTTTTTTTTGCGTGTCAGGAGCATTTTCCAACTTGGAGAGCATGATTTTGAAGGCCTCGATGGCTTCATCATATCGTTGTGCACCATGAAGTACCCTATGCTTCAACTGATATCCAAAGTAAGATGAGGGGTTGAGATCGATACCTGAGTATCACCAAAATGAGCGTCGAATACGAAACGGTAGTTGTCATCGCACCTTTTCCGCGTCAAGGAGTGCGTCGTCCCATAGCATTTTTCTCAACCTCGCCGTACTGCGGTTCGCAAAGATGGTATCGGTTGCAAAATCAAGCTCAATCGCGGCAGAGTAAAGCTCGATAGCCCTGTCGTAATTACCCGCAGCGAGGGCACCGTCTCCGCCTGCAACATAGAGCACGTTGCAATTTAGCTTGAAAGCTAAGTGAGATGGAGTCGAGAATTATACCCAGTTGACATCACGAAGACTTGCCAGTGGTCCAATCAAGGCAGCGTGCTTCAGTAGCCTCATCAGCCGTATCCATCATATATCAGTATGCTTTGATGGCTTCTGGAAGTCTACCTGCCCGAAGAAGCGCATGGCACCATTTATGGTGTGCAGTTCGCCATAAAGACTTGAGGTCCCACCCGAATAACTAGAAAAAGTATAGTCGGGGGCGTGAAAAAAATGATTGTTGCATTGCAATCAACCTACCGCCACGAAGACATCATATTTAGAATGGATGGCCGACATAGACGAGAAACGAATGGTGTTGATAGCGGGAGTGAAATGGTCAGCAGCTTCGTTGTGACGTACGTCGTCTGATGCATTCATTCCTACTTGGACGTGTAGATAGGCCTGAAGTGCGAGGTTCGCAAAATCAGCATCAACGCATGAATCTGGAGTCGACTGTGTTAGGAGCACTCACTTCCACGATACTACAGGCAAGAGGATTCGCGTTGGGACGAGTGGTAGCTAGCTCTCGGACGCGCAGAATTGCGTCGTCATGTTGATCTGCGTTGAAAAGGGCGATGGCCTGACAGATGTCATGTAAGTAGCGAATGCATGAGACACAATCGATGTACCTTGATCAAGAGTAGAAGACGAGTTTATCCAAGTCTGCGTCCACGTACATGAACGCAAGGTCAAATGCCTTCATCGCGTCTTGAAACTGTTGTTTTCCGCAGTGGGCTATGCCCTTGGAGATACAACCTATCAAGGATGGCTGAATGCTGATGCTCTATATCACCACATAAGTTAGTTTGTGTTAAAAAGATCACGATGGAATGGTGCACCTCGCCTTGAGCGCGTCATCAAGTGCGCGGTCCCAGTCTGAATTTCTCGCCTTGACAAACGAGCGATTCGCGTAAGAGTTGTAATCATTGCCATTGGCGCCGATATATCGTGTTAAGAGCCTGTCAGCAGTGGGCAAGTCCCCGCTTATGCATGCATCGCGGGCTGTCGTGCCGATGGTGAGGATCTGCATCACGCGTGGTCAGATTACGTGGTGGGAGTGAAGGCTAGAAACATGCCTCGCAATCAGACTGTCGAGCCTTGGCATCAAGGTTGAGATCAACATGCAAAAAGACGAACAGTGAACGGGAACTCACATCATCTGTCACTTGTTCTTTCGGGGCATCCTCCCCGGGCCGTGACGCATCCTTGAAGAAAGTAAGATGAAGAAGGGACGGAAAATGAACAGAAACTTACATCTGATACCCCGTCCTTGAGAATGTCCTCCGGAAAAGGTCCTGCCCACTTTGAGATCATTTTATGTATTCCTCCACTCAGGACGTGCTTACCATCCATGGAGAAGGTGATACAAAACACTGCGTCGGTGTGTTTGAATATGGCGATGGTTCGTCAATCCGAAAGTCGCCAAACGCGAACCTCGTTGTCTCTAGATGCGGATGCGATAATGGTACCAGTAGGGTTCAAGGCAATCATAATGACAGCGTCAGCATGGCCCTTCCAGGGCCCACCGACCTGCATCCAGGCGGATGAATCCCATGTCCGTATGGTGGGATCACGTCCATTACCACTCGAGACAAGCTGTTTGCCATCGTGCGTCCACGCGAGTGAAGTATTCCATGCTCCATTGAATGCAAAGTGACCCTGGAACTTTGCGATGGATTCCCTCTTGCCTGGATTCCATATTTGGATATCCTTGTATGTTGCGATGGCAAGATGTTCACCAGACGGTGAATACCGAACGCAGAGGATTCCAGCAACACAACCGATCGGATTTCCTTGCACCTGCCATGTTTTTGTATTCCGGAGCTCCATTGTGTCCAATGAGCCACTCGCTAGCAATGTGTTGTCTGGGGAAAGTCAAACGACCATATCTGTTTGGAGTGGACTTTGATGGGCTGGGTGAGATGTTCGCCTTCTCTGTTCCAAGCGATGAGTTCTCCGCCATCATCACCGCTTGCTATGACTCAAGTGCCCGTTTCTCGATAATGCGAGTCCTCGTACGGCGAAGCGATGCCCCTCCATTATCTTCGATACAACACCGTCTTCCAAGTCCCACAGACGAAGCGTCTTCTCGGAGCTAGCTTTTCAGTGGACATGAGTTGAAGAATGATCAAATCAAAGATTTAAATATGTAGCTTAAAACTTGGGGATGCAGATGAATGCACGAGCAGATGGTGCTTTGTGGAGGCAATCTGAGCGACGACGGAGGAATCCAGACTCGTCAATAAGCCATATATACCCATCGAAAGAGGGGTCTTGAATGTGTAAGCCGCTGAGGCTGGATTACGAGGTTGGATTTGACCGGCGTCGCGAATTGATTCATCTAGGTCAACAAGTTAAACCACGAATAACTACTGGGATCGGGCATACACTAGATGATGGTAGGCCTAAGACACTTGGCACATTGAGCGGGGTTCTTGTCATGTATGCTGGATCGCTGATTACTCAGGCCAATCCGGGTGTACGCGATCCCTGAACTGTCCGGCGAACTCAAGTGCCTGGACTCCACGAAACTCAGACTTTCTGACCACGTCGGTCATACTCCAGGCTAATAGTCTCAAACTGGATAAATGGAGCCAAGACCGCATAGCAGTGCGCAGTTCAGACGGGAGAACAGCCCGACGGCAATGACGTCGAGAAATAATGATGTCGGTGCATTTACCAATCGACACAATCCTCAGTAGGATATAAGTGACAGGAGAGATAAATGGTATTGCTCCTCAAGAACAATAGCATGTATTATAACTATAGGGACACCTAAGATATCGAAAAGAAGCTGAAAAGAAAGACGCACTGCAGTATTAACTCTAGCGTCTACTTGAGCTTGGAGAACAATTTTGGTGCAGCACACGCCTAAATAGAATGTTAAGCGAGAATTCGAGGGTAAGAACAGAGTATACATACGTCAGCACAGTGCATCACGCTGTATATGACGCTGTTAACGACGATGCCAAGAAGAGGAGAAAAAACGACTTACTGGACTACATATGAAGTAGGCGGAATAGGAAAAATCAATATGAATATCATGTAGATAACAACATAGGGACCTACATCTATAGTCATAGTATATGAGTGTTATGCAGACATTAATATTCAAATACCAACTCACAGTTCCTCCACACAGTCCTCGCCTTTAAAGCCTTGTCCAGATTGCACCTTCTCCTGGCAGTGTTCGAAATGTCTCGTTAGAGAAGCGCATGCTGCTGAGTTTTTGCATTCCTCCATAATGATAGGGTGAATCTATAGACCGGAGTGACATCAACAGGAGAAGACGATATTTGTATGCGGAATGGAGACATACGTCCTCAGCTTCCACTTCCTCTTCTTCCTCAGACTCTTTCGATGGTTCCGCCGCCTCAACAACTTCCTCCTCTTTTATTTCGTTTTCTGGCTGCTTCTCCTCCGGTGCATCACCGTGCACAGTGTTGAAGAAAGACGAGAAGAACGATGTCACAGACATGGACGCGACTGACTTTACAGTTAGACTTTGCACGAAAGAACAACTTCGCGAATTTCCGGGTTGAGGCCTTGAGGCGCCGCTTCAACCAATCTACACGGCTGCGTCCGAGACTCCGAGTGCTGGGATTGGCACAGTAGATCACGAACGCCAAATTGCTCCCTTGCACTTTAGAGGTTATACAACTGTAAAATCAAGTCGTCCCAATCCTTGACTAGTACACGCTGCTTCTGGGATCTATAACGCTTTAGAAACTGTTGTTGGCCATTAATTCCGACGATCTACATAGTACAACTTAGTTACCGCGGCGCAATACTTCCACCTTGAAGCTTCCACACTCATATCAAAACTACGCACTTGTTGTGCACTGGCGGTCACTAAAAACTTGAAGTATGGGAAATACAATCTTCAGGATCTGCACATCATCGTACTCTCGGATGCCGGTCGACGCAGTGACAGTGAGTGCCTTACTTGTCGTTATTTCATTCGTGCCGATAGGTCTAGTCTAGGCCGCGGACACACGAACATCCTTTCAGGTGAAACAAAAATAGCCTTATCGACCATATGGTCGAACTGATTGCAATATGCCACAGCGCTTTCTTTGACAATGACATACACGAGGATGGAGAAGCACCTGACTTTTTAAAATGACATGTCGGATAAGAATTTTCATAAAAGCTCGGATCTGCATGATCCAATATCGTCTCTGTGCAATATGACCTCCAACGGCATCCACGAGAGTGGTATCTCCAACCCTGACGACCCCGCTTCTCTTGGGATGAAGGAGAAGTATTCGTCATCAGCTGCTAGCGATGACATATCCACAGTCGAGCGCAACTCTCAGGATGATGGTGGAGAGTTCGTGTCTGGTGGACGTTTCATTAATACCGACGATCCTTTCCCCCTCGATCCCGACGCCCCTGTGGAAGAGAGACAGTTGACCATCAGGGCTCTACTTGTCGGCTGCCTGCTCGGGGCAGTTATCTCCGCAAGCAACGTTTATTTAGGTTTGAAGGTCTGTGAATATATTTTGGGAAACTTCCAATTCTGAAGCTGTATATAGACGGGGTGGACCTTCGGAGCATCATTATTTGGATCAATATTTGGTTTGGTTGTTTATATGGTACGGCGCCAGTGTCACTTACTGTTGACTTGCAGGTTTCGCCATCCTGAAGCCCTTGTCTACCACAGCACCGCGCTGGCTTGGAGGCGGCTATTTTGGTCCCAAGGAAAATAATGTGTGCCAATCTACAGCGTCTGCTGCTGGTAGTCTTGGTTTGCTTTTTACCTCTGGCTTTCCTGCTGCATACGAGCTTGGTCTTCTCAGTGCAAGTCCTCGAGATGATATTGGTCGACTATTCACGTTTACTATTTGCTGCGCTTTCTTTGGTCTTGCATTTTCCATCCCACTCCGGAAGTTCTATATTTTGAAGCTAAAGCTCGTGTTTCCTTCTGGTGTTGCCGCAGCGTACACGATTCGCTCGCTCCACGTGGGCAAAGCCGCTGCGATGAACGCTAAGAAAAAGACCAAGGCACTGATAATCTCTTTCTGTTTTGCGATCACTTTGCGCGTCGTCAGCGAATACGCTCCTGGGCTTCTTTGGGACTGGCATATTTTCTATGCGCTCAATCGACTGGGGTGGGACTACATTATTGCCGCAGAAAGTTGGGTCAGTCTGTGCTGTTGCACGAGATATACTTGTCTTCTAAAGTACAACAGGGGTGGATTTGGGAATGGACACCGGCGTTCATTGGTGCAGGGATGCTCACAGGAATCAACTCATCATACAGTTTTTTGGGCGGTGTGAGTTTGTGTTATGTTCTGTATGCCTATCCTATATAACGCCTGCAGAGCTTCCTTGCATGGGCTATCATCGGACCTATTATCATTCACACGGGCGAGGTATGCACAGAACCCCTTACTCACTGGCGTATCTGACAGGATCACAGGCCATCGGCATTCCGGCAGTTACATCCATCCCTGGACAAATGAATTATGCATCCATGTGTGTGATCTTCATCCTTGTTCAAGTTCATTTCAATTGAATCAGTTATCTGGAGGGTTTTGACTGATCCCGTTAATCAACCATCGCCGCGATACTGGCTGGTAAGGGACTGGTCCAAAAACTATAGATCCATTGCGCTTATCATATGCAGGTCTGGCCCGGCACACTCATGCTACTTTGCACGAGTTTCACCGAAGTCGCCTGCAACTTCAAGTCCATCTATATGGCCACGCGCAATGCGATAGGTGCACTCATGGAACGTTTCCACGGAGATTCCCATGAAAAGAACAATGTAGAAGAGATCGTGGATCCTGTACCACCTGAAGACCGAGTTCCATTCTTGCTTTGGGGCAGTGTGCTCGTCGCTAGCATCGTGGTCACATGTACTGTCATGGGTGTCCAGTATGGCCAGAACGTTGGTATCACAATTCTTGGTGAGACACGACTCCTCTATGATGATCAGCGCTTGAACGTCAGAGTCCAGCCATTGTCTTCGCGTTCGCGTTCAGCTTCATTGGATGTGAGAGTTCTGGCCGCACAAACATTAATCCTGTGACATCCATTGGTGAGTGCATCTGGGAACCTGTGATTATATACTGACAGGTATCTGAAAAGGTAATGCTTCTCAACTCGTTTTCGGTGGTATTGGCAAAGGGCAAGGATACTCAGTTCAGAGAGGCGAGCTCTTGAATTCGTTATCAGGAATGCTTGCTTTGGGTATGTAACATGCCTCTTTGAACCACTGCTCCTCACACGTCATTCCTAGGTGCTGCTGAGCAAGGTCCGTAGACCATACGTTGAGCCGCCCACAAATACTCATTTGCCACGTAGCCGCTGATATGATCAGCGATCTCAAAACAACCCATCTTCTCAGAGCCTCCCCCAAAGCCGTCTTTTGGGGTCAGCTGACCGGCGCCATCGTGTCTATCTTCATGTCCGCTGGTGTCTACATTGTTTTCTCAACTGCATACCCATGCATCAATGATCTTTCCTACGTTACGTGCAGTTTCCCGACACCTGATGTACAATCTTGGAGGGTGGGTTCTTATTCATCATACTGTACCTTTCATTGTATGCTACTGACTAATTCAACAGGCAGTTTCGATTGCGGTCTCATCGCCGACCCTTCCCATCCCACCATCGTCAGGGTATACAGCGATAGGACTGGGTATCGCGGCTGTGATTTCGGTTGTTGCGAAGTATACTGTTGTCCCGCCGAAATACCATATTTGGGTTCCGTAGGTCTCTCGGTACCTTACCTCAAAACGAATCCTTACAAATTGATCATGCAGGAACTTTAATGCCATCGGCATCGGTTTCATCATGAGTAAGGAACACTTCAAAGCCATTGAATACGTCTAATGCTATCACCCTCAAAGATGTATGCACCTATCCCTTGGCTATGTTCTTCGGCTCTACGATCGCTTTCTTCTGGCGCAAAATGTAAGCATCTCTCCCAACCACATTTTGACTAGTTTACAGGTTCTTCAGGTTCTTCAAGCACTATGAGATGTACTGTTTCGCTGTAGCTGCCGGGTTCATTGCTGGGGAGGGCCTGGGCGGCATCGTGACTGCAGTGTTGACGATAGCAGGAGTTTCTGGTGCTGTATATGGAACGACAGTTGGCTGTCCGGGCGGGCTATATTGCGGTTAAGCACCTATGGTGGCATTGTACTAGTATGTAATTTTGACGCTGGGTTATGAATTTGATGAATATTCGGTTTACTGCATGATTGATTTCTCAGACAAGGCTCATTTCATTTCTTAGTCATGTTATATCTCGATCGCAAGCTCAGCATTTTTGGCTGACGGAACTATCTGGGCCCACCCGCAGCAGGTAAGCATGCGCACTTTTGATTTCCTGCTGTCAACTAGTAGTCACGGGGCTGCAGAGAAGAAATAATCAGATGGGCTTCCGACGACTCTACAGCTGACTGTCACTGTTCCAATTATACTGCTTATCAGTGAGTATCTCTCACTGATAAGCCTGACCTCGTGCCTTGCCCCTCAAGCACATTGGCATGGGCGAGCTGAGGATAGCATATATACGTCGCCTCTTTGAGCAGCGGTATCGCAACCTCAAGTCCAAGTCTGCCTAGTCGTTTGAGGATGGCGACTGCAGCTTCTCAGGACCAGGACCGAATATCCTATGTACAGTCCTTATCTTCTCGTTTGGAGAAGGAAAAGGGTGCCGTCACCGCGGACATTACCCTCCGTGTCTGGTGGCTCTGAAGGGTTAGAGCCGCTCCTGCAATCCATTAACACAGATGATCCATTTCCGGAGGATCCGGATGCCCCTGTTGAGGACCAACAGCTAACTGTTCGAGCCGTATTAGTTGGCTGCATGTTGGGAGCCGTCATCGCGGCCAGCAACATCTACCTGGGTCTCAAAGTCAGTTATCCTTCCGACATATAAGAAATTTATTAATGCATGCACTCATCCTTTCACGCAGACGGGGTGGACGTTTGGCGCGTCGTTGTTCGGCTCAATCATAGGCTTCGCGATCTTGAAACCACTCTCAAGAAGTGCACCGACTTTTCTTGGTGGGGGCTATTTTGGGCCTAAAGAAAACAATGTTTGTCAATCCGCCGCCACGTCAGCGGGAAGCCTAGGATTGCTCTTTACCTCGGGTTTCCCTGCCGCATACCAACTTGGGCTACTGAGCGTTCATCCCAAAGACGACATCGGCAGACTTATCACTTTCACGATTTGTTGCGCCTTCTTTGGTTTGAGTTTCACTCAACCGCTGAGGAAATTCTACATTTTGAAGTTAAAGCTCGTATTTCCCTCCGGCGTGGCCGCTGCATACACGATTCAATCTTTGCATGTGGGCAAGAACGCAGAAGTGATTGCAAAGAAGAAAACCAAGACGCTGATCTACTCCTTCATCTTTGCCATTTCTTTACGGGTGGTCAGCGAGTATGCTCCAGGATTGCTTTGGGATTGGCACGTTTTCTACGCTCTGAATAGAATTGGGTGGAGTTCGACGATCGCTGCTGAGAGCTGGGTGAGCATATCGTCCGTTATAGGAATGTTTGTCTGATTATCAGCCGAAAGGGATGGATTTGGGAGTGGACCCCCCGCGTTCATTGGCGTAGGGATGCTCACAGGTATCAATGCTTCGTATAGCTTCCTCGGTGGAGTATGTGTTATTACTACGACTGCATACGGTCGCTAATAAGTTTCAATATGCAGAGTTTCCTCGCTTGGGCTGTTTTGGGCCCTATAATTGTCGCCAAAGGAATAGTCCGTGCAAGACTCTCCATATGTCGTTACATACTGACTACCTATGGCAGGCTTTCGGAACCGTTGCGGACACATCTATACCTGGATACATGAATTATATGGGAATGTGGGTCGTCTCAGTTATTTCCTCCATATGAAAATCTCACCGTTAGCAGGACTCTTGAAAATCCGATCCAGGAGCCATCTCCGAGATACTGGCTGATCTGGCCTGGCACACTAATGCTTCTCTGCGCAAGTTTCGCAGAAGTAGCATGTAATTGGAGGTCGTTATATGTCGCAATGCGCTCCGCTTGCGGAATGCTTCTGCAACGGTTTTCGAAAGACGGTGTAGTGGACGATGTCGTGGACCCTGTACCTGAGCACGAACGCGTGCCTTTCTGGGCTTGGGGTTCTGTACTTGTCCTTAGTACGATCCTTACATGTGTCATAATGGGCGTTCAGTTCGGACAGAACGTTGGTGTCACTCTCCTTGGTGTGTCATCGATGTGTTAGATCGATTTCAAGGAGAAGCTAATATTTCCCCTGCATCGTACAGCGATTGTGTTCTCTTTCTTGTTCAGTTTCATTGGCTGTGAAAGTTCTGGTCGGACAAACATCAATCCCGTCACGTCAATCGGTAATTTTGTCGAACAGTCAATTCATTCACAGACGCTAACATTACTGACAGGTAATGCCTCGCAGCTCGTCTTCGGGGGATTAGGAAGGGGTCAGAACTACTCCGTCCAACGAGGCGAGCTCCTAAACTTGCTTTCTGGAATGTTGACTCTAGGTAAGTAAACAAATCGTGAGTTATCACTGGTGCTAAAATGTCGTGAATCAAACAGGCGCTGCGGAACAAGGTATCCCATTTTTATTATCAAAACCTTGAAATTTTGTTGACGTGCGATTTAGCTGGGGACATGATTGGCGATCTCAAAACGACACACCTCCTCCGCGCGTCCCCTAGGGCTGTTTTCGTTGCTCAACTCTGCGGAGCTGTAGTATCAATTTTCATGGCTGCTGGCCTCTACGTCGTGTTTTCCACCGCTTACCCGTGCATCAACGATTTGAGCTACCTAACGTGCACCTTCCCCGCGCCTGATGTGCAGTCGTGGCGTGCAGTGGCCGTTGCTGTGTCTTCGACCACGTTGCCCATTCCACCGTCTTCTGGATATGCTGCCATCGCACTTGGATTGGTGGCCGTCATCTCTGTCGTAGCAAAGTATACTGTGGTTCCTCCGAAATATCACGACTTCATACCGTGAGTGGTTTTCCATCGTGTTCTTGCTTCAAATCTGACATAGAAATAAAGCAACTTCAATGCTATTGGAATTGGGTTCATAATGAGTATGTGATCTGTATCTCAGTGATTGTCCGTCTTACTTACTTTGCAGATGTCTGCACGTACCCCATGGCAATGTTTTTCGGCTCGACTCTTGCATTTTTCTGGAGAAGAATGTGCGCCTCATAAATTCTTTAGATATTTTAATAGCTTCTTCTGACATCTCGTACAGGTTCTTCAACAACTACCAGATGTATTGTGTTGCTGTGGCAGCAGGTTTTATTGCAGGAGAAGGTCTTGGTGGTATCGTGAACGCAGTTTTCACAATTTCGGGCATCTCTGGTGCAACGTACGGAACAACCGTCGGGTGCCCTGGTAATATTTATTGCGGATAAATGTTATGTAGGACTAGAGTCTAGACACAGGATATGCCAGTGGTCTTGTCTGTCAGCATGTTATCATTCCCATGTCAATTGATACAGAACGTCCGGCCGTATTCCTTCTACTTGGTGTGCATACATGTGTCACGCCACTGACGTACATGCGATCACATCGTCTAGTAGTACAGGGAAGAAGGATAACGCCTGGCCCAGGGTGCAGCAAGCCTACATAACCTTGTGTTCGTGCGTGCGCGTGACTCCTCACTGTCTGACATTAGCCGAGTTGTACCTCGATCTTATCGACATCAGGAAAACCCTCCTTTGTAATTTAGAACAAACTGGATATAGTTAGAGCAAGTTATCCTAATTGGACGGATTAGAAATATACACCTGAAGATATGTGGTTAGTCACTGAAAAGCAGGCCAGAAAGAGGCGAGCAAGCGAAATGACAAAAAAGTCTTGCGAGATAACATCAATGGGATAGAAATGTGCGAGGCACTAAATCTTGTGACATGCGAGCAAGTCATAAGACACTAGGACATGGTCGTAGTCGTAGCATCGACAGGCGAATCAAGTGTCGGACCTCGGTATAGATGCGAGAGGGAGAACGAGGGTAGCGAGGGCACTGAGGTGGTTGAAACATAATCATCAACAGCAAGAATGAGTAACTTTTACCCCTAATTGGTCATGAGAGGGGTATCCGCCGAGCCTGTACCCTTCCCATGACCGATTTTTCTCTGCCAGACTGCACTCCGTGTGACCAAAATAGATACGGTCTAGCTAAAGACCTGGAGTGGTCTGACTGATAACCTCTGATAACCTTCCGGACAATTGGATCCGACAATCAGGGGTAAAATTAGACCGTCCTCCGGGACGGGAGGGATAGATGATTCCGAACAAGGCGCCACTTGAGTCCCACGCTGCTATCGCGTACATAAAGTATTCCCTCTAGTGACTGGGCCAAACGTATCAGAGTCTAGGGTTGACCTTGTCAGTTGACAGTTGCTATAACACATTGATAACATCATATGTTCCACCAAAAAGAAACAGATGGTATATATGCCTCTCATATTCGGCATTTGCCTTTGAGCAAGTTATATAGCTGGCAACGCCGGCCCCTATAGTAGATCATCGTGATGTGGCGCCGAATGACGAATGCTTAGATACACCTTAGAAGCCGGTGTCACGCTTCCCACCAACTCGTAGCCTTGGTCATTCATTAGATGCTTAGTCGTCTCAATCACATTCGTACCGCCCTGTTTTCTTTCGTGACGCCTGCAATGTCACATGCAATTGATACGTCTCATTATCGTGCTGCCTTATCTTCAGGCAAGTATTGTTCCTTCGAATGTGTGGATCCAACTGCGAGTCTTTATTAATACAGGCGCTCATGCTCAAAGCGAGATTGCCACATTTGCTGCGGGGTGTTTTTGGGGTGTCGAACACATATTTCTGAAAGAGTATCCTCCTTCGCAGAACAAGGGCATCCTCAAGACGAGCGTCGGATATACCGGCGGGGTGGAGAAAGCTCAGAGCCCGACATACAGAGAAGTGTGCACTGGGACGACCAATCATGCTGAGGCCTTGAGAATTGAATTCGACCCTTCCATAATCCAATACGGAGAGCTTGTCGGTGAGTTGCAGTTCTAGTTCCATCACATAGTCTGATCTGCGGCCAGAGTTTTTCTACCGTACCCATGAGCCGACCACGTTCAACAGGCAAGGCGGTGATGTGGGCACTCGTGCGATTGTTCCCTTGATATCTTATTTATTTAATGTCCTAATCGTCGAGCAGAGTATCGCTCTGCAATTTTCACGCATTCACCTGAACAGAGCAAGATAGCGAAGGACGTCACGCAGAAGGTACAAGAGGAACATTTCAAGGGCCAAAAGATCGTGACGGAAATTGAAGAAGCTGGGCAGTGGTATGATGCCGAAGAATATCATCAGCTATACCTGTTCAAGGAACCGAACGGGTACCAGTGCCCAACACACAAGAAGCACTGGTAGATGGATGAGATATTGTTAACAGTGTAACTGAGTACTGGAATTGATGAATATACATTAAACACCAACTTAAGCCGTGCACCAGTTATCAAAATGACCACAATCAAAAGCCGCCATCAGAGTTGCGAAAGCCCGTCCCTTTACAAATGTAACAAGGAGAGTGGTGCCGAACGGGCGATGTCAATGCCAACCCTGTATAAGGTCTGACTCAACTCTCTGCACCGTCATTTCTCGTCATTGGCGTTTTTGATTGTGGAAGGATGAAAATCAAAATATTTTCGTCAAATGTTATAAGGCGGAGGCGTGGGAAAGGACGTGTGTGAATATCGCTTCCATTTTGGACTTTTGGACTTGAAGAAAAAAACCTGCCGCAACTTTCATTTGCACGATCATCATGGTATCTTGCAGTACTATTTTGTGCTATGGGGCATGAAGCTGTAGCTGAAGCACTGAAGGTTGGCGACGAAATTATGGATCCGTCTGCGGCCTATGATATGGGCATCGCACTTGACTCCATCAGCGACAGATGCTTACCTAATTCCGTTGACTATAGTCACCAAGTGAATTGGCAATGCTCACGCGCTCACATTGGTTAATCACCTACAAGATAATCGATGCCAGCAGCTCATCGAGTCCCCGAGGGTAGCCCAGTTGCTGCATTTCTATCTGAATATGCTTCTGACACTGAGGTATACGTGAGCCATCTCGACACCACTGAGGTGTCAAGCCGAAAGTAAGTCACACCTTTGGGCTCGAAGACGAGAAGACATAACAAACTTTCCATCACAGGAGGCACTTCGGTTTCATGCTGGCTGCCAATCTTGCATGGTCGTTTCTGCTTGGCAAACGCATATACAGCGCTCTGTCCCGCTATGGCATCTTGTTTATCCTTGGGAAAATATCACCAATATTCAAGGCCCCTCCTCCTGCGGTGAACTGGCCATTAGCAGGTCAACTGTGCCTTGACATATTTTTGTTGTCCGTGTTACTGCCCTTGATCAACAACTTCATCTCCATCGTAAAACTGCGATACCATCATGGGTTCCCAAAATCTGAAATTGTCTTCCGAAAACCTAGTTCAGCAACCGTTGCAAATATCGTTTCTCAGCCTCCGGACAAAAGGGATGAATACATGAATGAAGTTCTGCGTCGTGCCGTCGATCCCGAGGAATTCAATCAGCCAAATTGGGGTATGCCTTGGGAAGAGTGGACCGTGGACTTCCGGGCGATGGCGGTTGCGTACGAGGCGGAGAAGAAGGGTTTGATCTTGAGAGAAGCGTGGGAACTAAGCGTATGGATGAAGATGAAGGAAGGCTGGTCCGTAATTGAGCACGGGAAAGTCAGTGACCCCTTGAGCCAAGTTGGTATGATGGAAAAGCTTCAAGTACGTAAAGTATCGTCTTATGTTGCACACGCTCATGACGACCCTAGCACAAACTCACAGCCATGGGCAAACGACACGTGTTTACTCAGATGATGGAAGTTATTCAGGTCAAGACTGTCGCGAAAGACGGAAGTGCGCTGCCTGTCACCGAGGAAGTGGACACAATTATTGCGGACATTTTTCGCCGGAATGAGGTGGATTTTGCGCAGTTGACAAGCGAATTAGCCACAGAATCTCCCCGTTTTGCAGCCAACTCGTCGAAGAAAACGAAGTAGACATGTCATATTCTGAGTATCTAGTACGTGAATCCGCTGTGCTCCACTAGCTAGCCGGACAACTTGGAATTGAATACCCGTATAGGTCACGGGTGCATCGGAATTACCACGACAAGTAGAATTATCTCTGTTTCTTCGCTTATCGCAGGATGTCCCTATCGGTTAAGTAGTGGTCTCCTGAGCACGTTGGTATCGAGTCACCTGGTCTAATAACATGCCTAACGGCGTGAAGCAATGAGAAGAAATGTCCCATGGTCCATTGTATCAACACAACAGGGACACGTCGAAACTGAAGGCCCTTATCCTTCAGCTTGGCAGGTGGTAAGTTGCTTTACCTATAGCCGCTTATCAGCAACCACAAGAGATAAAGGCCGAATTGCGGGAGAGGGCTTCCGATGTTTTCCTTCTCACTTTTTCAATCCTTATGATGCATCCGCTTGAAGCTCCATCTGGTTGCAACTCCAGTGAAGAAACAGAGAAACATGCTCATGGCATTGCCGTCGCGACAAAGGATGTGGACACCGGTGCAGCACTTGTTGCGGGTATGTCCGGCGACCTCGATCCGGATGATGCAGCACGAGTTCTGTACGTTTGCTCTAGTAGTTTCATAACTCGACTTATCATTTTGTGTAATACAGAAAGAAAATCGATCTTGGCATCTTACCGATGATGTGCAGTGAGTAGCTTTTGTGTTCGATACTATACATTCGACTTAGGCTCGGGTATACAGCACTTTACTGGTGAATTCTCTGTGGAGATGCTGAATGTACCAGTACTGACCTTTCCTGGTTCCCTAGGATTCAGTTTATGGATAAAGCTACCTTGGGCAGTGCTGCAATATTGGGCATAGAGTGAGACTCCTGCAAATTTCATCACCCATTAGTGAACGATCTTGTCAGGGAAGACACTCACCTATCTACTGATCAGTAGGATCATTCTGTGTTTCGTACGTGCTACTCATTCTTACATCGCCATCGTACAGGTACAATTGGTTTGTGTTCACTTGATTAATGGTGTCGTCCATCCTCGACTGAGCGATAACATCAGGCTGGGCACTGTGTTCTACCTCAGCTATCTACTATTCGAATATCCGCAGAATCTCGCGCTCCAGCGTTTCCCTGTGGGTAGATGGATGAGGTCTGTATTCCACGAAGTTCCTCTGAAGCTATCCAATCGCCAGTAACTTGTCAACTAGTATCAATATCTTTGTCTGGGGCATTGCGTTGGCCTGCCACGCAGCCTGCACCAACTTCGCTGGCCTTTTCGTAGCGCGCTTTGTTCTGGGCATCTGTGAGGGGTCCGTCACAGCTGGCTTCATGATTGTCAGCTCGATGTTCTATACTCGCAGTGAGCAAACATCGCGGGTCGGGTACTGGTGTAAGTTTATATCATACTCAGACATTATATCTTAACTAATAACGCTGGTAGTTCTGATGAATGGGACAGGTAGTCGTGGTTTTATCATGTCTTTGTTCTTGATGAATTTGAACCACGTGGTGTTCAGCGCAGATTATATCTGGTTTTATCAGTTTTGGTTCGCTGCATATCACAACTACAGGATTTGCGCCTTGGCAATGGTAAAGCATAGTTAGATTGTGAATGCGAGCGACACTAATAATCACGTTTAGGCTCATGATCATTACTGGCAGCTTAACCCTGATTATTGCAGTCGTCTACTGGTGAGCCAACTGCGAGCTCTTCTAATGTTCGAGTCCTCACTCAGTTTTAGGTTCTTTTTCCCTGATTCGCCCACCAATGCGTGGTTTTTGACGCCCGCGGAACGAGCGGTTGCGATCCGGCGCTTGAAGGTATATAATCACGGTCTGTATTTTCGCGACAACACAATAACCAATTTCTGCTGTAGGAAAATCAAACCGGCGTAGGAAAACAAACATTTCAAGAAGGATCAGTGCGTGCGCCATTCCTTAGCACTCATTAACCATCAACGCCACTTTTACAGGATGTTAGAGGCTTTGAAAGACCCAAAGACATGGATCTTTGCCCTCTTTTCCGCGCTCGATCAGATACCGAACTCGCTCACCAATCAACGGCAAATCATTGTGACATCATTTGGTTTCAGCGACCTGCAAACAACCCTGTTGAGCTGTGTTGATGGTTTCGTGGAAGTCGCAACGATTTGGACTGGCGTCACGATTGTCTCGCGGATACCAAACAGTCGTGCTTACGTCGGCGCGGTGTACTTCATCCCGGCCTTGGTTGGGGTATTCATGATTGAGCTCTTGCCATGGAGCAATCAGGTCGCTTTGCTTTTTGCCATATGGCTTGTCGATATCGGGATCACTGGATTCGTCCTATCTCTGGCCTGGTTGACCAGCATCACTGCTGGGCACACAAAGAGAGTAAGTCACCGGCCACAATCAAAATAAGGTAACAGAAGGCTGAGTAAACCAGGTGACCAGGAATGCAATCATGTTGAGCGCGTATTGCGTTGGTAATGCCTTGGGGCCATTCATGTGGCAGACGCAATATAAGCCACGGTAAGCGTTGAAGTTATCCAGGTGTCAGAATGTTGGCATTGTCTAACTTTGCTATCACAGCAACCGCGTACCTTGGGTTGTCATCGGGCTTTGCTACCTCATTTGCCCCTTACTTTTGCTCGTCATCAGGTTCATGCTATCACGAGAGAATAAGAAACGGGACGCCGAGCCTGTCAATGATACCTTCGAGGATGTCTACATCGAACAAATCACTGCAGATGGAAAACGGATTGAAGTCAAGGTCGATAAAGTACGTCCAGACTTGCCTAAAATAATCAAATTCTTATATAGTGTGCTTGTTGTCCTGTGCAGGAATTTCTAGACCTGACAGACATCCAAAACCGCGATTTCCGTTATGTTCTGTAGAGATCTTTCGTTTTGTTTGCATGTTCCTCAAAGCAACATGATTAGCCATATCTCAGTATCATCCGTTGCACTCAATTAGTTGAGCCGATAACCATGGTCCGCACGTGGAGTAAGAACAGTATTCCAATGAACCGAATGGCTTTTCCAACGCAGTATGATTGCAGAGGTGGTACACGCGGCTCGTTGTACATTCGTTACGCAATATAATACTCTATACTCATAAGCGACACGAGGAAATGGAGAAACAAAGAAATAAAAATAAAAAGTCACAGAAAGACGCAATACGAACCACACCGCAAAAAAGCAATAATGATCAGGATCAAGCAGAAAATATAATCTCACGGAAGGAAAAGAATGGGCTATAAAAACAGGAGGGATAAGGTTCCGTATTCGGTATTCAACGGTCGATGTTATCGACCCCAGCCACTGCTTCCCGTACGTCCTCGCGATCGTGGCGCCCACCCACGCTCTCGTTCCCAATCAAGACGATCACGGTCATGACGATCACGATCAGCAGACGGCCCACGAGGAATGTATTGCGAACCGCTGTACACGCGGCTACTGGGAGAAGAATATGTCGGTGGATGGGATGATTGACTACTTACTCTCAGTGCCCGTGGCCCACTGGGTAAGGGGCGCGAAGGCCCATTCGAAGGAGTGCTGGATAAGGGTGCTCTTGTCGGCGGAGGTGGGCCGCGCCAGGAAGCTGAAGATGATGGGGTGGATGTGGATGTGGATGTGGATGTGGCATGATTAAAATTAGGAGACGAGGGGTGTGATGTCTGAAATGAGCGGGGCTGGGTTGGAGGCGTGTAAGATCGGGGAAAGAAATGCGAGGACTTCGGAGGAGAGGCGCTTGTAATTTCTCCATCTTCATGAGAGGGTCTAAGAGAATAGGAAGCCGGAGCAGAAGGGGGTAAGGGTGACAAAAAAGTTTTGGGTGATGGTTGTCTTTCTGTGCCCTTGGTCTGCTGGCGCAATGGAGGAGGAGGTGGGTCCGGCGCAGATGGCGATGCCCTATCATAGGCACCCACAAGTCCATTGGGTACAGAAGTCTCCAGTATCTCGGTCTTGGCCATGAGAGAAGCGGAATCTGCAAGTTGGCCGTTGGGATGAGCGTTATCCATGCTACGAACAGATCTTGGGGATGCGACGGGAGACCTCGGCAGGGATGGAGGAGCGCCTCGTGGCTCGGATTCACAGCGCCGCTGACTCTCAGCAGGTGGATCCTCCAGCACGCAGTCCACTGCTGTCTGCATGGCAGAAGAAGCGATAGGTTCGTCCTTCACCCCTTCAACAGCTGGCCGCACATCATTGTAACCATCCATCATTACATCCTGCGCCTCTCTCACATCCAACATGGTCACTTCCAAGTCACGCTCGTGATCCGTCCCCTCAGAATCCCTCCCCAGCCGCTCATCTGCACTATCCTCATCCACATGCATCCCTTCGTCGCCGCTCTCCTCTAGCAATCCCATACCCAGTCCACCAGGCGACTCACACTCCCGCTCCCGCTCCTTCGCCATTTCTTCCCGTTGCTTCTTCTTGCGCAGGGCAAAGTCCTTTAGGGACATCTTCACCTTTGGAGGAGGCAGCGGTGACTGTTCGCGTGCGGGTGGCGTGGGTTCATGTGTTGCTGGCGTAGATGCGTGTATAGGTAGCGCGGGTTCGCACGATAGAGGTAGTGAATCGGAATCACGGAGGGATGACGTCGACTCGCATATCGATGACACAGGTGGAGTTGGATCGTGCATGACTGATGACATGGACGCATGTGTATGCGGTGCTTCATCTGGTGGGACAATCTTGACCTCGTGAGAAGTTCCGTCATGCACAGGGCTCCTATCTGACTGTGGTACTTCATCATCCACTACTGAGCCAGCTGTTTTGTCATCTTCAGGTGGAGGGGTATGCGAATAAATAGGAGGCGTCGCTTCCCTCCCCGATTTAAGCGGAGTATGCTGAGTAGTCTTCAAGGACGGTTGCCCATGTAACACCTCTGGGGATGCAAACCGCACACGATAGGGCGAAGAAGCGCTTGGCATCGATGGATTGGACAATGGCGGATAGACTATGACTTGTGTGCTCGGTGCGTCTGAAGGACTCTTGCTATTGGATGACTGGTGTGACGGAGGGGACGATATCGGTATAGGACGCCTAGACGAGTTTGTCAGAGGCACTCCAGAGAGGGATGGTGACCCGGAGCGCATATCAGGCAGAACGGGTGACAGAAGAGATAGTTTTGAGAATGTCGCTGAGGGCGAGACGGATGCGAATGCGACGGAAGAAATGGTGGTGGGGTCGAGAGCTGCCGGCATTGGTGGTGGTGGCATTTGACGGATGTCTATGGAGGGAGAGAGTCAGCTAACATGCGGCACACAGGAAAAGCAATGCAAAATCCATACGCAACAGAATTGTCCAAAGAAAAAATGAAGCTTACCAGGAGACGTATCGTTCACATCGATATCCATTCCGTCCGCCGTGCTCTCGGGGGGTGGCGGCGAAGGGCTGTCTCCAGACGTTGGTGCTGGACTGTCCGCCGACAGTAATGTCGGGCTTCTCCAGTCCGTCGTAGACACCGGGGCGGGTGGACTATGACCACTCAATACTTGTGAACTATGTACATGCGCTCCCAATAGGCTTTGACCATGCTGTCCATGCGAACCCGATAGGCCCTGTCCGTTGATAGAAACAGTTTTTCTCCCATTCCGCGAAGAAGGACGCTCGTCACGATCATGCGACACAGACACAGACACAGTATGCATCCACCTCTTACGCATCCTCGGCGGAATCTTCTCCTCGTTGACGTCCATCGAATCTGGAGTAGGGCCTGCACAGATAAATAAAATACCGGGCGTGAGCAAGTCTTGTTTAAGGGGCAGAGAGGGGTAGGGTATGGTGGATGGGCGCACGCTGAGAAAAGAAAAATACGCGCCGCAGAACGAACACACCAAAAGGCAAAAGACAGCACAACAAACTCACCGTCGCCCTCCACGTCCACATCCGTGTCCACATCTGTCTCCTCCGTCGCACGCCCCTTGCCCTTCCTGTCGCTTGTCCTCGTGGAATTCAAAATTCGTGACGCACTCGAGGCAGAAATCGTAGGGCGCCAATTCGACGGACCTCCACTCGGTCCGAAGTTCGAAAACCCAGCGGGAGTATTGAAACTTGAAGGCCATACGTCAGGTCCTGCACTCGATAACCCACCACTCGACCCAGCACCAAAACCCCCACTCAGCTCAGCACCAAACCCTCCAGTCGACCCAGCGGCAAAACTGACCCCTGATCCCGACGGAACCATCTCCACACCACCAACGCCCCCACCAAACGGCACTTTCTCCCGCGTCCTAAAGCCGCGCTTCGCACCGATCAGCGGACCGAGGTCAATTTTCCGGGTGAATGTGGATGATGATGGTGTGTTCCCATTCAAGCCGTTTGTGTTGATATTGGCGCCGCCGTTCCCGTTGGTACTAGTCGGGTTCGCGTTCATCTGGATCCCAAGACCTACTCCATTCCGCCCATACTCATGTCCCCAATTTTCTTTGTCTGAGCTCGACCCATCGCCTGCATCTGCCTTCCCTGCCTGCCTCGCGCCATTCCCATTCGTCATTCCGATGCCTGTACCATTCGTTGTCCCTGCACCATTGATCGCCCCAGCGCCTACACCATTTAGCCCGACGCCTGTACCATTCATAGGCTGCTCTGACGCACGCGTGACACTAGATGCATCAAGTTCGCCGTCAACATACTGCGCCATGACGTTCAATACGCAGTCCCTTGCGCGGGCACCGCATGCGCACGTTGTGAATGTGGAGCTGAGGGCATGGAGGATTGAGGTCATTTGTGCGCGAAGATGAGTTAGGTGGTACGTCCTGTTCGTGCGAGTGAGTCAGTAAGGGATGTGGGACGAGGAAAGAGAGCGGGGAGTGGTGTGGGAGTGGGAGGCAAGAGGGTGAAAAGGGTGAACGCACGGAACGATAAACGGTCCAAGATCAATCAGAAAGAAACAAAAATGAGGTTTAAAAAAAGAGAACAGGAGAAAATAAAGACGCACGAGAACAAATGTGGGCTTTCGATGAGTGCTGGGAGACTGTGCACTGCGTTTCCGTCGTCCCATTCCCAACCGAGAACGACTTCTTCGTTGGCTTTGAGGTCGCGCAGAGCGAATACGCCAAACGCTAGGGTTTCTTCATCTGAGTCTGTATTGTCGTTCTTCTTATTCTTCCCACTTTCCCTCCTCTCCCTCCTCACGCTTTCTTCCCCCTCTTTCTCGGACGATTCACTTGCCTTAGACTCATTCTTTGCCTTGGAGCACAGTAAGGGCCTTAGCACTGCATTTGGACGACACCCATTCCGGGCAAAGCGTCCCTCGTCGCCGACGACCCTCGCATCGAGGGCAACATCCAACGGTGGACCCATGAGGTGCACAAATGGCTTCGGCATGCCGAGGTGGGCGTATGCATTGAGCGGGTCGGCGAGGTAAGAGGCGCTCGGGGTGATAGCGCAGGTAAACGGGGCGATGTAGCTGGACGAAGGGACTGGCGTAGTTGTGTGGAGGCTGTAGGTGGGCGGGCGAACGAGGGGGTTGGTGTGTAGCTGACTTGGAGAGGGTGTAGGTGGGACTGTGTGGATCTGTGTACGGTTGGGATGTATGGGGGGGTGAGAGGGCGGTGACGCCCCGCCATGCCTGGGCTTGTCTGCGGAGTCTTGCATGAGCTTCTGTTGTAACGATGTCTTTAGTGATAGGGACGTAGGACAGAGACCACGGTTCGTCGATGTTGACTGGCTCGTCTTCCCCTTGCTGTGTTGGCGTCGGCGGTGGGTGCGGTGTCGACGGGGACATGATAGATGCTCTGCGTTTCTTCTTTGCGTTTCCAGAGCCCTCGATAGCAGCAGCACTGACTCGTCGTCGCTGTACGGGCGAGCCTGCTCTGTCTCGTTTTTTGCCCTTGTCTTTATCTTTTTCCTTGTCTCTTTCCCTCTCCCTGGCTTGCATATCTGTGACACGTTGCTTCTGGAGGCGTACTGCACGGTCACGGTTAACAGGACGGGGATCGCAGTCCCAACAGCGCCACTCTTCTGGGACCTCTCCCTCGACAATATTGAAGCATGCTGCATGGCACCAACGAGAGCAGACGTCGCAGGCAATGCTGAAGCCATCGTCGAAGAGAAACCCACATATACAGCTGATGGCGTCTGCGTCTGGAAGAGGAGGGCTAGCTGATGGCGTTGGTTGTGATGTTGTCGTTAGCGGTGGTCTTGGTGTCGGTATTGGTATTGGTTTTCTGATTTGAGGAATTGTATTGTTGTTCAGAGGAGAGAGGCTGGGGAGACCGAGTGCAGCCTCCGTTGCATCGCTGTTCATCGACGCTCCCGATGTTTCTGGTCTCCTGCCAATTTGCCGCCAACCAAGTTCTTGACCGACTCTCTCAATTCTACTCGATTGCACTCACCAGGATACAGTAAACACCAATCAACATCTGATTCAGCAACTCGGCACTCCCCGCTTGCCGGTCCAACGGGAGATCATGATTTACAGAAAGTACCTCTAATCATCAACAAGGAGATGGGCATGAGTTGGAATCTTCACGATACTTTCTAGCACACATATTGTAGTAGTGATGTTGTAACAGCACTCGCGATTGGTCAACACAAACTCATTTACATATTAGCCGTTCAGGTACCCGGTTGGAAGGGTGCAGAAGAGAAATGAAGTCCTACATATACTCGACAACTGTCTTGTAACAGGCGAAGATAAAGCATGAGGTTGACCTGGTAGCCTCTAGAGTCTAACGCCCAAAATCTTGCCCATGCGCAGAGGGTAAGGACGACGGGGAGAAAAAGAGGCGTCACTGGCAGAACTGCCCGGGACGGTTGTCTTGTCGGAGGGTCCATTTTAGTTGCATTCCGGAAGAAAGGTGAAGCGGTTTGTAATCTCACCCTGTCGAAAGAACACCTTGTCTATGACCTGTTCGGGGAGCACCAGGGATTGGAGAAGTTCGAGAGTCGAGACTATCCAGCTTCGCTTTGGGCGATAGAGCACGCCCCGCACTAGCGACCATGAAATTAAAATGTCAGTGACACATGCAGAAGAATATGGGGCAAGATTCATTCATGTCGCATTACTATTGGGGAGAGCTGTGGGCAACATCTCATTCCTGTAGCCAACACCCATGTTTTAGGACGGCAGCAATTCCTCGTCACTGATCTGAGACTGAGTGATTGAGCACGATCACTGTTCTCCATGAACCAGCTAGCGCATATCAGTCGTCTTCGGTGTGGCGTATGAAATTTAATGAGTCGAAGCAATGATTCAAGAGGATGACATCTAGCGTGCGAATCTTGAGTAGTACTGCCCCGTACGGTAGGATTGCCACGTCCATGAGAAATAAATTTGCTCCATTCGACTTAGCGATAGTATAGCCAGGTTGCAGCGGTACCGTGGGCAGGACCACCGGCAGAGCCTGGCAAAATCTAGTCTTCCCTAGCCAAACCTGTCGAAGGGAGATAGTCGTTCCTTCGTATTAACACTATTATAGGGACAAAACCAGCATTTTGTTATAGCAGAACAAGTAAATTTTTGGTCAGCTATGGGAGATCATCAAGTAGTTTACCTTAATGTCGACTCACAATGTGATGGTCAGCATACGGTAGCTGAACCGCTCAGAAGGCAGGCTGCTCACGGCGGGCCAACCGCCAACAAACAGTTAACTTAATTTGTCGCACAAAGATCTTCCACTCACCGAAATCACCACTTCGACTGCACGTTACTTGCCTATCAGTGTCCAAGTATTTGAACTGCAGGCTTCACAAGTGTAGAAACATGTTCGATGTGCATCCCGGAGATTGCGGTATCGTCATTGAATTCGTGCGTGGAAGAACTTGGAATAAGTGGGGTCACGTGAGACAATGACACAGTTAGTCTCATGGTCCGAAGCTCTCCGAACATCAATGCATCACGATTCACCAAGCTTTCACGCAGGTGGGCTGGGTGTTTGGCTCGTCGCTGTTCGGCGCAATCTTACTAGGCTTCGCAATTTTGCAACCACTCTTAAGAAGTTCACTCATTTTTCTCGGCGGGGAACTACTTTAGGCTCAGAGAAAACAATATTTGTCAATCAACCACTACCAAGTCAGCCGAAGCCTGGGATTGCTGTTCGCCTCTGGTTTTCCCGCCGCTTACCAGCTTGGGCTATTGAGCGTCCACCCCAAAGATGACTTTGGAAGACTATTCACTCTCAGCATTTGTTGCACTTCCCTTGGTTTGAGCTTCACTCAACTTCTGAGGAAATCCTACATCTTGAAGTTGAAGCTCGTATTCCGATCCCTTGGGCCTTGGTGTGGCTTCCGCCCACACGATCCAATCTTCATTTCGGAAAGAGTGCAGAGGCAATTGCGGGGGAGAAAACCGGGGCGTTGGTACACGCCTTCATTGGCGCCACTGTTTTGCGGGTCATTAGCGAATTTGCTTCGGACTACTCTAGGACTGGCATATTTTCTACACTCTGAATCGCATCGGGTGGACTTCAGTGATCAATGTTGAAAGCTGGGTGAAGCCATCGTAGATTCTATGAACGTTCCCTAATTATCAGTCGACAGGGATGATGTCCTGCAATCGTCACACAAGGACTAATTTGCGCATGAAATTATATGCGTAACACAGTGACTACTAATCACCTATGACAGGCTGTTGGGATCGTTGTCAACAAAGCGATACACGGACTTACATGGATACATGAATTATTTGAGCATGTGAGTCGTCTGTCGTTCTCACCATAAGACAATCTCGATGTACGTATGAATCTTGCAGATCTCATCGATTAACAGGTGCTTCAGGGTAGGACCTCAAGATGACGCACATTATCCGATCGTCTCCCAAGGTTGTATTCTTTGCTCAACTCTTCGGGGCCGAGGTATCGAATGTCATATCAACTAGTCTCTACGCCGTGTTTTCGACCATTTACCCCTGTATCAACGATTTGGCTTACACGACATGCGCATTCTCCACACCTGGGGTGCAGGCATGGCGTGTAGTGGCTATCGCCGTGTTCTTAACCACGTTGTCCATCCTACTGTCTTCTGGGTGAACGATCATTGTACTTGGATTCACGGCCATCATGTCCGTCGTTGCAAAGTATCAGTGGTTCCTCCAAGATATTACATCTTCCTACTGTGAGTGGTCGTGGTCGTGTTACTGATTACATCTGACAAGCTATGAAGCAAATTCAATGCTCTTGCAATCAGGTTGGTACTGAGTGAATAACAGCAATGGTCGTCTTGCTCGCTTTTTTTCAGATGTGGGCTCATACCCTGACAATGTTTTCAGGCGCGACTCTGGCATTCTTTTGGACAAGAAAGTCCGTTTTATGAGATATCAATCAAGGTTTCTGTTTGATTCCTCGTGCAAGCACTTTGACAACTACCAGACATATTGCTATCCTGTTGCGGCGAATTTAATCGCAGGATGAGGTGTTGGTAAATGCTGTATTCATGATTCTGGTAATTTTTGGTGCAACGTACGGGACAGACGCTGGGTGTCCTGGTGGGATTTAGGCGATATATACCAAACAGGCACAGCATGATGGTTCTCTGCCAACTTGACAGCCAAAGAGGGCCCAGAGTTACTGAAGCCTTTTGTTCAGAGGTTTCTGAGTATGATAGATGTGACTTGGATATCTGTAGCAATATTTTATCCATTACCTCAATAAGAACGCTGGTAGTAGGAAGGGGACATACCCGAGTGCATACCAAGCCTCTTTCTGCCACCACGTGCACGACCTTTTCCAAGCTAGTCCTGAGTCCTGACTGTCCCGTGCACACAGTGCAGGGTGCATAGGTACATTCTGTCATCTTCTGTCATTCGATCGGATCAGTCCTGAAGAACTGGAGCAAACACTCGTGACACTTTGAACAACGTGCTCTTCGACAAATGTTCCTTATAATGGGTGGCACTAGCACGATGCTGCCGCGCCCACGTTGGTGGGTGTTGGCATGACTTTATCGCTATCGTGAGTGGTTCAAATCCAGGAACTTGGTGGACTTAGAGGCGGCCTATCAGCTGATGAGCAAAGTATCTACCGATGGATGCTATTGTATGTTGGGTGTCGATTCTACAAGTCATGTTCAAATTGAACATAGGTGATCGGCAATTCGGCCCGCCCGATTCAGATGTGGCTCTTGCGTGGTCAAATTAATTGTCACTCCGACTCACCGAACGTGGGTCCGAATTGCATATCCGGCGGAAGCTCACTAGCGCTCACTACGGGTCACTGCGCACAATATCCGAAGTAGTATCCGATCAGTCACGCGCACGTCCGAGTCAGTGGTTAGATATCCTCCACTACAAGTGCTGTCTGTCTCGTACTAACGCTTCTCTCCCCCTCAGCGGCTATATAACTTATTCTTTATCTGCAACAGGACCATCTTCTAGAATCTAGATATCCGACATTGAAAAAGCCAACAATTTATCTGCAGTCACCGTCTGTGCCGCCTTATCATCGGCATCGACATACAACACAGGCCGACACGATCTCGAGGAGGAGTGATTTCATCTCCCCCAGCGATCGTTCAGTCTGATAAACCCAGCGCATGACCTTGCTCCATGTCTACTTTGCACTACGCAAGCAGCAATCCTTTCACCGCCTGCTCAATGGCGGTCCTGGACAACCTTCTATCTCCGCCAGCACCAGCAGCGGAAAATCATGGAAGCGCGCGGGGGCACTGAACTCAGGAATAGCCCTCGAGATAAATGCTCTCGATACCCTTGGCAGGTCGGTCCTGCATCTGGCATGCACCTCTACCGAGGCTTCAAGCCTGGAGTACGTTCGCATGCTCCTCGCCCACCCGGCTATCAACGTGAACGTACTGGACAAGGAGAGTCACTGGACGCCATTACATAGGGCATTATATGCGGGAAATATATCCGCTGCGTACGTCTCTATTTTCGCATGTGCAACAGGTGCAGTCTTGTCTTACAGAGTTCAAGGATCCTCCTTTTGAAGCGTTTGGATATCGATACGTCCATCAAGGACTTAGAAGGGTATACTGCTCACGACCTCTACAACTCAACCGTGAGATCTGCAAAGCCTACTGAGGACGAAGAGACTCTTGCTGAGCTATTTACCTGGGGTACGAACAGGTAAGTCGACGTGCTGGTGGAACTGAGTGATCACGCCTCAAAGGGGTTTTGACATCAGAAACGCAGCATTGGGTGTGGGCGATGGCAATGATAGGGCATATCCGGATCAGGTCGTCATTCCTCGTAAGGACGATGTAGCACGTCAACACAACAGGAGTCTCGACGACCGCTTCGCCCCAATTCATGTCCGGCAAGTATCGATGTCCAAGCTTCATACAGGCGCGTTTTTTTCGGGGTCAATACGTGCCGAGCTCACCATTCCGTAGTTGTACTCACCTCCGAGCCTCGGGATAACATTCGTGTGTGCGGCTTTGGCGGTGGAGGACGGTAGGCGCAGATATATACTCGATCGTACGTTGTGTTGCTAATTTTTCTGCAGTTTAGGTCCAAGTCAACATACACAATACGCCCTCATACCCCTTCCTGACATCAAACACACCATTGAGTCCGTTGCGCTTGGCCAAGACCACACCCTCGCACTCACTTCAACTGGAGAAGTTCTCACCTGGGGACTCAATCGCTTTTCTCAGCTTGGATACGTCATTGAGGTCTCATCCTCCGCCAAACAAGATGAGCATATCCAGGCTACGCCACGGAAAGTCGGCTCCTTGAGGAGAGAATTTGTTAAAGGTGTTGCAGCGTGCAAGACCGCTTCTGGTTGTTGGACAGATACGGAAGTATGGACATGGGGTACGAACGGCGGGCAACTTGGTGGGTTATTTTCTCCTGGGTTGTTAATATGCGCTCAAGTTGAAATTCATTAGGGTACGATAAGGCATTGGTACCCGTTCAAGTGCTCCCTCGTAAAGTCTCCAGCATAGTGAAGCCTGTCCGCGCAATGGTGATGACAGTTCGTTGGAATTTTTATATGGTTCTAGGATGAGAATGACTCTGGATTCAGGAAATCCTCATGGCGTGTCTACTTCTCACGGGCGAAGTCGTGTGTGTTTGGTCTGGAGGGGTTTCCAAGATTAGGTCGGACTTTGTCTGGGCTTAGTTCACTTTCTTTCTGACTTTTGATGCCTAGTTTCCCCACCCAGAGGTTTTCCTCAGGGATATCTGTCTACCGACCCCCGCAAGCAATCAACGGTCAGAACATCACAAAGCTCAGGAGTTGTGACGATACCATCGCTGCCCTCTCGTCGAACGGAGAAGTATTCACGTTTACTTCACAACCTATTGGAGAAGGCGATTCCGCAAAGAGTTCCCTTACTTTCAAGCCCCAACGCATATGGGCGCTGAGACGTCAGTTCAGTGCTGTGCAGGTAGGCGGGCTCAAATTCAAATATCATGCCGTCTGAAGTCTTGTAGGATGTTGACATTGGGGTCGATGGAACTGTCATAGTCTGCACTCAGTCTGGACATGTTTACGTCCGCTCGCGGAGTGCCAAAGGAGGCCAGGGCTCCGGTGCCAAAGCATTCAAATTCCAGCGCATACCGTACATACAGCGTGCTGTTGCTGTCTGCGCAAACAGCACAGGGGCGTTTGGGGCTCTGCGCGTTGATTTTAAACCACCGCCCATCCACATCAACGCGCGTTCATTTTCATGTGATATTACTGAGATCCAGCCATACCTAGGTCTTTCATCGCGTGCAGAGGTACCGTCTGCCATACCAAACATGACGACACCTCTCTTGGATGCTGACGAAGATGGCGAGGACGTGTCGATCATGGACGATATCGGAGATCTCTCGAAGTTGCTTTACGTTCTAGACCAACGCAAGAACGTGCCAGATATCGCCTTGCCCTATAATGCCGACGTAGTGGTTGTCACTCCTGGTCCACTGCACCTTCCGGCTCATCGGCTCATTCTCGCTGTGAGATGTCCAGTACTGGGTAACATTTTTCATAGCGGACGTTCATTACATGATAAATCTTCAGGGATTGAGATCAGTCTCGTCACAGGAGACAGGGTCCGCATTCAAATCAACGGATGTCATTCGTTCACGGTCCTGATTCTCCTTCGATACCTGTACTCGGACCAGCTCCTCGCCATCTGGGATTTACGCGTCGGAAGCCCTTTTGTGTCCCAATTTGAAACATTTGCTGTGAAGCCTGTAGCAATCAAGGCGGAGCTTCAATCACTTTCACGTATATTGGGTCTTCAACTTCTTTTGAAAGCACTTCAATCGCCAGGAAAGCGAGTTCCCACTCCTTCACAGGCAGAAGACTTCCGCCTGCTCTACGAGAGAAGCCAGTTAACTGGGCGTTTACGGAATAATACAAAAGAAGACTCCCTTGCGCCCGACGTCGCGCTCCACCTCGCCGACCAGGTCATCGTTTGGAGTCATTCAGTAGTGCTACAAGCCCGCTGTCAATTCTTCGCCAGCTTCTTTGAAGAAAGTGCATGGACGTCTAAGCGTCGTGATAAGTCGGGTATCATCGACATTGATTTCAAGCACTTGGAGTGGCAGGTCATGCAATATGTCGTTCGATGGATATGTTATGGAGACGAGAACTTGTTCGAATCTCTTGGTGTGTTCTCGTGTCTTATTTTCTTAGTTTCGGCCTTCTTACTGCATCGAAGACTTTGTGCAAGGGGTAGATGACGTGCTATCCTTCATGTTCTCTGTTCTTTCTGCGGCGGTAAGTTCACATGCACTATCTTTAGGCGTATGGCTCATCATGCAACGTCAACTAGAATGAACTTTTACTCGATCGTCTGATGCTTCTCTGTTCACAAGTCATTTTGAAGCATCTCGACGTTTATAATGCGTGCTATTTGCTCACTGATGCAACGCACATCAACGCGACCCATCTCGTTGAACGCCTGCAAAGTTACATCACTGCAAATCTGGAGATGATGCTAGAGGGTCGCATGCTCGAGGACCTCGACCCTTCCGTCGTACGACAACTTTCTGAGTACATTCGCAGTGCACAGATGACAAAGTCCTGGGTCTCTCGTTCTAACTTACTGGCGAACGAAGCGCTGCGGAAGCATACTGAATGGCTTGCTCAACAGGATATCCCAGTCGTGTTTGAACCTGTACAGGTTCACAGGGATTCTTCGAAGCAGTTGACTCCGGGCCCGATGAGGACTCGCCGGATTTCGAGTCTGTCTGTGCATCCAGCGGCAGATTCGCGCAAGGCTGCTGATACTGGGCCGTCAGGAGACGAGCTGTTCGCGATGGACGAAGTACCTTCGTCGGTTATCACTCCTAATCATCCGGTACCTGCAGTTGCTGAACCGTCTGGATCAGTAGCAATATGGAAACGACCCATCTCCACACCCAGGTGTGTGGAACTTTTGCTTCCATTCTTACTATGTATTGTGCTAATACCACTATGAAGGACCGATCTCAAGGCCATTATGGCAGAGGCTGAAAACACCAAGATATCCGGTGCTGCAAATAGAGCAACACGTGATGCTATGGCCAAACCTAGCCATGAATCTTTGAAACAGGTGGCTACGCCACAGCGTAGGACCGTGAGCTCGTCGCTGAAGCCTGACGCGTCACCGACACCGCGTCGAACACCTTCTGATCTTGACTTGGGGAAGTCTTCGCTCCCTGAATCATCTGCCGCCGCGAAGCCAACGCATCCGAGAACACCTCAGCGGCCGGCTAGTCGAGCCGTACTTCCATCTTCAAAGACTCAGCCGAATACACCTTCACTCGGCCCCGTCTTTTCCCCCGTTCGACAGGTGCCTCCGGCATCCAGTTCACCAGGTCCCCGACGTGTTTCGTACGTACCTACTGTTCCCCTCGGCCACGTCTTACTGATCTATATTTACCAGGAATACGGGTGCTGCATGGACACTTCCGCCTGTTCAGCCAGTGGTGCAATCGAGCGTTGCAGAATCATCATCGCTTTCATTTGCTGAGATACAACAATTACAGCTTCTGCAAGGCATGCCTGCACCAAAGGACAAGCGATCGCTTGTCGAGATTCAAGAAGAGGAGCGAGCCATTCAACTAGAGGCAGACTTTATGAAATGGTGGGCGGCGGAAGAGGCGCGTACTCAAGCGGAAGCGCACAAGGCTTCTGAACCGCAAACGCAACGTGCTACCCCTAGAAGTAGGAATCGAGGAGGGAAGAAGCCATCCCACAGTACTCGCTCGAAGCCTGGTGAAACGTGTCCTGCTCAGGGTAGCCGTTCCGAGGGGGGGAAACAGTCCATGACACCGGCAGCTGACGGTGCAATGCTGCAGGCCGGAGGATCCAACCGGAAGAGTCGAAGAAGACAGGAGGCGGAGGATTCCATCCATGTTCAACGAATCAAGGGACGGTGAACTATTTAGCAAGCCTCCAGCTACTAATAGCGATAGTATGGACTATGACGGTCGTCGAAGAGAAAGCATGAACACCGAAGCGATATCCAATACCTGACTTTGAAGATACATAGATGCAGCGAGTGCCAGGAACTTTGTCCATTGTAGCTTTTTGGCCTGGCTATAATTCATCAACCATTTTGTTGTAAGGTGTTATATAGTATTTCGAAATTTGGATGAATAAGAAATTTGGCTAGGGAGTACATGTAATAAAAAATACTGTAATGAAGGTTATCGTCGAATCCCGGTCCTCGGATTACGTCTCGTGCTGATCACTTCGTCATCTTCGTCATAGCGGTGTAGCAACGGATCAGTGGTTCCATTGATTGTATCCAATTCAACACCCTTGGCGTCTTCGAACCGGGTAGCATACGGCTGATGTGCATCTGCCGATGCTAGGTTAGGGTAATACTGCCTGTATGAAAAATATGCGAGGAGAAGTCCAAGCGCAGATCCGGCCACGACATCCTGCCAGTGATCTGAATGGCAAAGTGAGTAATCTAACATGAATCCATAAAACAGGGAACGTACGACGATAGTCCATAGTGCGCGAAATTGCCACGAACATTGCACCGACAAGGGGAGTAATAGATAACCACGCTTTACTCTGAATCATGGGTAGTCAAACACACATTCAACTGTTCACAGGGTAAGGGGAACTCACTACATGTCCCCGGGTGTCAAATAGATGTAGTTTACCAGCCAGGTAAAAGGCGAGGAATCCGAGGCCTGCAAAAGATACTACATATAGACATGTCAGATCGATAAGAAGGAGAGATGACATCCGTCATACTGCTAGAATGTCCGCTGGGGAAGCTTCTCCATCCATCTTCGAGTATCTTCGATACCGTCTGCGTGCATATATCTGCTGTAGATAGGCCCAAAAAAGGGTCTGTAGAGCCTGTCACAGGCTGACAGCGCGAGATTAAATCTATAAATATTGTAAGATACGTCAAGTAGATCTATGTGCATAAAGTTGCAAGCTTACCTGGCCGAGGCCGTCCAACTGTAACTTTGACGAATTGTGTAATGGCCCTCGTCATCGACAGAGAAAGGACCACTGCATCGTCATCAGTAGCCATAGGATGTAGCTACTAAATTTAGGTACATACATCCCAGAGTGCTGTGATGGAAATCCCACCATGACTGGACTGTCAAAAAATTGATAAGGCACTGGAGCACAAATGGGATGCCGAAAGAGATAAATCTAAGAGCTGTTGTCTGAAATATCGTTAATGAAAGGACTTTGTCCATGTTTGCTGTAGCTTACCCCGACACGTTGATTAACAGCATAGCTGGTGGGTATGAAGTGAGCGATGTAAGTAGACCCAGTGGATGAGTAATACCCACGGATATAGTAATCTAAGAAGGTGGTCTCAACATGAAGGCGAACCCGAATGGAAGCATTGAATACTTACGAGACATCAGACAGCGAGAAGTGCCTCTTAAATCCAGAGATGTAGCTGTCGGTGACCCAAAATATTGCCCTACGAGTTAATGCCAGTCTTTAGCTCCGGGTCTTTCCATGCCTGTAACCTTCATAGCTCCGAATCCTCACCAAAGCGCACCAGATATGATCCTTCGGGAAAAGAGACTGCATGAGTTCAAGCCCAAAGTTTAGTGATCAAGAAGTTCACCAGTCGGGGGCATACGACATCATGAATCGCCGTAGGCCTGGTTGTGGCCTGCGTTCTTGGCTCATGGTGTTGGGAATGACAGGATTCGATTGCAGAGTACTAGCCCCAGTAGTAGTGGCCGCAAGGTACAGTCCGTGAGTGCGTTGTTTTATGGTTGTGAGAGGAATAGTTATTGCCGACGTTTCAGGATGTCTTGCCCATTCCACTGTGTGATATATACCAATAAGTCGTTCTCACACAAACTGGCAGGATCTAATATTAATATTGATCCTTGATGAAGGAGTCTGCGGGCGCGGACTCCAGGAGTCCTGTGTAATTTTAGAAACACCTTGGGAATTACGGCTTCATACACACTGCCCTGCGCACCGCATCCGTGGCTATATATTTGTACCGCAACCATGCCCAACAGTCGACCGTCGTCGATTCATACATATGGGTTCAAGTTGCGTGAAAAGTTTTCATGAAAACATTTTACCATCGCAACCTTCTGACACGTCACCCACATTATGTAACCATATCCCAAGCTCAACATCACGTGTGGACTGCGGTTATTAAATATTTGCCTTGTCCGCGCGGTGACCTCGCCCATCAGGCGGCCCATGTCGTGTTAATCCAATCCATGCATATGGCCATACCTCATCGACGCCGCATCAATGCATCAGGCTTCACCCATGCCGCGCAATCATGTCACGTCATGACCGCATCAAGCCTCACATATGCTGCGCCAGTGTCACAGGGTCAGTACTGTAACCGTTGTCGTACTAAAGTGCACCTTGCAGAAAAAAATGCGTTGTCAATGTCAGTCATGACTCGTCACTGGAAGCTTTGGAAATTCAGCAAGTGTCCGCCGGTATAAATTGTCGAGTGCAGCTTTCAACTTTGTAGATAGCCCTGCATCAAGGAGTTCAAGCTCCACACAAATTGTGTGCCATCCAGTGTCTAACAGCGTAACATTGTTGATCTCGTATCTCCAGGCGACTCTCCGGTGAAGAGAATGCCTGGTCGCGAAAGCCATATTATCTGCAGACTATCTTGCATGTTCAAGAAACTGTTTATAGGACTATTAATCCTCGTTGTAGATTCTGTTCCTCCTGCAGTCGTCCGCGAAAGTGCTACTAGGGAGCCTCTCTCATTCGATTTCCAAACAACACCTCTCCGCGATTCCTCGTTTAGGGTGTACGGACAAATAGTTTGACGGGTATTTGTGCCATGGGCTGAATGACCAGGCTCTCTCTTGCCTTAGAACTTGACGGTAGTACGTCACGCCTCGCCAAATTGCTTGGTGTCATCCAGTAATGTACCTTTCTTGTGGAATGTACTTTATTCCTGCGAGCTGGCGAAGAAATGATTCCTCTTCCCAATAATTATGTTCGGCATCTAAAAAGTCTATGCATCGTATTTCCGCAAGCCAGCAATCAACTCGATGACCTCCTATATGTGGTCAGTTTCCCGTTCTCGCTATCGACTGCCACAGGCTATCAGAAATGCCTATGGTGTCTACTGAGTAACTCAATACGTCGTTCACATTGCATTGTGCCTTTGGTCAAGGCGCTCACTCCCGTACTTCAGGCCGTGGGCGGAAGCCATATCCTGGTTTCATGCGATACCTCGGATACGATAATCGGCTGGGCTTGCCCAGGTTTCGAGAGCGTGGACTAAATGTCAATCATCAAAGTTCAATTGGATATCCTCGTGTAATGTGAATTTGCCGAAAGGCCGGATGTGATTTGTTTCGCTGGAGGTACGTATCCTTGATCTGCGATGGATCCGTCGTTTATCTGACAATTCCGCACAAGAACAAATGGTGTGAATGTTTACAGGAAACCCGAGGTGGAGCTATCGATTACTTGTGGTTCGTGACAGTACCAGGGTACGTCGGATCCATGGAGTGGTTTCCATTAGTCGGTGCACGTCATTTGGTCACTACTACTTGTTGCTACCAATGTCATTCCACTAAAAAAAGACAACAAACCCTAATCGTAATCGGTACACATACCATGAAACGCCGATGGTTGCATGACGTAGAAAATTCACATCTTTATGTGTTCGTGAACTCAGCCTTTACCCACATATTGATGCATGATGGCTTCACGAAGGCAACAAGCCTGCGGTCCCTCTCTAGGGCTGCACGTTGGACTGGTGTGGCTGGCAACGTGCCTGCCTCTACGCTGGTGTGACCTCCTAATGATAAACACCACCTACCTACTCCTACTGTGTTCTGTGTCCCTTCGTTACACCCATCGTCGCCGGTGTGACACAGCCTATCTACGCATGAGATAATATTAGCGCTGGTTTACACAAGGCGTATGAAACCCTACGCCCGGCAGGATATACTTCCTCGGAACGTGACAGGCGGCTTAGTAGCTCGTGAAAGAGCGACTTGAATACTGACTCAGGCGTTCAATGCCACAAACTCAGTTAATGATAAAGTTATTGCCATTGCATATATAAAAATCTGGAAGTCTGCACTAAGGTCTCGCTAGTACTGAGGGGAAAATGGACTTTGCCAGTCGCGGGAAAAGACGGAACTCTCTTGCTGCCCAGATGAACCAAAAAATGAACATGGTAATGATCACGCACCCGCTGACAACTGATGCCAGCATGGGCACTGTCGTAAACTTGAACACATTGTACAGAATGGCGATTGCAAAGTATATCATCCTAATCAAGAATAAGGTCACCATTAACCTGGTGATGGAGTAGCAATCCACCTACCCCCACATAAGCATTGCGTAGGGAAGACCGTGAACCGTGGCAAGGGCTCTCATTCCGAAAAATGTCCCCGTCATATGAGACAGAAAATGCGTCTGACGGAATTAGTTAGTATGGAAGAGGCGGACGCTAAGGCAAGAACTTGCTGCTTTGTCCGCTGGTTCAAAACCATATCTTTGGTTCTGTCGCACCAGCAGGACTGAGACGATCAAGGAGCCAGTGATGAAGATGATGGAGAGATAGGTGACGATAATCCCGATCGACTGCGACTGGCTAATATTCACATTCGGCACTGCAAGGAAACTTACGTCTACTGCTAACATGACAGTGGACTGGAGATAATCAAGGTACGGAGGAGGATACTGACATCATGATACATACGTAGATTGTGATCCCAGTCCATTCTGTCATGAGGTTTTTGTTGAAGTCTTTCCACCGCGGCGTATTGATGCATTCATCCACCCACACTTTTTGAAGATCTTCCAAGTGTGATTGAGGAGCCCAAAAAAGCATGGCGTCGAGAGCAAAAGAAACACTACTGGTTAGTGGGTGAAAGTTTTGATCTTCCTCGTACACCGATTTATCGGCTTCAAGACGAGCGTAAGGTAGACCGCAGAAGTTGAAGAACTTGGCTCTATCTTCAGCATGAATGAGCTGGGCGCTAAGACGTCGAAATGAAGAATATACAAAAGTAATGCATGAATCTCGCTGTTGACGAAATGGTGAATCTTAAATTCATGTGTGTGCATAGCTTTGCTTACCAATAACACAAGTGGAATGTGGGTCATTGTCTAGATCATTCTCTGGAGATGTATAATGGTACTTTAGACTGTTACAGATGAAAACAGTTCGAAGGGGACCGCCACACCTTTGAGATGGTTTATCAACTCCAAGATTTTGGAGAGTTCATCTCCATCAAAAGGCGACAAGGACGTGTCTGAAGTGATGATCTCTGAATCGCGCGTTCAAGAAAAATCTACACTTGAATCCAGGCGATAAGTACCTGCACTTGCATGCATGACAAGCTCCCTTAGTTCCTTGATGATCTTCGGTCTATCCATCTGGTGGTCCGGGTAGGATTCGCAGTGCGTCCTGCTCGTTCCATGTAATGATGGTCACAGGTTCTGAAACCACATTAGAATCGGAGTGTATCTCGCAGGAAATAGATAAAAATCGTACAAAATAGAGTATGACACACCAGTACTCAGCCTCCAGGGAATATCCTAGTGGTTAGTCCATATCAGCGGAATTATCACAAGTCCCGCATAACGCACCGATATGGCTCGGATCGGCGACGCCTCGGAGCCCACTAAAAATATCATCTGTCGCTTGATTGTAATCGTGTAGCCAAAAGAGTGTTCGAGCTTTGTGGTCGATGAAATAATAATAACAAAACACTTGTGCATCTCCGGTTTCAGTCTGCGCTAGTTGCACGACGAGCTCAATATCATCAGCTCCGAGATCCACTGATTTTGTTTTCGCTAGTTCATTTAACTCATCTACGCATTTGTCGAGCAACTCGAACATGCTGCGATCCATGGTTGCTTCTGTGAATACACTCTGCAGAATACGTCACAAAAGTGCGTACGGCCTTCATGATCGAATGCTTACCCGGCGTTCGTTGTACAAATACAGTACGCCTTCCGGGTGTACACATGACTTCCAATCACCGCTCAGCCACGGACATGATCTGAACAGTTTGTCATCCGCATTCATCCCCTGGTTGTGTACTCACTCGTTGGGGAACTGTCTCATGAGTGCTGGAATTACATCGCGCTTTTTAGCTGTGTCTCTAGAGGCCAACTCCTCAAGATCAATCCATTGTTAATATAGACTGCATTCACGTACACAAAAGGACGATTATCGTATCGCGAAATGTCATTCGCAGCAAATGGCACAAGCATGGGAGTGGTGGCTGTAGCACTAGAAGGATTTGCGTTAGGAACTTGTAGAGGCGAAGACGTCTGAGGCGGAATGGGTTGCTGGGGAATGCATGGTACAGGCATTGGCACCGAAGACAACAACGCATTTTGCGTGCTGCTTGCTGGACTTGCTGAAGTTATTTGCTGGTTGTGAAGCGGCAATGGTAAGTTGACGGGGGGACATCGCACACCGGAAGTGCTGGTCGGCACAGTACAACAGTCTGCAGGAGAGGATTTCGTCGAGTTAGTATTGTGCCTGGAAAAACCACGAATCTTCAAGTTCAACTTGGCCACAAAGTGTCGAAAGTAAATCACGAGGATTCGCAATCTTTGGGCAGATGAAGTTATGAGTGTTGCCAACACTTGGCACAGACGTTTCAAGAGCCTTAGAATCAGCCTCGCGTTCAACATGTTTGGTCGTCCAACGTTCCGAGTTAATGTCGACCTGAGTCAGGTTGAAGTTGCCAAAGCGACCCGGGCACGTGGACACCTGCAAGGGCCGCGACTCTTGACCGGTCGACCTTCCGAGCAACTTCCGAGTTATGGTTTTACATCCATCATATTGCTCGAACTTAAGTACGCGCGTATCTACTTTTCTCTGCAACTTGTCCGGCCAATCAATTACTCGATCACATCCTTGTGTAAACGGTTGCAAACAGCGAAGTTTGAACACACTCATTGAATAATTTGAATTGCTCAATTGGACCAGTCACTATACGGCCCGGGAAATCCCAACATCTGCTCGAACGATATCCTTCTTCGCGACATGAATTTCATACTGTTTGGATCCCCTAACGCTTATACCAAGGATTCTACCATCGTTCAGCCGCAGTAGAAGAATTTTATCAACAGACTCAACAGTGAATGGAATGGATATACAATATTCGTGAGTTGTGCTTCTGCTCCCTATCGGCAATGCAATCGATGTCAATCTTAGTCTATTGTGATACTTGCTGTGGATATCAGCTTTCTCGGGGTACTATCCGTCCAGACACGCAACCGCTGCGATTCTTGTCTCCTATATGTCGGTGACCCTCTGCAAACAGTGAACCCATTCAAGTCTTCGTCCCTCTCATCTACCTCTATTACAATTCGAAAAATTCAACACAGTCGCATTAGTGATCTGCACTATCTGTTTTATGGTGTGTACCAATCAAATTAATCAATGCAGAGCTCGAAATTCCGCTCGACGAGACATTGAAAACTGCATGTGGTGAGTCCACCGTCTTCATTCAAGGAGACAGGTATCGGTGCCATTTTCTGCATTCATCCTCGTCCGGAAAGTGCTAGTTGATGCCCTCTCACGCTAGCTTAAGCTCCTGTATTAAGTCCCGCCCAATACATGTCTTGCATTTGACGACTGTGGCTGTGAACCGCCGTCTGGCTTCAGGGCAGACTGTGAGAGTTGCACATGCACAGAGCAAATAAATGCAGGTTACTAGTTGACAACGAATATGGCTAAGCCCTAGCTCCACTACGGTCCCCGATCACTAACAATTTCGTAAGTCAGGAAACCAAGTACCGAGAGAAACCAGGAAGACTAATTTCCAACCATGTCAAGTGAGAGCGAGGCCAGTAGATGCAATGGAGGAGGGCTCTTATCGAACACGATCGAGTTCCCATCTCCCAAAACCTTTGCCGGCTACACCCGTGTTCTGGCCTTTTCGGTTGCAATCATCTGACACCTCAGAGGCTTGTCAAGTTGTCTTTATGTCTGTCATTCAGCTCTCGCTGGGCCTTTTTTCCGTTATGCATGCCTCAGTGGGCTAGTCCTGCATCGTGTCTTGAGCTATCCGTTATGGGATGTTCTAGACTTTCGCGCTGATCTCTCTGTTGACATCTCTGTCCGGTTCCTGAGTCTTGCCGCGGTAATCGAAAGCAAACAATAATCTTTTGTTCCGCCTCGGCATCGACATAAAACAGGAGATCACGCAAACTACCCACATCAGAACGATATGGTTCAGTCTGCATGTGCAAGGGAAAATATTAGATCGGTAAGCTCGGGTTCGCATGTGCATTCATCAAAGGCATTGATAACAAATGACAAAGGTGGACATCGGCGCAATCTGAGTTGAAAGTTTCCAGAGGGGTTGGAGAAAGAGAGCCTCCATCTGGTCGCAGAGAGGTGTGTCTGGGTCTAGTAGAGCCACTTTCAATTCTTCCAGCCTCGCTGAAGTCTCATGGATGGACACTCCTTCGGTTGTTAGCTCTTCTAATGCGACCGAGGATGACCTGAAAGCTAAAGGTTGGGAGGTTACATCATTTTCCTGATTGTTAGGCTCACTCTGTCCTTAGCTTGCACGCATTCTTCTGGCCTCCGGTGGCCGGTCCGGCCCCACTAAACATTTTTTCGTTTGGTGGTGAATCCCGACAGTTTCGGTTGGCACGTACGCACCTTGAGGATATATCTTATGTTTTTGAGACGACCTTGCGAGATATGAAGGTGAATTCCTCTCCATGGATAGACTATCACATAGAAAGGAAATTTTGGCGCAACGACTGGACCTACCGGTTAAAATACCCTCTCGAGGATTTATACGTCATAAAAATGTTGTCAGCTGGTTTTGAACCAACTCCAAGAGAAACAGATTTTGACTCTGCTGTGGTAACCACTTGGCTAAGACCAGTGGGATGAGCATGCAATGAAACCATCCATGAGTAGCGTTATGGTGTATTCTGAGAGAGAAAACCTTCCATTCGGCGGGTTTCGAACCTGCGCAGTCCAAGAGAAACAAATTTTGTTGTGGTGACCAGTAAAGATGAGCACCGGAGGAAACCATCCATGAATGAATGTCAAGGTGTGTTCTGATATAAAAAATTGACATCAACAGATTTTGATTCCGTTGTGGTAACCACTTGGCTAAGACCAGTAGAAATGAATCTCCGAGGAACTGTCCATGAGTGAATCTTCAAGTGTTCCGACAGGGTGACTCATCGGCAGGTTCGACAGATTTTGATTTTGTTGTGGTAACCACCTGGCTAAGGCCCTCCGAAAAAATCCAACATGCTTCATTGAAAGTATGTTCTGATAGAAAAAAAAACTGTCATCGGCAGGTTTGATTCCTGAAACTTGCACAATCCAAGGCAAACAGATTTGGATTCGGTTGTGGTAACCACTTAAGGGCTAAGACCAGTTCGATTTAAATCTGTGTAAATGTCAAGGTGTGTTCCGAGAGAGGAAACCTCGTCGGCAGGTTTCGAACCCGCACAGATTTCGATTCTGTTGTCAACCACTTCACCCAGGGCGCTTGCCAAGTTGAGATGAACCTCCCATCTTGAGAACTGTCCATGAGTGAATCTCAAGGCGTGATAAGACATTTGTCGGCAGGTTTCGAATCCGCACCACCCAAGACTCGAGGGAGCAGATTTCTGTCCTATCACGCTTACCACTTGGCCAAGACTGGCCAAGATGGACGTCTGTAGTACGAGTCGAGGAACATTATACCTCGACAGTAGAATCACATAGAATCACATAGGATTAGCAGTCATTTGCCAATGCAAAATAAAATAAAAGACTAATTTGCGTTTATGGACACAAAACATGCCAGGAATGAGCGAGTCGGGAGCTGGCGCCGGCGCCGTTACGATTTTATAACGTAATGGTATTGCAGCGACTTTTTGTCAGATGATGGATATCGCTGCATTCAGGAAAGTGTTCCACAAAAATTGTGCCATTAGATACCCTGGATTGGACAGCGCAGGCTCATCGTCAACCAAACTTGTACGGATCTGTAACTTGGTCCCAAAGCTTCTTGGTGTCTACCACAGCACGCAACCTCGAAGCAAGTAAGAACGCCCCACTCAATTTCCTACAGAACCAGCAATGATTAGAAAGATCATGAAGCACGCAATAAAATCGAACATAAAATCCTAGCTCTTATTCTGAAGAAAATCTATTGAAAGACTCACCGATTCAGACTGTAGGTTTCCCGCGGTGGGGGCGTCAGCCTGTGCTTGAGCATCACAGGTATGATAGCACGTATTTGAGCTGTGATGTCCGCCCATGGCGTCCCAGGTCCAAAAGCGAAAGGCTGCGTGGTCGTGGATTTGAAGGGGGTAGCTAGGAGGACCATGGAGTCGATGTGCGCATCGAGCATGACCTGTAAACGTGTTCCGTGAATACATGCGCGGGACAGTGATGGGGAGATGGTACTTCATTCTCCTCTCCGGTGAGATATTCAAGTTTCTGACTCCATTCTGCACATGCGATACGATCCTCGGATGCAGCGGCTTGAAGAAGGCGCAGCCAGCTGTCCATGAATTCTTTTGTGTACTCTCGTGTTGCGCCAAAGTCCACTAGGGATAGCTGCGATGATAGACAGTGAGATCGTCCAGGAAACTCAAGAAACGGAAAACATGAAGCGCCAACATAAGACACACCTGTTGTGCCTTTAAGTCCCACAGGAAATTCGTGAAGTTAGGGTCCGTCTGCATGAGCCTGAACTGGAAGAGCTCTCGTAAGCAGAGCTCGATGATTCGCGATGCAATCTACCATAAATTTCAGCAAATGCATGATCTGTGGTCGATGGTAGGCACCTCGTTCCGCTCCTCCTGTGGTAAAGCTCCAATTACAGCATCCCCAATGCTGACGCCTTCTACATGCTCCATCACAAGAACGCGTTCTGTACTACCTGGCCACACCCATGGGACCTTGAATCGTGCATCTGCACCAAGACAATCTGGTCTCCCATACCGCTCAAGGAAACTTGCCTCCCGTGAGTAGTTGCATTCGTCAGCAAGTTCATCTTTCATCACCTTTGATATTGAGATAGGTCGTAGTGAGTTGTCCCAATAGCAGGAAATGAGGAAAGATCGAGAATAAAAAGTCAGATGTTCAGCGCTAGGCATGAGGGAGATATAAAAAACATACTTGAATCGTACGATCCAGGAACAACCCCCGCGGAAGCAAGCTTCCAGCGGTGAGAACCATTTTAACGTAGCCAAGATCGCTCACAATTGAGTTAGCAATGTTCGGGAACTGGATCTTCACAGCAACGCGTTGGCCGTCGTCGCTAGACGGACTCTGACTTCGAGCAAGGACAGCGTGGTGCACCTGACCGATGCTCGCAGCTGCGAACGGTATACGATCGAACGATGTAAAATTATCGGCCCATGATTCCCCTAGAGACGCGCATAGCACTTGTTGCATCTGCCAGTCCGGCATATAGTGAGCGCTATCTTGAACGCGGCGGAATATTTTGTCAACTTCTGGGGGTAGGAGGTGGGTGTCTAGCTCCCAGGTTAACAGCGGACAAAATGACAAGAGATAACCTATGGGTAGGCACCTTGGATGCTCATGAACTGGCCGAGCTTCAGTGCAGCACCGCGCATCTGAGAAAGCTTGGACACCAAGCGGGTTATGTTTGCTTCAGTCATCATGACTGGTTGTGTGTTGTCTGCATGGGGTGTAGTAGAGCGACGTAAGAGCTCGGAAGCGGCGCCGTACGAGAGCGATGCTGCAAGGCCTATGATGACAAGTTAGCAAAAGGTGAACGAAAGGACGGCAAAGAAAGACGTACTGCCATAGTGAAATAACCGACCAAGTCTGGACGAAGGGACCTTGGATGATTGGAGGCTGCGTGAGAGTATAGGAGGGGAGTCTATGGGTGCGGATAGGGCTTTTTCTGGATGCTATGAGGTGGCAACACGTTGAAATGAGCAAGAGGTGAGCAGAGGAACGAGTGAACTGGTAGGGATGACACACACCTCTAAATCTAGGGGTACAGAACTTTCTATTTCGCGACGTAGGCTTTCAAATCCCGTGGGTATGGAAGGAGAACCAGAGTCAAACGTGACTTCGGAAGAAGACGCGATCTTCAAGGAACTATCCGCCTCAAGTGGAATAGAAGAGACCGCAAAACTGGGATCATGGGGTAGTTGAGGCTCTAAGGTAGGCTCAGTGGAGAGATGGATATAGGTAGTGGACGAAACCTGTTCAGACAGGATGTCCTCTTCAAACTGAGGCAGTAATGGTGTCAGTTCCTCTCGCCGTTCCTCGGGATGGTAAGTGTTGTTGATCGGAGGGTTGGAAGAAAACGCGTGATCTGTGCGCGGTTTTGGAGGGCCGTGGTTTGCTTGAGCATCGCCTGCAAGCTGTGGTATTAACTGATGCTCTTCTGCCTTGCTTTTGCGCAAAGAGAACTCCGGAAATACAACAGTTCTGGCAGGAAGAACCTGGGAGGCTCTGATCTGTGCTGCACGAACAGCAATATCTGTAACTGAGTGGAGAACACAAAGCCATCCAAATGCAGGCCCAGGTGGCATCCACGACCAAATTTCTGCCTCAAAAATCAATTGAAGGCACTACACCGTCGCGACTCGCAACGTGACTGTTGTGGTAGAATTTGCACAGCCACATCAGTCCGTTTCAGACCTTTTAAGCCTGAAGCGCTGAAAGCCTGAACGCCCTTCCTTGTATCACAACTGCCGCAGGTCGGAGCCATGCAGAATCAAATCCACAATCCTAACCTGGCGCGATATGTGATGCAGAGGTAATTAAATGTTGTCCAGGTAATATGCCACCACTACATTTTACCTTGGTTTGTTACAGCTCCGACGTCATTTCTGACCTGCGAATCAACATCTTTGAGGAGGGTCATGACAATGTCATATGGTACAAGGTGCGACACCCAAGCCCTGCATTTCCCTCCTTCGCCCGCTCACCTAAATGAAGGAAAGGTTCCTAGGGGACGATGAGATTATTGAGCATGTCGTTGTGCGTTTCCACGTCTCATGCATTGCACTAATTCACATTCCCTCCGAAGCACAACCAAACATCAACAATCTGCTGGACAATTCACAAGCCCAAGCGCGGGTGGTATATCCGCATCCGTGCACCATCATTTCCCCCAGGCGTCGCCATATCCCTCCTTCCTATTCCCCGCACATCCCCTAGTTATACAGACGCCGCGCTATCCTTATCATGTCTTACGAACGCCCCCTCTACTGTGATACATTCGCCCAGTACCTCGAAGATGTCCATAGATAGTACATCAACAGTACACTCTTACCCCCCAACACCGCCCCCGGCCTCCATCACGATCACCCCACCCACACCACAAAGCATCAGTGCACGCTTGGAGGAAATATCCCCGTCGCCCATTGCAGCACAGAAACGCGCATCTCGTCCTCAGGCAACGCAATTCCTATTGGCACCACATTCCACACCGCACATCCCGGGGCCGCATCCAGGCGAGCAGACATCGTTCATAACACGCGCGTTGTCGATGTTCAAAAACAGCAGGCCTTCGCACTCTGCCTCATTCACTATAATGCCACTCGACCGGCCGAGTCCCCAGCCGCCTGGTTCAGGACATCGGATATCCCAGATTATTCCGATGACCCCGACACCATTGTTGACCTTCCATGATCGCACACCGGTACTCACCGCGGCGTCGGTGACGGGTCTTCTCGAGATAAATAGAGCAGAGGAGCGTGTATTTGGAGTTGATACGAGCTTTTGGATCGCTGTCGCCTTGGCGTATTGGGAGTTTTTGGAAGATAGAGAGGTGAGTATTTTGCCGATTGGCACTAAAGCACCTGGTGCTCTTTGCCTGTCACTGTATCTTTGGTCGTTTTCTCCTTTACACCGACGTTCTGAATATTCTTGCTGACACAATCCCTTTACAGAGCTACTTGGCTGCAGTCAGTGATTAAACTCAATATCATATACCCGTGCCCTACTGTTCACTTGCTGTTACCATGCTATATTGTATTAAGTCATGCTGATCTGAATAGGTTTTTTCCCTGCGTGAGTCTGCAGGTTCGCGTTTCATCTATGAAAGGTCCGAATTTCCCTGTCATTGCATCCTGTCGTTTACTTCTAATCTTTTGCTCTCAAAATCTGCAATGCACGTCTTGTCCACAAAGATCGGTGTTCTACCCCATGTACAGCATATATATACGAGGGCGAGTCAGTGTTGGGCACCACACCCGGTGTGAATCTGTCTTGTTGTCGGGCTCAATGCTATAGTGTTTGTATTCCACTTGTGAGTGGAACTACGCTAGTAGCAGGAGCTGGCCCCGCCGACCCCAGCGTCGTCGCGAGCCATGCGTCTGCACAGAATATAGTAACATCGGGTGGTATGGACACGACTTGAAATTTGCTACTATCAATGTTACGAAAGAAAATACTCAGGTTATAGAACGCTCTACCGGAAGGAATGCCTAGCTCCGGCAAAGTCTGTTGCATTCTTGTTTGGGCAAGACATTTTGATTTTGGGCGCTGCAAATACGCTCTTATAATCCATCTTCCTCTCGCAGTCTTAAGGCCGCGCCCTTCCAGCGTGAGAGCAGGTGATGTTACTTGACATCCGGCGCAGCAACCAGAGTACGTCCACATTGTAGGTACCCTCACGGTCGATTTACTGGCGGCTTCCTGGATCGTAGTATGTACACCCACGTTTGGTTTGGTTCGTCGTCCTCTCAAAGAGACCGCTTTCATGTGGCACGGGCGTGCTTCACCACCATCTTCTGCGTTAGGCCGCTACTCATCCTGGTTACGCGACGTGGGCGTTCTACCTGAGTGCCACCTAGACCTCTTTCATGCTCTTCCATGACATGAGAATTCTACCTCCGATGGCCTGGACTTCCTCTCATCCTCGTCGACGGGGCATGGCAGTGGCACTTTAATATATACCCTAGGCCGCATTCCGTCCTCCTCTGAGTCCGCGCCGGCAGAGCCCTGAAGGCATTTTATCCGCTAACGAACGAATTGGACGCCGCCGGGGTGTCCAACTTCAGGGCCATTTGCCCTGACCGCTTCTCCGCCGATCCGTACATACAGTCCTGCCAGTGGAGGTAAGGTTGTCAAATATTCATGCATGACAAGTATATTATTGTGATTGTGATAATGATCACCACTGTAATTTTATCAGTATATAGTCAGGAAGGCACCGTAGCACCGTAGCGACTTGCTCAGTCTACTATCATATGTTCCACTATCGTAATAGCCTCCTTTACAATGTTCTGACGATGTTGGCGCACACTTTCTATGTTTTTAGTTCGGAGAAATCGCAAGTGAGCATCGAGAAGGCAGCAAGCTTCAAATCGCCGCTCTGATGTGACAGAACTGTGCAGATACTTACCAAATGGCTTGCCAACAAAAAATGGTCTTATCTATCTTCCTACTGGGCTGCCGCAATGGTGATCTTCGGTGCCAACACGATAAGAACCAGGGTATCAGGGAGGTCAGCACATAGATGTGAAGCCAATCGCCCTTGTCAGGTCACTTACTCACAGCAATCTGTTATCTTATCAAGTACTGCATCATAAAGCTTGGCACCGCGTTTGACTTTCGGATTAATAGAACGGTACTTGCTATTTTCCGAAACTGATTGTCGATGAAGGGTTACTATAACTGGCATGTGTTATACCACTAACGACATTTCCCCCGAGGAGTAACTTGAAATAGTGTTCAATCTCACCATATGTTTCGCCAGTAATCCATATGGAGGCACCATGAACATCACAGGCGCAATGCACCAACAGCCCAAGCTACCACATGCACTTCATGTTAAAATGTCAAAACAATGATCGAGTACCTAATGAAGGGATGTGCTTTGCGAATTGCGATAAAAGTATGCACTTCACTCACATCCCCAAAGCAGCTGGTACAGTTTTGCCAGCAATTGAGCTAAAGCTGAACACAAAAAAATGAGTAACAGAATTCAATGGCCAAGCCAGACCTCCGGGGTAATACTGATAAGTCGGAGACTTGAAGTATTGTTGTGCCGATAGTCGAGATCCAAGTGGTGAGTTCACAGTATATCTCATGATCAAGTCATAGACCCCTGAAAGAATTGCCTGTTTTTCTCACCGTCAGTGTACAAGCAATCATACTATAGGGGGAAATGCTTCTGAGCACTACTCTGAAGCGCGAACCTGAAGTTGAAACACTCCACCGAGTAAACATGAAACTCACAGCCTGTCACATGCCACGGGTTGATTGATACCTTTGTGTGATCCTATTTGCACGCTTATAAGTGTATGACATCACGTTTCTCGACAGTACTGTGTTGTGAGTGGAGGATCGTGTGAAAATCGTGACAACGTCGGCTGGTTCGATAAACTTACCTGCCTGTCTCAAGCCTATCTGTCTATATCGTAATTAGAGTAGTACTAGTCGGATAAAGTTAGAAATTAAGAATTCGTCCGAATGCGGAATGTCGCTGACAGACACAAGAAGTTCGAAAGTTCAAGTTGGGGCGCAGAAATAACGTTGATTCGTCAGTTGTTGGCAAATTTTTCCCATTCTCCATGGTAGAACCTGGTAAAATATGCAGGGGCTGCAGAACTTGTGGAAGCTCAAAGGCTCGTTTACAGAGATCCGATGTGTTCTCATAATGCGCAATCACACGTACTAGTGTGTATAGCAGGCTAGTCAAGGGGCGATGTGGGAGTGATTGATGGTACGCTAAAGAGAGGGTTCCAATGATCAAACTCACCATGGTGCCTGGGCGCTTCATCTGCACTTATATGCCTTGAGATCATTAAATGTATTAGACAAGTTGATCCTCCCGCTGCTTTTTACACATCAGGCATCCTGCGCACCCTTTTCATTAATCGATAAATACCTGATCGTGAGTGATGACATGTACTTTGGGAGATACACGCTGAAACGGTGGCTACCTGCAATTCTCAGGTAATAGCCATGGTTGTGCCAACTGCTGAGGAGAAACAGACATCAGAGATCTCTTCAATCATTGCTAAGATGCAGGACGCTCCTGCAATTACGCTCCGCCAGAAATTTGAAGGACACACAAGTCGTGTCTGGGGCGTCATACACCTGCCAGGTGGTCAACGGATCGTCACTTGTTCAAGTGATGGCTCGCTGCGAGCTTGGGACTTGAAGAGCGGGGAACAGATCGGTGAACGCTGGCGGGACGGTGTAAGCCCAGTGTACACCATAGCATTATCTCCGGACGGCAAGAAAGTGGTCAGTGGGAGTGAAGACGGTGCGGTGAGGCTGTGGAGCGTCGAGACTGGAAAGGTCATCGCTAAATGGATGGGGCACACACAAAGTGTGTGCTCTGTCTGCTGGAGCCAAGATGGCCAGCAAGTGTTAAGCGGGTCCAACGATGGGACTGCAAGGCAATGGAATGTGGAGAAGGGAGAGATTATCTTCGCACCAATAGAGACAGGGCACACCTACGTGGGCACAGCCGTCTATTCGCCAGACGCGTCCATGATCGCGACTGCTGGATACCACCTTGCCGATTTCTCAGTAAAAATTTGGGATGCAAAGACTGGAAAGCTGGTCACGACTCTCGAAGGACACACACGTTCAGTGAATTGCCTGGCTTGGGCCGCTGACGGAAAGACGCTTATATCCGGGTCGGTCGATCGCTCAATTAGGACATGGGATACAGCCACCTGGCAGCAGACTGCAGTTTTGGATGCACACACCAGCTTTGTCCGTGCCATTGCTATATCTCCAGATGGTCGGATTCTTGCAAGCGCATCGTGCGATAGGACAGCGCAATTATGGAACCTCGACAAGGGCCAGCCCATCAGTTCGCCTCTCAAGCATGCAGATAGAGTGACCTGCGTGGCATTTTCGGCAGACGGAAAGTTGCTCGCTACTGGCTGCTATGACCATAACACGTACACATCGGATGTTTCTGCTCTCCTTCAAGGAGATACTGGCAGGGGCGACTAAATTTAAATTGTGAGTTGAAAAGACTCCCCTCGTTTTCTCCACTTCCACGCTCATCCTTACCTCTCTAAGGAAAGTCACAAGCCGTTACCCGATGCGCGTGGCATCATCTAATCCAAGTTCTCTGCGCATCATGCGTGTGCTACTTTAGCGACATCTTCCATCTCAGGACAGCCTCCCACCCTCTTCCACGTCCACGGTTACCACTACAACTTCCCCACCAGCGCAATCTCATGTCACCTTCCGCAGCTGTAACGGGAAAACTTCGCATCCTGATATTTCTATAAAACAGACTGGATTCTGGACTCGGTTTTTGCTTTGTGTCTGCTATATCTTGATAATGCTCATATTGTACAGTCCTCGTCCTTCAAGCAAGTATTTATTCACTTTCTCACGTCCTCTCCCTGCAAGAATTATTGTACACCGGTACTCCTGCGTCAACCGCTCGTGCCATGCACTGTGTCACAATTTCATATTGCCATATTCATTTGATCCTCAGGATGTTTATCATTCAAATGTATGGAAATATTCACTGCCAGGATAAGGTGCGATACTTGCCTTGTCAGTGGCAAGCGGTCCAACGTGACAGCAATAATTCTTGGAAGTGCGAAGGGCTGAGAGACCTCGATTGCGATCTTTGTCAGTATCGGATAGGAGTTTATTTACTCACCGGATAATATTAATATATCCTTCCCTCGTGATCTCCTTTACCACTTGCGCCCGAGGGGTGGAGAGTACCACTCATCAAGCAGCATAGGTTGCACGAGAAACGCCCCCTTCTAAGCGACACGTGCAGTACTTGATATACTGAATGTACTGTTTACACACACACTGAGCTCGCCTGTTGCTGGAACGGAAACAAGTGAAAGGGAATTAGCCATACATTTCGAAAAGTGACGTGAGCTTCATGACCCAACATACAACGTACTTGGCCTTTGAACACTACTATGCCAGGGGGAAACGAGCTCGAGGCCACACTTGGTGGAATGATACAGTCTCCCACTTGCATCGCACAAACTCCCCTCTCAAGATTTGCAACACATGCGCCAGATTGACCACTTCGATGCCTTTGGGGATTCCAGAGTCGAAAAGTGTAAAACAACGATATGTGAATGACGTATCAAATAAAACAACTAAACTATCAGATACAACCGTACACGTTACGCAAAATTACGACAAATTATACATTAGATTCGACGCGAGACCTGGTAGCGGTCCACGAGGATATGGGATGGGACTTGATCTGTTCTGTGATCCAGGGGAGCAGGCCAGAGATGTGAACATCATTGGAAGCCAGTACCGGCCATGTCGCTAGAATAAAAATAGCGACCCAAATGGGAGATATAATCGAGATGGTGACGACACCAGAAGTGTTAAAAATCATGATGGACAACGCGGCAGCAAAGAATACCATTCTGTCAAAAAGTAAGTCGCCGCCTCAATTGTGCAACCAGAGACGTACCCCCAAATCAGAAGAGCATACGGCAGACTGAGCAGTGAGGGCAAGGCTCTCGAGGCCAAGCACAGAACTCGACATCCTTTCCATAAATGAGGCCTGAACGTAAAAAAAAATGCAGGCCAAACAATTGAAAAGAAAACTTACCACGCTTTTAGCGGAGTCTTGCCGGCTGTCATTGACTTGTCCGGCTAAGACTAGTGAGACCACTAACGATCCCATAGCACAGAGAGTAGACATGTAGGAGACGAGAATCGCAGCATCTTGAGTCTGGACGGATGGTACCGCGAGAAAGCTGATATCGACAGCAAGCATCACAGTAGACTAAATTGACATCGATTACATTGCCGATAGGGAGCAGAAGTACAACTCACGAATATTGTGTATCCATTCCATTCACTGTTGAGTCTGTTGATAAAATTCATCCACCGCGGTTGAACGATTGTTGAATCGACCCATATCTTTTGAACAGCCTTGTTATAAGCATTAGGAGATCCAAAAAGCATGAAATTAATGACGCGAAGGATGTTATTCGAGCGGGTGTTGGGATCTCCGTACAGTGACTTGTCTGCGTTAAGCCGGGCGCCTGGTTGTCCACAAAAATTCACAAATTTGACGTTGCCTATGAAAGTATTCAGGAGGCGTGATGCACACCAAGCCAGCCAGAGCTCACAGAATTCTCCCATAAATCGAGCTGAAAGTCGCAAAAGTATCAGGTAATCAACCGGCCTTCTATGCTCAGGCTTACCGACAATCCACACAGAATGCTCATGTGCATGCTCATCCTCAATGTCAGCACTGTCTAAAAACCAATCATCATCATCATCAGCAACAACAACCCATATCAGGGAATGATTTACTCATGAGAGGATCCATAAGGCTAAGCATACTTGCAACCTCTTCCGAAGAAAAAGGCGCTAAGGATGTGTCAGAAGTTATATTGTCTGTCACGAGCTTCCAGTATGGCGTGAAACAATTGTGAATATTTGCCCACCTGCCTGGGTATACATCACAATTTCTCTGAGTCTCACAACAACATCTTTCGGAAGGGAGCGTTTATTTGGATATAGTTCGACGTGTAGCCTGTCAAAATCACGATGTATAACCACACAAGGTCAAGATAGGCTGCAACAAAGTTTCAATCGACTTCGGTCAAGTGAGGAAATATGCATACTTCTGAGGTCGCACGAACCAGTACTGTGATTCTAATGCATATCCTGAGAGTAGCGCAATGAAAGAAGCTCGATTGGGAAATGCTCCCCGGAAAGAACTCACTGATGTGATCACCGCACTTTACGCCTCGGACGTTACCAATGAGACCACCGGATTGGTGAGCTTCGAACCAGAAAATAACACGGCTGTCGTGATCGGCAAAGTAATAGCCCCATTCTTCGCGATCCCCTTCCATGGGCTCCAATACTAACTCGACGGATGAACGTAATTTGATGCCTGCGTTTTCCACTTCTTTGTACGCCTTCTCAACAGCCTTACCTATGTTGTCCACCATTCCAGAGGCTCGAATATCAGCATCAGTAAAAACTCTCTGGTGGAAAATATGAGTCCAAGACATGCAGAAGCGGGTCGGAAAACATACTTTATGCGAGTGATAGAAAAACAAAGCGCCTTCTGGGTGCGTGAGCGGTTCCCATCCAGACACCAGAGCAAGCTCCCTACAAGCCTCTTTCAATCTTATTATTCACTCTCTCACCAACGTGCTTACTCTGAACAGTCTAAAGGACCTCTCGGAACCACGTACACTGCATAATCGCCTTGACTGTGGCTGATTAGAAAGGCAAAGCGCTCGAAAAATATGATGTGCATACAGTTCAATCCTATCGTATCGCTTGATTTGTCCAGGTGTGCTGGGAGTCAGAGTGATACTATCAAAGGATTGTCCTGGCGCCACAGGGTGCGATGGCGTAACGATACTTGTGGTGGTGCTGGGCTCGGGCATAGAAATCATACATGGAGGTTGAAACAATGGCACTGCGAGCGTGACAGAAGTTGATTTCTTTTGATTGGCGGGTGCCGGCTGAGAACTCAACGCTAAGCCTGGTTCTCGAAAGACTCTCTCTTTTCCACCAATGATGGCTTGACAGTGTCGAAACACCCGCAGGAGGAGAGAGAGGATACTCGTATATGTCCGAAATGCGGTGGTCCTGATGATGGGCCTCAACCAGGAGATAAACATCCGAATGTAGCCTCTAGGTAATATCATGACGAGGAAAATGGAATTGAGTACAAAGGCTAGAGAATTGTCTGCTAAGTAACTGGCAAGAAGTACAGCCGCATAGCCTAGTACAGTCAAGTACTGTAACAGTCTCGAGTCACGTGGACGTCATCCACGTGCTGGACTGGCTCGCTGAATTTGACCTGTTTTCGTTTCAATTTCTAGAATGCTCGAGCTACAGCCTGCAGGTTATGCAGTCCATGGCGGACATTTTAAGCCATGTCATCGCTCAAGCGCACGACGTACTCACTGCAACGACTCGTTTCGGCTCTTCTCCCCCTAGACTAGGGTTAGGGTTACGATTTTCGGAGTATGAATTTGTCATCATTGCTCCTTCTTTTCGAACCATCCTCAGGTCAGCCACATTTCATCTGAATTCTATCTACTCTGCCATGGTGCGTATGTTACACGTCCTACTAGACGCAGCTTTAAATTTATTGGTTCACAGTCTCTAACACCCGCAACCATGCGCCGTTTGATGCGCGAGATTACCGAGTTGAAGAACAACCCTCCTGAGGGCATTCGCGTTGTCACGAGTGAGGAGAATATGCTTGACCTCACAGGGATTGTTGAGGGACCAGGTGAGTCACTGCAGAATGAGATACACGTCCGAAGCTCAAGTCATCTTATGCTACAGAGCAAACTCCATACGCGGGCGGGTACTTCAGGGTGCGGTTCCAATTTACACACGAATTCCCCACTGCACCCCCAAAATGTACGCGTCATTATTGGTTGTCTGATCATATTTATCAACTACCATCGGCATAGGCTGGTTCGCAACCAAAATTTTCCACCCAAACGTCTCTTCCGCGGGAGAGATTTGTGTGAACACGTTGAAGAAGGACTGGCAATCGTCATATGGCATCGGTCACATTCTCGTGACAATTAAGTGCCTCCTCATTTATCCCAATCCCGAAAGTGCCCTCGATGAGGAAGCGGGGAAGCTCCTCCTGGAGGACTACGACGCGTACTGTTCCCGCGCGAAGCTTATAACAAGTGTGCATGCCACTCCTCGCATACGACCTCCCGAATTTCAGACACAATCCACTGAGAAAGAGGGAGAGCCGTCCACGACGTCGATACCGGTTTCGATTCCAACACCAGCTGTGGTGCCACCATCACCACATATTACGCTACCTGTCCCAATATCTGCATCATCGCCACGCAAATCCTCTCCCGTGCCACCGTCGCAACCTCTCCAATCATCTCCAGCGAACACAATGCCCTCATCACTCTCTACGAGCACTGTGTCCAGCAAAGACGGCAAGGAGCGCTTATCACCGCTTGGGACTGCAAATTCGAACGTTGCGGGTCCAGCTGCTACTGCCGCAACCAAGGCCGTCAAACGATCTGCAGCCTCAGCTGGCTCCGGGACAGAGAAACGTAAGAAAGCATTGAAGCGTTTATAAGAGTGCGTCTTGTACATACACCATCATCTAGGACAGTGGTCCAATAGGGGGATCATCTTGTGCACATAGTAGTTCTGTTCTTTGTTTCTTGTCGATATGGCTGTCGTATTTGTTTTCTCAGTAACATAATGGCCAATACACCAGATATTATATGCATTGTTGTCACGCGTCACGCGTAACGGTGCGCGTCGCGTGACGAAGTGACGAAGTTATTTTCTATTTGAGCCAAATTTGAGCCCTCATTCATTGCAATACTCCTTCGTTCTCTGCCATGTTCTCCAAAGCCCTTTTGGCTCAGTCAAGGACATTCTCTGTATCTCTAGGGGTCCGTGCGTCACTTTCGTCGCCGGTTCTGTTACGCCATGCCAGCTCTGGAAAAATGTCGATGCCATTGCAATGGCAGCGAGCATTGTCAACGTCGTTAGCGCTGCGTGATGACGAGTCACGGTTTGGCGGCCAAAACTCGAAGCCAAGGGGCTTTCGGAGAAGCGTTCCACCTTCGGGAACACTTTATATCGGAAACCTGCCATACTCCATTACTGAAGAAGAACTGCGACAGTCTTTCGCAGAGTTCGGGGAGGTGGTGCGCGTATCTTTAGGTGTGTTTTTTGTGCTGCACTGAAATGTTCGCGAGTGCTGACTGGGCATGCGATGTAGGTACCACGCCAGAGGGGATGAACCGCGGGTTTGGACACGTTCAATTTGCCAATGTGGATGATGCCAGCAAGGTCATCAAGGCGGATGAGGAGGACCCAATCTATATCATGAACCGCGACATCTACCTTGACCATGCAGCGGTCCAGGAACAATCTGTGCGCGAACCTTACCACACGCTCTACATCCGTCCGTTTGGCGGAGCAGAGGACGACTTGCGCGGGATATTCAGCAACTTCGAACAATCCATTGCGGATGTGAGGTTATGTGCGTGCACTTCGATTTATTGAAACTATGATGGTGTCTGACTCTGGGCTGGGGTCTGTAGTGAGGGACAAAATGACCGGCGAATCAAGGGGAAGCGGGTTTGTGGAATTTAAGAATGCCGAGGCCGCTACGGAGGCGCTTGAGGGTACAAAAGATCATAAGGACCCTTCGACGGGCAGGCAGATGGTCATCAAATATGCACAACCTTCTCGCTTCAATTCTGCCTCTGACCTCAAGAGCAGCCCGGAAGGGAAAAAACGGAGATTCAATCAGAGGGAGAAAGGCACTCATCGCAAAAATTCATATGGCGGTGACTGGCAAGGTTCCCAGCGCACGGAGGAGTATCGTGATTCATAGTGGAGTGGTGATCATCTAGGCTTATTATGACTTAATATTGTGGTACCCACTTCCTGCATGCTTGTTGTTCGCGCGTATTATCAGCTCATCGTTAATCACATCTCATGGCGTTATCCCTGATCGGTTCACTTCGATACCTTACGTCTTGCTCCTCTTTCAACTGGACGCTCGCCCCTGCTGTGAACACCACCTGTAAGTGCACTCTTTTCAGGTATAATCGACGAATTCTAACTCATGGAAACGAACCAGCACACTACCAGCATTGCAAAACGCATTGAACACCACGGAACCAGCGATGAACACGTGCCGGGCTGTGGGCAATGCGATTTAAAATTATACTGCGATTCCAATCAGAAAACAACGTGCATATTATTGGTGACGTGTCACTAATGTTCACTGGCACACGAACGATGAGAGCGAGGAGCTATGAGCTTGGATGTGTGATGTCTAGTGCCGATGCCATAAGTTTGAATATCCTGTCCTTGAGTCAAGGACGGGATATTTAAACTTAGAGTTTGATGGTCGAGATCGACCGACTTCTGCGGATAAAGCCAAAGCTAATACTGATAATCGGTTTGCGGGGGGTTGTCGATGTTGTAGTAGGAAAACCAGTAAGTATAATGCAGGTTCAAGAATCCAAGCTGTTTCAAGCTTCAGGGAGGATATCGCCGTCGCCCAGAATCTTCTGAACCATTCATAACTGGCAAGAACCGAGCACAGAGGATCTGGAAGATATATATCATGACCGTCGAGCCCTATACGGCAGGCTTGTTGCTAATGCAGCACTAGCAAAGTTGCAGACCTTCCGTGTCGACCGTAGTGTCAAAACTGTGTTTTTGGTTCGTTCGACAACCATGCTGCCTCCTACCATAGCTGACTCGGAGTGATGTCCACAGGGCTCGTTGCAGTACTTCACTGCTCAAGAAAGCTTCAAGCGTCAACGGAGGTTCGGCTAAAGCAGATGTGGTGCTTCTCAATTGACGACTTCTTGGCTCCAATAGCGCAACTCGCTCTGCATACCTGCTCTGATCAAACGATCGACAGCGCTTAGGTCAGTATCATCAGACCGTTTTCGCGACTTTTCTCTGAAAAATTAAATACTCACCTTCCCTCTGCCAGCTTACGGTGCATCGTATTTCCTCATGTTTACAAGGTAAATATAAGTTCTCCCTTGTTTCACTCGTGACCAGGTTTTGACACTTCTGCTCACCCTGCTTTGGAATTGATTCATCTCTCGATCCAAGACTTTGGGTGCGAGGTGGTGTGGATGTAGTTTCGGTTGCGATCATTTTTGGTTCATCTCACTCTTGTGGCAATCCTGTGCCATGTGATGAGCATGCTGGCCCCTGGGTTGCATCATTTTGATTTAGGCATATGGTCACGGCTGAGTTGATGAGTTGACCCCTTATTTACCCGTGGTCATCGCATATTACCCCTGGGTTTCAAGTAAGGATGGGATCATAGATTTCACCTGTGCGTCTAATTCTGTCGTTTAATTCTGTCCAAGCCCTCATGATTGACTAGGTTGGAATACATAGGTGCAAACGTCGGATGATTCTTATTTTCCCGGTGAGAAGGATAAAAGGCCAACAAGACTCTACCACGATTATTGCAGGCATCGTGAGGTCTGCTTTCGAGGTTAGGCTGCTAAAGGTTGTCAAAGTTCTTGACTTGCGTGGCAAAATGAACTGGTACTGCATTGTGAAATAATAGATGAGGTCGTTCAGCCCCTTGATACGATCTCTGTCGCACAGCGCTGGCGGCGTAATCATGATGGTACCGCCCTTTAGAATGTTGCATGTTGTCTGGGTGCTCGTTGCTTCAGGGACAAATCACGATAGTTGAACTGGCCGTCACACTTGCTGTATACAATACGTTGATTCCGCCCATGGTCAAGGAACAGACCAATGGATCTGGTAATGGCTTGTGTGAACGCCCTCTCCGAATCAGCACCTGGGGACTCATCGACATCTATGGGAAAAGTTGGAACACGGCTGTTACCGGTGCCGACGTATTGAGTCATCCATCTGGTCAACTAGACTTCTGCATCTCTACTTTTACGGCAATTGTGGACCTCTTGTACGTCTCTTGTTCCACCCCCTGCAGTGTGTTTTACATGCTGTTAAGACTCTCGCGACCCATCCGACAGGATACAGGAAGGGCCATCCCTGAGAAGGATGGTTTTTCCCACCGATGTTCTACTCCTTGATCATTTCATGCATCGTCGTGTAGTCGCGATCGGGGCTTATCAAAATGAAATCTCACAAATGCCAAGTCTGCTTGTCGAATCGGTGCTGCGAGATATCAGTTTATGAACTTACGAGGTGAAATGACTATGAATGATAGGTAGATCACTTCCTTGTCATTTGATCCATGAAATGGCAGAGCTCACACAAGGTTCAAGTTAAGAAGCGGATTGCATCGGTAGTGTCATCCTGAGAGTGCAGTGCTTTGGAACAACACGACTACAGCTGGAGGAAGGCAGTGAAATACAATATCTCATTGTCTCGCCGTTCCATCTGATCAGTCAGCACCCGCCACTCTTGGGGGAACGGTGCATAATTGAACCAGCGGTTGCACTTCTCAGGAATACAACGCATGGTCCGAAGACGATTCGCCCAACTCCCCTAACCGAATCAGCGCCCGAGAACTCACCCGCGAGAAAAGCACTATCGCGACCCGACGGCCACTACCCGACCCATCATCCGGTAACTAAAATTTCACCATCTCCCCTACTTTTGGCGAGTTAGGCAGCTGACACGTTGAGGTCTGATAAGCAGCACATTGCAGAATGTGTCCAAATATTGGCACGGATCTATCGCCAGCCTAACTAATGTCATTGAAGACACGCGGAGTTGATCGCAGAGCACTGCCTTGACCCACCTGTGACATGGCATCTAAAGATCATGACACCGGAATTTCAACATGTTGGGCTCACTATGTGACCTTTTAGATACTTCCTCGTAGAACATTGAAGATTCGATCTTACGCTCGTTGGCTGCTTTGCGCTTCGTCGGCCCATTTTGCGGCTTTCATTGGATGCCATAGAGAGCCATTATAATGGCAACATACCCGTCAGTAGAGAAGGTGCCAACATCGATCACAGCAGCCGAGGCATACTGTTGACACAGCGCGTGTGTGCCTGCCTACGCATTGTATACAACTTTGACTAGCTAGCAGAGGCAGCGAACCCACGAAATCATAGAAAGCGAATAAATCATCTGTGTACACTTTATACACCCACACACGATGTACGTTCTACCGATGATACACCAGTCACCCACGGACGTCTAATATGATTCAACTTGTGCCATACACATTCCAATCTCCGTAGACACATGTGCCACGCGATTCGTGCAAGCAGGACGATGAGTTTGAACGTCAACAAACCTGCACGAAAGAGAAGACGCAGAGTCAGTCGCATAATCATAACTGAAGTAGCATATATAAAAGCGATGGATTTTACTGTAGCACCGGGATTGTACATGACAGCGGTCACGAGCGCCAGCATGAGGATTTTGAACAGGGCCATGAGATATTGAGGCGAATTGAAAAACAGCGCCCATTTAAATACTTGGCCGAGCTTGTGTAATATGACGTGATTGAGTGCTGGTCGAAACAGCATGATGAAACAGCATAGGTGAAAGAGGAAGAAGAGGAGGGGTCTCAATACACGACTGAGTCGCGTGAGTTTCAGCGGCGAGAGCAATGATGGCATGAATTTTGAGATGTTTGAGCAGAGTAAGTTAGGACTTTCTAACGGCAAAGTTTGTTTGAGAGGTCTGAGGAGAATATCTGTCTTTACGACGAGCCCGAGCATGATGATGGTTACGGAAAGAAAGTAAAATTTTACATAGGGGTCAATTGACGAATGGGAGAAATACGGAATCACATGACTTCACATTCACATGATTACATTCCTGTCCAATGACGCGACGCGACTTAGACTGATGGACACCATATATGAAACTACCACGGAACTTAGCTCAAACTTAGCTTGACCGTTTGGCTCAGTCTAAAATGTTATTTGCATTCACCCATCCTCGAATTCAGGTGTCATATGGAGATGCGGCGTGAGCGTTGTTGCATCGAAAGGTGACTTTTTGTGACGTTTGAGTATGTGCGGAGTCATTTGTCAGTGATGCCACTGTAGTTGTACATGTTCTTGTCAGTTCAAAACACAAGTGCGCAACCGGACGGCATGCTACTAGTTCAGCAACATCTGCTTTGATCTGTGAAAACAAATTGATCATTTTGCTTGCTACAAAAACATAATTTGTATCGCTCGTGCATAACACCAAAGATATAACATGGTAACTAGGCCTGACGGGGCTACTGGATCACGCGGGGAAGGAATGGAGGGCGTTATATATCAGCTATATACAATACCAGTCATGCGTTGTCATTACAACCGCAAGATCATGACAATGCATGACGTAGATGGAGGAACACGAAGTGGGGGACAACAGCCCGCTCAAGTAATCAGAGACCCACGTATTCCATAACCCCGACGGGTTGCGATAATGCCACGAATGAGCACAGCTAGTAATGCGAGAGTTACCAGAGCCCTAGCGAGAATATGAACAACGAAACCATAGACATATATCAACGACACATACTCAATAACCCAAGCAAAGCCTTGTAGCGCGTTAAGTTGAACAGGATATGCGAAAACGCTCGGGGTACTAAGAAGATATGAGGTGAGAAATGAGCAGTAAGAAGTTACCAACTTGCGATTCAGCTCGCCACTAAGGGCTGTAGTTATACTTGTAGCGCCCGCAGTCCAGAAAACCCATGTTAGAAACAGGCTACAACGAGTTTATCAGCAAGTTCGACCGTCCGTGTCAAAAGAAGTTTACGTACAAGAAGATATGAGATACCACACTATCCAAAACACTGCCTGGAAGATAAAAGAAACACATGAACAGACTGGAGAATACAATCGTCCATGCCGAAGTGAACAATAGAAAACGAGTGCGGTCTCGTTCAGCTAGACTGAAGTAGTTGTGGTGGGCGGTAAAACGCGACGTGAGCCAGGCTGAGATTGAAAGCTACCACAGGAGGTCAGTATTCTACCGTTGTTGAAATAAAACGACATACCTCGATGATACTGCAGAAAATAATCAGCGAGAAGACAATCAAAATCCAGGGTGTCGGCCGACGACGGTATAGAGGACGAGGCTGCCCCATTCGCATGTGAGTATCAAAACCCATTGCGCGAGGAAAGGAATTTGGCTGAGGGGAGAGGGGATTGGTATTAATATTGAGGTATCGAGGCTGGGGATCGCCGAGGTCTCGTAATTGAGATCGCAATTGCGACATCTATGTGGATGCAAGTTAAGTTTAACATGAACAACACTGAACCAAATGATCACCTCTCTGGGGAAAAATCATTTAAAATATATTTGTTACATCTGAGTAGCAACTCACAGTGTGTGTTTTATCTCTATTTCCTCAATCCTAGTCAGGAGACCGTCATCCACAGCACGAGATGTTCTGGAGCCATGGTCTGTGGTTAGTGTGCTGTTGCGAAGCTGATCACGAAGACGATGACATTCTGCTTTTTCACGCTCGCTCTCGCGTTGAAGAGCTTTGTATCGCTGGAGGGAATCAAAGGCAGCTCGAAGTGGTATATGCTAAAAACACCGCAAATGAGAAATTTGATAAGAACTGGGTGAGGTACTGACAGCAAGCATCGGTATACATCACATTTGCGATGCGCCTGCAGAGTGAAAAGGACTCACAGAATTGGAGTCATCCGGTTGAGACTGTAGCCATTCCTGCACTTCGGAGACTACTTCAGCAACATCGACTTCGGGAATGCCTTCGCCTGAGACTAGAGACATCCGATGAAGAAGGAGATTAGCATGATCATAAACAACACCCTGTTCGGCATTGTCTCCTTCAGCATTTTCTTGATCGGAGGGATTTCCGATGTGGAGTTTCTTGACACGATCTGGATCGAAAACTTCGCGGCAGAGGGGACATGTGTTTGTGTTTAAGGAGTGAAGGCATCTGGGATTGAAGAGGGTATGGGATAAGAGACAAATATTATTGCTGGCCGCAAGCTGGCCGGGAGTACTGGTAGAAATTTAGACGCACCTGAAACAGAAGATGTGACCACACTCGGCGATTGCATGTGGAGAAGTAGCGAGATCTGAGGTAGAATAGGGATCAAGGCAAATGTCACAACAACTTGAAGGATGGACGACAAGCATGCCTAGTTCATAGGACTCCTTAAGCCCACCTCGAGTGTGCAGACTTTATATCATTACCTTGTTAGTAACGTTACACGTTTCTAGAACCGATGCAAAATTCAAACCCAGCACAACGTGAATATTTCACGATGTAAACATGATGGTGCTTCACTTAGCTTGATGTAGTAGTAGTGGTACTACGTATAACATTGAATTGCAAATACTAGATTATGTAATGATATCATAGCCCGATACCGCTACTACAGGAACCAACCAACAGCATGTTCAACCACACTTGGCCGGCTTGACCCTCCAAAGAGCTTCAAAACTTTCATTGATATTGTCACAGTCATGCAAGGAAGGTGGGCGTTTCAAGCGGATCGCGAGCTTACGACGCATCGCACCACACAAAGATTCGCCACACGTGTGCTTCTCTTCTATTAATATTGAAGCACAGGCATCCGAGCGTAGTACCTAGAAGTAAGTAACATGAATACGCACACGGACGGCGCATTACCAGCTCAGCAACGTCCGCTTCGATCTGTGAAAACCTTGATTATTTTGCTTGCCACAAAAACACAACTTGTATCGCTCGTACAACACCAAAGATATGACCTGGTAACTAGAGCTGACGGGACTATCAGATCATGCGGGGGCGGAATGGAGGGCGTTATATATCAGCTATGTACAACGGTTTGCGAGAATGTAACGGATGAGCGCAGCTAGCAATGCGAAAGTTACAACAGCCCTAGCGAGGATATGAACAAGGAAGCCATAAACATATATCAATGACACATACTCAATAACCCAAGCAAAGCCTTGTAGCGCGTTAAGTTGAACAGGATATGCGAAAACGCTCTGGGTACTAAGAAGATAGGAGGTGAGCAATGAGTAGTAAGAGGATGTTACCAACTTGCGATTCAGCTCGCCAACAAGAGCTGTGGTTATACTTGTAGCACCCGCGGTCCAGAAAGCCCATGTCAGAAACAGGCTACGAGTTTATCAGCAAGTTCGACCGTCCGTGTCAAAGGGAGTTTACGTACAAGGAGATATGAGATGCCACGCCACCCAAAACGCTGCCTGGAAGATAAAAGAAGAAAAACATGTAGAGACTGGAGGATACGATTGTCCATGCCGAAGTGAACAATAGAAAACGAGTGCGGTCTCGTTCAGCTAGACTAAAGTAGTTGTGGTGGACAGAAAAACGCGACGTGAGCCAGGCTGAGATTGAAAGCTACCTCAGAGGGTTATTATTTCACCGTTGTTGAAATAAAATGTGCACATACCTCGATGATACTGCAGAAAATAATCAACGCGAAGACAACTGAAATCCATGGTGTCAGCCGAGGATGGTGCAGAGGACGGAGACTTACTAGGGTGTCCCATTCGCATGTGAGTATTAAAATCCATTGCGCGAGGTAAGGAATTTGACTGAGGGGGGGGATTGGTATTAATGTTGAGGTGCTGAGGTCGAGGATTGCCAAGGTTTTGCAACTGAGATTGCAATTGCGATAGCTATGTAGATGCAAGTTTAGTCTAACATATATGCCACTAAACCACATGATCACCTGTCTGCAGAGAAGTCATTTATAAAATATTCGATACTTATGAGTAGCAACTCACAAGGCATGTTCAGTCTCTATTTCCTCGATCGTAGTAAGGAGACTGTCTTCCACAGCACGAGATGTTCTGGAGCCATAGTCTGTGGTTAGTGTGCTGTTGCGAAGCAGGTTACGAAGGCGACGACATTCCGCCTTTTCACGCTCGCTTTCACGTTGAAGAGCTTTGTATCGCTGGAGGGAATCTAAGGCAGTTCGAAGTGGTATATGCTAAAAACGCCGCATATAAGAAATTTAAGAAGAACTGGGTAAGGTGGTGATAGCAAATATCCCGTTTGCAATGCGCCTGCAGAGTGAAAAGGACTCACAGAGTTGGAGTCATTCGGTTGAGAGTGTAGCCATTCCTGCACTTCGGAGACTACTTCAACGACATCGACCTCGGGCACGCCTTCGCCTGAGACTAGAGACATCCGATGGAGAAGGAAAGCACTATTGTCTCGTTCAGTATTTCCTCGTTCGGGTGGATTTCCGACGTGGAGTTTCTTGACATAATCTGGGTTGAAATGTTCGCGGCAGAGGGGACATGTGCTCGTGTTTAAGGAGTGAAGGCACCTGTGATTAATGAGGATATGAGATGAGAAACTAATATTATTGCTGGTCGCCGGGAGTAGAAATTTAGACGCACCGGAGACAGAAGATGTGACCACACTCGATTGCATGTGGAGAAGAAGCAAGAACTGAGGACGTAGAATAGGGATCAAGGCAGATGTCACAACAACTTGAAGGATGGACAATAAGCATACCTAGTTCACTGACCAACAGAACTCCTTAGGGCTCTAGCCCATCTCGAGTGTGACTTTTATCATTACTTACACAGGCTGCTGTCAGTAGAGAACCGGTGCAACATTTAAGCCCAGCACAACTAGTATGACGATATCGTGACTCATACGTGTTGGCAGAGCACAGCTAGTACAGGACCCCTGATAATCCCTACTCAGGATTGCCTCTAGCGGGGCCCCGACGGAGGCTAGGCTACAAAACTGATTTAAATGATGTTTTTTTAGCATGTCCACTATTTTTGAACCGCCAAACACGTAAGTCGAGACCTTCGGAATATTCTAGACTGTAACTCAACGAGGCCCGCGGTGTATTATATTCTCTTAAATCTGAGCACTCGTCCAAGCTAATGTCATCATCCACAAAGTGCACCGTCGAGAGTACTGAACTGTGAGATGGAACACGGGCGAGGTGGTGTGGCACTAGCGAGTCGTCGAACTCGCTGTCACGACTTGGAGTGCAGTGATATAATTGTGTGCAGTATGCTGCAGCCATAGACACGGCTCCGGTACTCCTTTGATGTCTGGTCGAAGGGCATTAGCAAGCGTGTAGTATGGCACTGGCATGGATCGTATGATTCTTCGAAGCTGCAGTGCATAATGGCGCCCATTCCATGCGGGTTGCGCCACTGAATTTTGCATGACATGGCGGCGCTGTGATAAGGCTAAACCGCTGTTGAAAATGGTGTGAATGAAGACGCATACTTTGACGAGTGATACTTCTCGATGCATGGTAAGCGTGAGTAGAATCACGATCACGAGTGCCATTGCCCAGTGACACGTGAACATCGATGCTCCGCGCCGTTCAGTCGTCAAAGGCTCGTCCTCTCACGCTGCCACCTAGAAGTGTCAAGTTCACGCCGTCACGATTGACATTATGGTGAGCCTGCTCGTTGCCGTTGGTAGTAGATGGGCATGTGCACCATATATCTTCGTGTACAAAGTTTGCAAGATGGTATAGGGCCGACAATGCAAATTATTACCAGTTTCGACCTTGTCCTTCAGCCATGCTTGTGTTTCGTCAGTCAGACTACTATCGGTTCAATTATCCTCTATGGGAGTCAGACTCACCTCGAGCTTTCCTACCACCCTGGTTGATGATGCCAAAGGCCCATTGCAAATCTCAAATCTGGCTGTCCTTCTGCCGCAGAAATGTTTAACAACGTCTTTCGAAACATATGTTCGAAGCACGAGCACATTCCACTTGAAATGGACAACGCACAGACGGTAGAACTAGCGAAGATAATCATAGGCGTTGAGTTGGCGTGACTGGCGTCAGAGAGGTGAACCTTGTATATATAATCGTCAAGTCTGCCTTTGTTACAAAATATTAACAAATGAGAGCCTTGGGGATATGTTGAGGCCGTTATATACCGTTCGGTGATGGCTACGACATTGAACTGAAGCGAATATATCGGGTAGAGTCTGGGGTCTTTTCGTTGTGAATGCTGTAGAGGGCATTCGGACTAGGTGTTTGCTCAGGGTTTGAAGTTGTTGGAAGGAACCGAGTAAGGTCCGATCATGCATGAACTCCCTGGCTGATAAGGTAAGCGCGCTCCTAAAACGGAAGGCTCACTTTGTCTCGGCCGATTATGGATGGAGGATCAGATCTCCCAGTGAGAAACGGTCCTAGCCGTATCGACGGAAAACGACCGAAATATCGCGACAATATTTGCGTCGATTTGCGGAGACGGATGAGACTTATATGATATTTTCAGCGACTCGCATCGAGTGAGATATTGCAGAATCGAGCGTGTTTGCGTAGCGTAGATTCTAGTATATTGTAGTAGCTCCCAATTGACCTTTTGCATATTCGCACATCAACCCAAATCGACCAAAAAACAATTGTATTGCGAAAAAATTACAAATGCAATAAAAGTGTACTCTATATACCACTGGCACCCCCACCCATGCATCAGGATGACGTAGCCCATCAGCTTCTGGTACATGGGAGTCCTTAACTGAAACAAATCATTGTTAGATGTGCTTGCCAAGCAAGCAGACAGTACTTACAATGACAACTGCCTCGTTCTCGTGTTTTCTACGGCAATAGATATCAGTTGAAGTATATTGGGTAGCTTTTAATGGAACTTACCAATCGACTGTCTTGTAACGGTGTATCTGTTGAAGCCGCTGGACGTGTCGATAATCGGGACAATGGTAGTGAGCTAGCGATGATGTAAAACAGTCAGTGAATGAACCTGACAATGTCAGATAACTCACAATGTTCGAAATGTGTGCATATATGCGCCGTAAATAGCACTTACTTGGATGACTACGGTCAATTGGGTGGGATCAGCAGATGGATTGGGCCGTGAAAAGGTCTAGTACTTATCTTGTTAGTGCAGTGGCTAAGCGAGAAAATCATGCATCAGACGGTACCAGGATGGTTGAGGTCAACAGCGAGATTTTGCTGAGAGGAGGACGAGATGATGGAAGGGAAGAAGAAAGCTGAGGTAAACCGAGTATGGATGGAATGTCCCAATATATATCATAAGTGGACCACTGCATATCGACGTCATCGCATGAAGTGATGGTGCGTGCGCAGCTGATGCGCGAGAATGTTCAAACATTCAAATATTGAGCAAAGTCAAGTCAAAGTTGAAAAAATTTCAGCATGTTCAACCAATGTTCAACGGATCTTTGCTCAATGGATCAACCGCACTTTTTAATTTATCGATTTGCGTAGTTATCGCAATATTATTGGTATATAACTAATATTTTCGTCGTTTGCCGTAGATATGGCTAGGACCGTTTTTCACTGGGGATCAGATCTCAGATCTTAAGCTTCAGACACTGATTGCATCCTCTTCGAGGCAGGCAAGGGACGCGGTTGTTTCACAACCAATAATATTATCGTCCACGCCAACCAGGCGATGAATATTCTCAAAAATTACTTCCCCCTTGACAACCATATCTTTGTGAAGTTTGATAATGTGGCTACTCACCGAAAACATGACAGAAAACCCCTCCAAAGCATGGGGTGTTGTCACTGCCGAAGCTGCGTAACACCAAGAGACACGAGAGCGCACCGAAATTGTCAGAAGAACAAGAAAACCAAACGGGTTCCCGAGTCTCAACCCGCTGAATCACTCACGTCACCACGCATTCTGTGCAATAATGGAATCCAAATTTATTTTACATCATGTTTAACGTCCTCGAGGACAGCTTGCAAGATGACGATATAGACTAATAATCAGTATCAACAAAGATAAGCTAGAGACAAATAAGAGCGGGTCTAGATCCACTGCGAAAAGCAGAACATCTGGTGCTGGTAAAGCTCACAGGGTATACCCCCAGCGCGACAATGATTCAGAAAAAATCAATCAACCACTCCTCTGCCAGTGGCGAGTCAGGGATGTTAGGATTTTGAGATTGGAGATTGTCATGGTTTTGCAACTGAGATTCCAATTGCGACAGCTATGTGAATGCAAGTTAAGTTCAACATAAACGCTGCTGAACCAAATGATCACCTCTCTGCGGAGAAATCATTTATAAAATAAGTATTCGTTATTTACGAGTAGCGACTCACAGGGCATGTTCAATCTCCAATTCCTCGAACCTAGTGAGACTGTCTTCCACAGCACGAGATGCTCTGGAGCCATGATATGTGGTTAGCAAAATATTCGTTACTTGCGAGTAGCAACTCACAAGGCATGTTCAGTCTTCATTTCCTCGATCCTAGTAAGACTGTCTTCCGCAGCACGAGATGTACTGGAGCCATGGTCTGTGGTTAGTGTGCTGTTGTGAAGCAGGTCACGAAGGCGACGACATTCCGCTTTTTCACGCTCGTTCTCAAGTTGAAGAGCTTTGTATCGGTGGAGTGAATCTAAGGCAGTTCGAAGTGGTATATGCTAAAAACGCTGCATATGAGAAATTTGACAAGAACTGACAGCAAGCATCGGTATACATCGCGTTTGCGATGCGCCTGCAGAGTGAAAAGGACTCACAGAAAAAGGGTCATCCGGTTGAGACTGCAGCCATTCCTGCACTTCGGCGACTACTTCAGCGACATCAGCTTCGGGCACGTCTTCGCCTGATATTAGAGACATCCGATGAAGAAGGAAAATAGCATGATTATAGACAGTTGTGCCCTGTTCGGTATTGTCCGGTTCAGCATTGTCCCGATCAGCATCGTCTCGTTGAGCATCTTCTCGTTCAGGTGGATTTCCGACGTGGAGTTTCTTGGCACGATCTAGGTCGAAATTTTCGCGGCAGAAGGGACATGTGTTTGGGTTAAAGGAGTGAATGCACCTTGGATTGAAGAGGATATGAGATGCGAGAAATATTATCGCTGGGCACAAGCTGGCCGGGAGTAGAAATTTGGACGCACCCAAGACAAAAGATATGACCACAATCGATTGCATGTGGAGAAGAAGCAAGATCTGAGGTAGAATAGGGATCAAGGCAGATATCACAACAACTCGAAGGATGGACGACAAGCATACCTAGTTCATGGCCAACAGGGCTCCTTACTAACCTTGAGTGTGGAGTTTTATCACTACCTTCTGTTAGATGGAACCAGTGCAGAATTCAAACCCAGCACAATGAGTCAGTGCACATGAGGCTCGGTGTGTGACACTGCACATTGCTGTATACAGTGACTCAGGCCCAGACGTCAGGCCCATGGGTGCTAGAGTGAGAACATGTGCGTTGAAACGTTGACATGGCCTTTGTCAGCAGGTCCCATGAGAATAACGTGCACGTGTGCTTCGATCGCACATATCTCGGTCGACCCATTCTTAAGTACTCTCCACTGAAGTTAATGTGCCTCTCTTCTTCTTCTCTGCGCTCACATTTGCGTCACTCGACGATTTTTTCCACCAGCCCACCTTCCTACCTTCTACTCTAGCTTGTTTTGGTCTGTCTCTCAGTCCCTACACGTTCTCAGACCGATCATGTTAGACTCGTGAGTCGTAACCCTTCTGCCTACGTGCGCTTTTTGAGATGGTGTGATTTCTGCCCGCCACTCGAGCATCCATGGTAGTATACGCCAAGCTGGTCACGAGCCAAGGATCATGCTTCTAAGGTTCTGCTTGGTCCTCGAACTTCTCCAATTCCGAACGATTCACCATGATGTACATGATCTCCGGCATTGTCAGGGACATGTCACATGCTCCAGTATCACTGGAGCAGGCGAAGGGGAATGTACTCGGTCAGATGCAGAGGAGTGGCGGATGACGTGCGCTGCAGCGAGGTCAGGAGGGTTTATTTGTTTTTATCATGTCTCATTCTGCATCAACGTGTATCCATGTGTCGCGACACCTTTTCGTTCTCCATCAATGTGGTTCAATTGAAACTACCTGGAATGAGATCGAATGGGTATCGATCTGTAAATATTACTAGTCCAATCTCTATCAACAAAATCGATAAAGGTCTCATTTTTCACAATTACATGTGGATTCATATTGAACTCTTATCAACAGTTATCGATACACATCGACCTTGTTCTTAATGGGACTGAGTACCTACCTACACATGAAATTTAATGGCGTCCACGCCTAGTTTCTTATGGTGTAAAATCCTGCGCAAAGCCCTCTTTGCCCTGGATTGACCGACGTTGTTGCGTTTAGAAGATCCACGACGTACGACCCCTTTGCCCTTCACGCCTGATGGAGACTTTTTGCCGTGAGCGGTGGATCGGTACCTGTTCGATGTTTGCCTGGTTGGTACAGAAACCCGATCAGGTTCTGGCAAACACAATCAGTAAATCGTTAGTGGAATCGGGTACTAGCGGGAAACCTTGGGCTTTGGAGGTAATCCCGGACGAGGAAGGAACAACGTGGAAAGGAGAGGTAAGATAGTTGAGCTGGTCGCAGTACTCTTTTGAGCCATCTCCGCTTCCCGCATAATCCTCGACAGCTTCATCGGCAGATGGACACAACAAAGCTTCGTCGTCGTCATCTTCCCAGACTACTTCATGATCCCTGCTGTAGATCGAAAGATCGACGAGACTCAGCGGGGAGAAGTCAGCCGTAGTCTGTAGAGAGTCCTGGTTGGCACATCCGGGACCATGAACATCGTATAGCCCGTGAAGGCGAGGTGAAGGGGAATGACTGCTACGTGTGGAGGTGGGTGAGTCCTGCATCTGTTGTTGTAAGACGATGGACTCGGACAAAGCATCTCGAAGCCTCCGTCTCGGAGTGAACGCCTCAGGAAGTGCAGCTTCTGTCTTTTAGCTTCTACGCGGTGTTGTATCTCGTCACGGAGTCGCTCGAGAGTCTGTATATGTTCGAGAAGGATGCATGCAGTCGTGAGTGCGTTGAAATGATTCAGAGGGGTACGTGTGCTTGTCTGCCTGCATGGCTGGACGTTGCCAACTGGAATTGGAGAAAACCATGGCTGCGTTAGCAGGCGAAGCTGAATGATAATTCCTGCGAATGTTTGTTGACTATGAACGCAACGGGAACAGCCAACGTCCGACGATGGCAGTGTCCCGTGCATGAATACAACCCGTCCGAACTGAAATAAAATCAGTCGTTTGAGACGTAAATAGAAAACGGATCAAGTACGTATACATAGACAACGGCTACGAACGGAAGTTCGAGGTTTCCGATGCCATTCCCTGAGTATCAACCCAAGATCGGACGCCAGTGCGCTCAGCTGAGATCAGCAGGCCGCAAACTATGATGCATAATAAGGGGCGTTGCCAGCCTCATTCAATATTGCATGCGTATACGCTCCCACAACGCCGATGCATCATGATGACCAGTACGTACCTGGCTGGATCATCGCGATACCGATATGATAGATGACGTTAAACAATGTGGCATTGTGGCAGTGCTCAGGGCGCGCTCCTCTGCCGCGAATTGGCATAAGAGTGTTCGTCTCCACCTTAAAAGCGCCACTTTATCTTCGTCTCTGACGTCGCTCATTCATAACAGTTAAAAGACAACAAAAAAACTAATCTCAATCAAGCTGGCGAAGATGTCGAGAACATACTGTATTCCAGGCGTCTTCTTCCTATTCTCTGCCTGGTTCCTCCTTTTCATCGTCTCAATTTTCTCTCCCGAGTTTTGAGGCGATGGACATTACTCGTGTGGACTCTAGTGGAGCGGTCGCAGGTAATGGTGACGAGGCATTCACGCAACTTAGGGTGAGTAACAGTTTAGTTGAGTTGAGGTGCCCGAACTCATGGTTCCTCGTTGTACCCCCTAGCTTGGTATTTGGTAAATATACATCATCATACGAGATAGCACAACTAAACTATCTTCAGGGGTTACTGTGTTGACCTGTCTTCGGGCTGGACATGTTTCAAAACTGGTGAACACATTTACTGATATCGCTACAAACCCTAAACTTATCGAATACAGGTCATGGATACTCGCTCACTTTCACGAACGCCCAGAATGCCGAAGTTACTATAGGTTCTTCATGGACACGCGGTCTCGCTGTTCTTCCCGTCGGTCAGTTGTACTCTGTGCAAAACAGTCGTAATCTGACTTTGCCTCTTCCTTAGCTTGCTGTGTCGCATTTATTGCACTTCTTCTATCCATTTCCCAGCACATCACAATTACCTTGGTGGCTTCTCTAGTGTCATTCCTCGCGGCCCTGCTTACCCTCATCGCATTTGCCATCAATATCGCTCTCTTTGCCTATGTCAAGCATGAATTGGGTACGCTAAATATTAATGAGACAACCATCACTGGACCTGGTTCGTTTCTCTTTTCCTCTGCTTACCACGGGTCTCAACACTACGACAGGTTTTTGGCTCACATTTGTATCCCTGCTTCTGCTTATCTTGGCTGGATGCACTGTGTGCTTTGGCCGTCGTCGTGACAGAATGGCGGGTGCCAATAATAACTCATACCAGCTGAACGGTCCCAAGACCGGGTTCCTCTCGCGCTTCGGTCGCAACTAGGAATCACGACTTTTACGGATGGATGGACATATTGATGATCTTACTATATATACCGACTGGACACCGCACACTGAATTTTCGCATGCATCATTTGTTACGGAGGCTCTTCTAGTAGATGAGTGTATTCATTCCATTGGTTTGTCTTGTATACCATGTTGAACCCGTTTATGAATTTGACATCTATATTTGGAGTCCCCTAGTGCCTGGTGAAGGGTACGGTTTGCCTTAGACGGGCTCGTCACCAATCTAGGTAAAGGGTAACCTGTGGTCCGAGTGCATGGTGCTTGAGTGTTGATGACAAGTTGAGGAACAATCTTCAGTACAATCTCTGAAACCCAGTGCGATGGTCATGGACTCATATACTACTTGGACAGCACATCGACCCTATCCTATTTTTTTTTGTTGTGTTGTCCGCTGGGGCCTTGCCCTATGGTAGACAGTGCATGCTGCGTCTCTCTGTATCTATATATGTATCTATGTGCATTGTGTATGTTATGCAATGGCGCTGGAGTGGTAGCTCCTGCCTTGGTGAAAATGGGATGCACTCCGATATAATGGGATAGCGTCCGTGTCTGCTGCCATGTAAAGGCTCCGAAAATGCTGTAAGCTGTAGCGACATTTTTCGGGAGCAAATTGGTCTTCAACGTTCAACTCCTTCCAATGGAGTGGAATCGCTATCTACTCGTTTCACACTTACTAAATGATCTACAGGTAGCTGATGAATTTTTATGGTTTCAGACGTTTCGTTCAAATGCATCTTCTCCTCATCCATTCATTATTATTTTCCTTCGTGGCGCCTGGGCCGCCTGACTAAGCTATTCGAATCCCCTGCGCCTCACCCAGGGCCCACGTGGGGTGCATTACGGCCAACTAAAGGCGATAAGGCGATAAGGCGATAACCCTATCCTATAAGCTGTTGTTGGCTGGTGGCGATGCTCTAGCCCTTGAGGCGATGTCGTGCCATCTAAATAAGATCATGACCGTTAACAGTAATTCTGCTCCCCCTCAGCTGGTATCTATCAGCCTGAGGCTCCCAGATCGTCCTAGTTTGACCTTCCTGTCCCCAAGTCTTGTCAATGAAGGTGAGACTCCTATAACATCAACGGCATCCATAATCGAGCTTTAAATGAAAGACATCTGCTGATTCTGCTCTCAAGAACGTCGATAATGGTCAATGCGTGGCCTTGCTGAGTGGGACGATAGCCGTGATCGATACCGCGAAGGCTGTCGTACCTAGTGTCCTCGTGCAAAGCATTCTTTCTACAATTTCAAATATCTTGGCCATCGCAAAGGTAAGTCATTCTTGGACGACTTCAGATGATGTTCTGATATCTTTATATAGAATACCCTGCAGAACGAAGGCGATTTTCGTGATTTGATTAAACACTGCCGAGTGATATGTGATGTTGTCGTAAGCGCTACGGAAGATCAGACTGATGGCGACTTGGACAGTGAGCTCAGTGACATCATTATCAATCTTAAAAGGTGGGGGTTTTCATTCAGATACCTCAGAGACCGCCTAACACCAGCGTAGCTTTGTCCAAAGCATTCACGAGGCAGTCGTATCTGCAAATGAGCGCAACGTCGCCCAGAGAGCTATTTCCGCGCTGTCCGATAAGGACAGAATCGCGTCTTGGGCGCGGGAATTAGATAGGCGCGTGTTGCTTATTAACGTAAATCATGATTTCCTTCCAAGCTACAATTGAACTGACCGTTTACTAAAGATGCACCTGAGCATGATAACCCAGCGTCGAATATATCAACAGAGCAGACAGGTCAATAGACCGAGCGTGTCTACCGCATATGAAGACTGGCGCGTTGTCCTCCCGAGTGTACCTTCCCCTTTCTTTGGAAGAGATCATCTCATTGTCCATATTACGGAAGCACTTCTCAAACGACGTCATGTCACGCTTTTCGGTCCAGGAGGTATCGGCAAGACCTCCCTTGCAAAAGCTATCATCCACGACTCAGTTATAGCTGAGAGGTTTCAAGGCCGTCGGTACTTTGTATCGTTTGATGAACTTGATGCCTCTCGGATATCCGCAGGAACAGTCAAGGAGCGGATTTGCAGAGCCGCCGGATTGGACGGGCGCCTCAGTGAGCGGTGGGAAGAAGTGATAGAATTCCTGACAGGCGCAGACACAATCCTGGTCATCGACCATGCAGATGCTCTTACCTGCAGCTCGAAACGCAAACTCCGTAGCCCGTATCATTGATGACCTCGCATCATCATCGTCTGTGGTCCCTCTTGTTGACGACCCGAAGCAAACACACCGCAACCTTACCTTGTCACACAAGTTGTGAGCGTTTCGACATTAGAACGCAAGTACGCGAGGAAGACTTTCGAGTGCGTGTGCACGCAACACATTCCCGCAGAGATAATCGATGAATTGTTGGATGGTGTCGATAACCATCCATTATCGATCAATATCATTGCTCGTCAGACGGCTCAACATGAATGGTCTGGGGCAGAACTACTTTCCGCATGGAAAACAAACCAAGCAGCGCTCCTAGAGAACGGCGAAAGAAAATCTCACAGCCTTCGTGCTACAGTCGAACTCTCTTTGAATGCTCCCTCGGTGGATTGCCCTTGGCGATGATGCTCGAAAGCTTCTCGAGATCATCGCTTTTTTCCCGCAGGGCCTCAATACTTTGAGGGTGAAAGTTCTTTATCCTTCTGCGACTGTGGACGCGGACGCGCTTCTGTGCGCATTCGATCATCCATTGCGAGGGAAATCGTTTCACTATGTTGACGCCCGTGCGACTGTACTTGGGCCACAAAGCGCCAAACCCTGATGCAGGGTTTCTGAATACGATCAGGAACATATACTACAGAGAGCTCTCCGGTCCCATCGAACAACGTCGAGCTCTCGTTGAGGCCGAAGATGTCAATGTCGAACGCCTTATTGACTTCGACTTCAGCAGGGCCGTCAATTTAGACGACAGTCACCATGCTTGTGCATCATTCCTAGACAACCTCGCAATATGCAAAACCTCGGGTGACCATTCTCACTACGAGGGTCGAAGAACTTCCAGTGAGGTCCTCGGGGATCCTTGCCAAAATCACTAGTCGGTTCTGCCAGGTTCAAAGGCAGTTTCATCCCGCAAGAAGGCCTTACTTGTGAAGTCTGCTGGGACGCTCGCATCATCTATCAGACGCAAGCACGTTGACGTCTACCTTTCTGAGAACGCTTTTTTTGTTCGGTAAAGAAACCATTCTTCTGATTCTCTCTTATGTAACATATACCATTAGTGTCAATCTTCAGAACAGCACACTGCCCACTGAGAATCTACGTACATCAACGAATCCTAGACGTTTACGCCAATTGCAAACTGCTGCACGACGACCATTCCTGCGCATTAATCGTCAACCATTGTTAACCACCACCCCTACAGCCACGATCAAACATATTCACTCTTGTGCATCTCTTCCATCATTTTATTCTCTTCTGCAGAGCACCGTGGTGTTGCATTCTTCACCACAGAAATGTGCCACCTGAGTCGCAAGGCACAACCATTATTTGAAGAATTTGCCCACACAAAAACTCGAATAGTAGCCCTGTCGCCTTTGTGCAGGTGGATCTCAACGCTTCGTATGGTGCAGCGGCAATTGGAATCGAGTTTGGTATCCGCGCCACCCCAACATTTCTGTTCTTCGTAGGAGGAATGAAGGTTAGGCTTTCCGCGAGCTTCATTCTGATTAACGACTTATCTTACGTCGCAGGTATATGAAATACAAGGATGCGACGTTCAACAACTGCGAATGCAGCTTTCAATGTTTTTACATCCAGGTTTGCTGAATTTGACTTGTTATACATCGCGTCCTAGCTAACACCATTCATCATGCCATAGTTCATCCACACTTATCGTTGTCCTTTCCAGCTTTGGACTTGCTGGGGCTTAAATCCATTCTATTCGATAAGGTTCCTGATCTTGCTGCTGTCTCAGCGAAGCTGAGGAGTTTCCTTGATTCTGCTACAACCTGGTTCCAGCCTTTCGATACCTCCCTATCCAAAGCCGATACCATAGGGATCCTCTTTGGGACCGTGATTCCGTACGTCGAGGCGTTCACCACCTCGCGATGCTTGCCTCCGCACCCTCTTTTTGATCTTTGGCATGACGCCACGACTTCTATGTCGTGGAATATGCCAGAAGACCAACTATTTCCACTGGTGGATCTATGGCGGATAGCACTCCGCAACGAAAAGGTCTCCTCTTGGTGTGCCGATCGTAATGGTCTCGACAGCCCCCCTGTGCTGCTGTTGTCTAAGGCGTGCGAACGGTCTTCAAAAAAGTTTCTATTGACACTCCTTCGTATGCTCTCCAACGCACTCAGCAACAGGGCCTTGGGATGGAAAATTCTCTTATCAGCGCACAACAATCTCGCTGTCCTGCTGGAACATACTTTGGTCCATGAAGATACCAATGTTCGGAAAAGCGCGTCGAGCTTGGCTTTCAATGCCTTTGCGCGTCTGCAAGAGCTCAGAACAGAGAATCTATGCAAGGGCGACGAAAGGAGCTGATCATTTGGAGATGGAAATATCGATGACTCTGCTGAATGCAGAATGGGAAGCGTCGATCGCATGCGCGGTCCTTGCGGCTATCGAACGCGAGAGCGATGGTGACATAGGTACTCTTGGCTGCCCTTCATTCATGTTTGCGATTTTTGATTTAACACTTTCCGACAGTCCACCGCCAGGTCGCGGCATTGGGACTTATTGTGCGTTTTTCACCCTTCATTGACCACTTGTTGCGACTTCTCGGAGCCTTGCACGCTCAAAGGATCTTAAAGAATAAGTTCAGAGGAAATGGGGGGAATTGGAATATGAAGGAAGCTGCCCGCGTGCTTTTGCAGGAAGTCGCTGATAAATTGTGCCCTCCGAGTATTTCGATTTGAAGCGCGGTTAATGCCAGTATTGATGTTTCTTCTTCAGAAGTCCGCCTGCACTCTATGTTTGGACTGTCACGTTTTATTCGATTTTTCTTAGGCTAGCGTCCTTGGTCTCTATGTACATACCATCGTTCTGTGATACGAGATCGCATGAATGTTTATCACTCAGGTACATCTAGCTAATGCAGAGAAAATACAAGATGCGACAAGACGTCATGCTGTGAGGGCTGTTGTAGGACAATATTGTGTATGGCACCAAACGGAAGTACGATGATGGATGAGCAAGAACAAGAAACAAGGGTAACAACGCATGCATGAAGGAAGGATGGTGGACCACTGTACTAATGAAAACCATCAGAAGATTTAGTGGACGTGCAGCAGCTACATGACCAAAAGCGAGTCCAGCACCCAGCCTGTCTTTTAGGAGCATCGGGCTTATCTATTATGGCCAAGGGACCAGTGGCAAGAGGAGGGGTATCAGCGGCGGCGTTATAGTGGCAACTGCTGGTTGTAGGTTCGATGGCGGCAATGACGGAGCCCCATTGCCAACTTGTGAGGGATCTTGTTGTGGCTGTCCTTGCTGGGTAGCTCGTGTGTTTGGTGGCCGAGTGGTGTGTCTCAGCTTTGGAATAAATGAGTATAGGAATGAAGAGAGGTTAGAAGAGAACACACCCTATCCTTTTGAGCAGCAGCACGAGGATTAGGTGCGCGACGAGAGAAAAACCCTAGCCATGGGCGTGGTGAGACGTGTGGTGCGACATCAGCATCCAGCTGTGAGCGGCCTTGCCACGGCGCAGAAGTCGACTGCCATGCTTGACCATGGAGCGTCTGCAGCCAGTCTCGTCCACCCTGGGTCTGCAGCCAATTTTGTCCGCCTTGGGCCTCAAGCCATTCTTTCCCGCTCTGGGTTTGCAACCAGTCTTGACCACTGGAGGCATCCAGCCAGCCCCGGCCCTCTTGAGTCTGCAGCATATCTCTCCCACCCTGGTCTGCAGCCAGCCTA